TTCATAAGTCCCTCTTTGTGGCACCTGACCACACGACTGAACAGTAGTCCAGGTGTGACAACTAGGGCCTGTAGGACCTGCCTTGTTGATAGTGCTGTTAACAAGGCAGAGCAGCGCTTTATTATACAATACAAACTTCTCCCCATCTTAGCTACTGTTGTATCAATATGTTTTGACCATGACAGTTTACAATCCAGGGTTACTCCAAGCAGTTTAGTCACCTCAACTTGCTCAATTTCCACATTATTTATTACAAGCTGTAGTTGGGGTTTTAAGGTTTAGTTAATGATTTGTCCCAAATACGATGCTTTTAGTTTTGGAAATAATTAGGACTAACTTATTCCTTGCCCCCCATTCTGAAACTAACTGCAGCTCTTTAAGTGTTGCAGTCATTTCAGTCGCTGTATTAGCTGACGTGTTGAGTCATCTGCATACATAGACACACTGGCTTTACCCAAAGCCAGTGGCATGTAGTTAGTAAAGATTGAAAAAGCAAGGGGCCTAGACAGCTGCCCTGGGGAATTCCTGATTCTACCTGGATTATGTTGGAGAGGCTTCTATTAAATAACACCCTCTGTGTTCTGTAAGACATCTAACTCTGTATCCACAATATAGCAGGTGGAGTAAAGCCATAACACATACGTTTTTCCAGCAGCAGACTATGATTGATAATGTCAAAAGCCGCACTGAAGTCTAACAAAACAGCCCCCACAATCTTTTTTCATCAATTTCTCTCAGCCAGTCATAAGTCATTTGTGTAAGTGCTGTGCTTGTTGAATGTCCTTCCCTATAAGCATGTTGGAAGTCTGTACGTTTGTTTACTGTAGAAGAGCATTGTATCTGGTCAAACACAATGTTCCAAAAGTTTACTAAGGGTTGGTAACACACTGATTTGATCGGCTATTTGAGCCAGTAAAAGGGGCTTTACTATTCTTAGGTAGCGGAATGACTTTTGCTTCCCTCCAGGCCTGAGGGGGCACACTTTCTAGTAGGCTTAAATTGAAGATATGGCAAATAGGAGTGGCAATATCGTCCGCTATTATCCTCAGTAATTTCCATCCAAGTTGTCAGACCCCAGTGGCTTGTCATTGTTGATAGACAACAATAATGTTTTCACCTCTTCCCCACTCACTTTACGGAATTCAAAATTACAATGCTTGTCTAGTTTGGTCAGATATACTTGGATGTATAGTGTCAGCGTTTGTTGCTGGCATGTCATGCCTAAGTTTGCCAATCTTGCCAATGAAAAAATTATTAAAGTAGTTGGCAATATCAGTTGGTTTTGTGATGAATGAGCCATCTGATTCAATGAATGATGGCGCTGAGTTTGCCTTTTCCCCCAAAATGTCATTGAATGTGCTCCAAAGCTTTTTTTTACTATTTTTACGATCATTCTTTGTCATTTATCTATGTTTCATAGTGTAGTTTCTTATTTTTATTCAGTTTAGTCACATTATTTCTCAATTTGCAGTACGTTTGCCAATCGGTTGTGCAGCCAGACTTATTTGCCATTCCTTTGGTCTCAACCCTCTCAACCATACAATTGTTCAATTCCTCATCGAATAGTTTTTACAGTCATTTTCTTAATGGATGCATGCTTATTAGTAACTGGGAAAAGCAATTTCATAAATATGTCAAGTGCAGTGTCTGGTTGCTCCACATTACACACAAGGGACCAACAAATATTCTTTCTTCACACATCAACAACATAGGAATCACAACAAAATGCATTGTATGACCTCTTATACACTATATTAGGCCCAGCCTTTGGAGCTTTGGTTTTCCTATTTTGCAATGTGAGCTTGAAGCAGTATAATTGTGATTTTGTTTTTACTTGGGATTTCACCATCATCTGTTCAACAATTCAGATCCAGGTCAAGCTGCAACAAATGCCTACAGACATTTCCATGAAAATCTGGTGAAAAAGCAGATTACTCCATCATGCTCTGGACGGAAAACGTCAGAATGAAGTTCACAAAATGCAAGGGAGTATGTGGACGCAGGCGAAGAACAAGGCAGAGAGGAAACAATAGACTGAAACTGGGGCCAGATTCGCTGAGCTATTTAAATATCCATATTTCATGCCCATAGACATGGCTGTAGTGGACCCTATACATAATATTTTACTGGGGACAGCAAAACATGTTTTTACTAGGGTTGCGCGATATTTGGGGAGGCCTTTTCTACAATATGCTACTCCAAATATCGTGATATCCGATATCGTTTTGCACTGTTAATGATTAAATGTTTCCAGACTGTGCAATTTTTGTGCTTATTTACAATATTAGTCCCGTTCTCATTAAATAATCTTAATGTGTTGAAAAAATAAGCCTTAGTTAATTCATTTAGATGTCATTTTCAACATTTGATACAGCCTAACCTATAACTGCAGTTTTGATTTGTACATTTCAAATAGAGAATAGTCTTGCTACACATCACGATATATCGTCTTGGACTTCACGATATATCGTCAATGTCAAATCACGATATTCGATTTAATCATATATCGGCACAATCCTAGTTTTTACCTTCTGGAAGAATATGGGTGTGCTGGATGATGGAATACAAAGAAATATTCAGCTTAAAGTTGATGCACTGAAAGCACTTACAGACATAGGCCAACTACCTGCTAAAATCTCATTAGGGTTTTCTAATTTCAATGCACAAGAATGGACATGCGTTAACTCCTATTTGTGCAGGATGCCGATTATGATTGATGGACCCATTTTGTCAAAGCCTGTACAATCTTATGTACAAGATGTATCACAATGGATTGAGTTGGAGAGGCTCATCGCCACTTGCAGAAATGCGTTTTGGACTATGGTCCAGTATATGGTTTCTGGTGCTTTCTATTTGAGCGAGCAAATTGTTTCATAGGTAAACAGAAGACCAACGATCACAGCATCTCAGTTCAGTTAATGAGAGAGGTTTTAACTGCCCAAGAGGTTAAGAGCATGGTCTGGCCAACTGACTTTGATGATATGAGAAATTTGTTAGCAGGCGGTCATGAGAGATGACATAGCCTACATGTACGTCCTGATGGTACCAAGTACTTACATGCCATTGATCAGAGTGAGAATAAGGATCTGACTAGTGTTGAATTTGCGGTGAGTTCATGTTTGTCATAAGTGAATATAGTAATGATCTGTATAGTGTCTTCACATTAATGTATCCAAACAAGGATCTCACCATTGTACAGCTGACAGAACAACATGAAAAGGTTGACATGCTGGGAGAGGTTATAAGCACTGACCAAAGTAGAAGTTTACGCTCATCATGTGTACTTGCAAAGTGGTTCGCCACTGACAGACAGACGAGCCTACCACGCATTCAACCAGATGCGGAGCTAACACCAGGCATAGTAACACAGTTGTTATCTTGTGACGTGCTTGTTGGTTCAAAAAACACATTTCTCATGTCTTGGCCCGTGTAAATTGTTTCCTGAAACATCAGAATCAATATCATTTCAAGCCCCCTGTTGAGATTTTGGGCAAGGCATTGGAATCTGTATCAGAGACGCAGTTTATTCCAGTTCAGAGAATTAGTAAGCGTTGTGCATATTGCCGGTATAACGTGCAGTTTGCCGGGACTACAGAGACCGTAACTGTGGTAATACCAGTTTCAAGCGGGGCTGCTTTTTAGACATCAAATCAAATCAAATCAAATTTTATTGGTCACATGCGCCGAATACAACAGGTGCAGACATTACAGTGAAATGCTTACTTACAGCCCTTAACCAACAGTGCATTTATTTTAAACAAAAAAAGTAAGAATAAAAAAACTACAAAAAAAGTGTTGAGAAAAAAAGAGCAGAAGTAAAATAAAGTGACAGTAGGGAGGCTATATATACAGTAAAATAAAGTGACACTAGGGAGGCTATATATACAGGGGGGTACCGTTGCAGAGTCAATGTGCGGGGGCACCGGCTAGTTGAGGTAATATGTACATGTGGGTAGAGTTAAAGTGACTATGCATAAATACTTAACGGAGTAGCAGCAGCGTAAAAAGGATGGGGTGGGGGGGGCAGTGCAAATAGTCCGGGTAGCCATGATTAGCTGTTCAGGAGTCTTATGGCTTGGGGGTAGAAGCTGTTGAGAAGTCTACTTGGAGGTGAAACTATGAAAAATCAAAGGGCCTAATATTGGGAATTTGAGTGCAAAGCTACTGTTTATTTCTTAAATTGTAGCAGTAAAAAACATTTGATTTATTCTTCATTGTTTGTGTTTATATTGTCTGTTTTTTATAAGAAACTTCTCGCCCTTCTGATTAGTAAACAGTAGGGTTTTTTCAATGACATATTTCTCATTCAACGATAGACTACATGTTTTCATGCACATTTCTTACTTGAGAAATATGCACCAACCATCTTAGATGTAAAATTGCGTGACTAAGATATCCTCGACAAAAACGTAAAAATTAATGACAGATTTATTGAATTATTAGATTATTTCTGACTATTTTGAGGAAGTGTATACTGGCTACGGCGTCTCAAAATGGACAAACTGTACTATTGCCGCTTTTTTCTTGTTTTTCAAGCCAAGGTCTTAAGGGTGTATGCGAGCACACTCTTTCGGTTCGCCAAGCCAAGTTCGGCATGCGTATACCTTTAGGGCTGGGTATCTGGGGATCTTGAAGGTTGAGGGGGATCGACCTGCTGCATCCTGGGTGAAGGTGCGTCGAGGCACTGGGTTGTCTTCCTAAGTAGACAGAGCTTGAGGGCTTCACCCTCCCTCTTCTCCTCGAACCGTTTCTGCATCATCTCGACAGTGGGACCGAAAAGGCCTTTTAGGGTCTACTGGAGCATCCAGGATATTCAGCTTCTCACTATCAGACGCCGTGGATAGATTAATCCATCGTGCCCTCTCCTGGGATATCATGAGCCCCATCACTCTTCCCGAATCCTGGACGGTGGCTTTAAGCAGACGCAGGTTGAGGTCTGTGGCAATGCAGATCTCGTCCCACAATGCAGATTTCGTCTCCGGTTTCCCCGGCATGAGGAGATGGAGTCATCATCTCCGTCCGATGATTCCGAAAGGAGACTGTCGGACAGACCCATGGAGTCGTTGTCGTCTCCAATCAGGATGCCCGGCAATGCGGCCGCGAGGTCGTTGCTGGAGTCCTCCAACAACGGGGCAATGGTGTCGAGCTGGTCACCGCAGCTAGTGCTAACTGTCGATCCACAATTCCCCCTGGGGATATTCATTCTGACTCAGGCTAGCTTTGGGTGCTAGCCTGTGACGGAGACGTCACTGTGAAGAGGGCACAGTGTGGACAGGAGCTGGGGGAGGCTAACGCTTCCTGGGCATGTTGCAGCCCAAGGCAAGCGAAACACCGAGTGAGTGTCTTGGCCGATATCTTGTTTCCACAGGAGCAGATTTGTGCCGGGAGCTTCTCCTCGTTTGGAGTGTGAGATTACTTTGTTGACATTGCTGAGATGCTATGTTTTTAGCCATCAGGAAAAACTATCATGGTAGGCTAGTTATCTTCGACGGTGGCACTCGGTGTGAGATTGCTTGGTGTAGCTAATACAACTTTTCTTGTTGAAGCAAAACCACACAATTGTTAAGCTAGCTAGCGAGGTGGCTCGCTTGCTAATGACTAGTCATTGTTTGGTTAAAGCTAACTTGGTTGTGAAACGAGTTAGCCGCGTCACAACTGCACCCGTTCCTCCTTCAAAAAATCTTCCTCTAACTATGGTGAGAAAAAAAAGGAAAATTGAAACCACCGCACAATCCAGAGAATAGGCTCACGTCTGTGCACAGTTTAGCTAATTCCGGAAAAGACAGTCGTGTCGAGGTAAGCTTTCTGATGAAAAGCGAGAAGAGGTGTTTGAATGACTCGGAAATGCTTCGTCTGACCTTTTCTAGGGTAGGAGGGACGCCCCTCCTGACGGACACGTCTCGACGTCCAGCCAATTATGGCTGGCATAATGTAATAAATGCTTCTGACGAATACGCTGGGGGCGTATCCCGTAAGTGAAATACCAAAACGAAAACTTGAAAGAGAACTAGGAATACTCGGAAACCAGGGAAACAACCCGGGAAACAGAATTTCGCAAAATATAAAATAGATTTTGTAGGGCCCTGCAACTGTAGACTGCTGACTGTTCCAAATTACTAATAACACCCTTTTTGAGATTGTGGTTTTATTTTTTCCCTCCAAACAATACGTTCTAATATAATATTGTCAATTTTAAAATGTAATTATTTTGTATGGAGGGTAGGTTATTATAGCAGGGCATCAAATAAACGTTTTGGTCCACCAGCCACTGTGGCAGGTAGATTTAGAAATCTACCAGCCACTCAGATGTTTTACCAGACAAAATAATGTTGTATATTGTTTCATTTCATAATTTTTTTTATACCAAAATATCACAGATGAGACAAATGTTCACCTGCCCCTTTTAGGGCGGGAGGTTACCGTGGTAGCGCGACTCGAGTCATGTTTGTGCCTGTGAGATTGAGTCTGACTAGTAGAGGCGACGTCTTCTCTTCTCTAGCAGTTGAAACTTAAACATAGAAAGACAACCTAGCTTATGAACAAAACAATGTAAATAGCCACAAAACACAAAGACAAAGTCTCACTTCAGTAGACTTTTGTTTCAAGTCAATTTAGACTAACTTTTATGCATGTACGCAGCACTTCTAAAAAATAATCTTTCACTCAGCCCTTCAGGTGCGCACAGCTCCAAACCAGGCAGTGTTGCAGCGCGAGGTGGAATAGTCTATATAGGATTCGTAGTTCTTTGACTTTGTGCGATTTAATTTACCAGCTGTGAAACAAAACGGCAGAAATACTTTGAAAACAGCTACTGCAGCACTATTTTTATTCACAAATGCGAGTGAAATGCTCGCACTGTGGGGAGCCCTGACCACCCGCCAACGTGGCTGGTGAAATATACTTATTACCCGCCAATGCCAATATCTACCCGCATTTGGCAGGTGGTGGTTGTTAATTTTAGGCCCTGCATTATAGGCTACTTGCCCAGCCCTCAAATTAAAGATCCAATTGAAATTATGTGCACATCATCTGCTTTTCCGGGCCAATATTATTTTCATTCGTGCTAGTAGCTTTTAGTTGGCAATGGCCTGGTTTGCCACTGGCAAATTTACCTGACTGTCAAGCCATGGTTGAAGCTTTAGGTTGCTAAGAAAAGGACCAACTGAATTGCTTTCATTTAGGACTTGCTTGACTTGTGAGGATGACCACACATTTTTTTTCATCATGAACAAAAGTTAATGGTTTTCTACTCAAAGTTGCAAAGAAAATGTTGCAATCCATTTAATAGACACGAGACCAGCAAACTGGATACAAGGTTGCAGTATAGCAGGAATAGTGCCATCTATTGAGCAAAGCCTGCTACTTTCATATGCTTTTATGGGAATTAAGATGAGTGACTTCAATGGCTAATTTCTCTGAACAGGGGAAAAAAAAAACATCACCAAATTCACTGGGAATACATTACATAGTATCAAGACGCAATACTCCAAGCTGCAGCACCATACTACTTGTCAAACATAGTGAACTGATACTGTATACTGGTTGTTGGGGTGGGATTGTTGTGCGGGGTCTTTTGGTGGCTTTTGAACATTTTTGGGAGTTCCTCATGTCTTACTCATTGGTTGGAAGAAGTGTTATATCAGATAATAAGAAGCATTTTTCGATCAGCTTTTGGAAAGCAAAATATTTTTTCCACAGCAATTTGTGTTTGAGGAGGAAGTGGATAGCCAGGCCCCCCCTACACCAGTTGTTAATGTGTGTTTGGTTAAAGTGAGCAAATGTTCACGATCAGATTAATCATTAATTTTGTACATAATTTAGAGGGGAAACGGTAGAGTAGCTCAGTGGCAGGGCAGCCTAGCAGGAGCTTGGGGACCTGCCATTCCTACATTATGCATCAGAGGGTCACTGTCATCAGCAAAATGTGCTGCTGGGTCTATTAGGTAATATTCTCAGCCCAGTTACACACTCTCTCACTCACTCTCTCACTCTGTTACTAACTGACTCCCTCAATCGTGTGTGTGTGTGTGTGTGTACACAGTGTTTTCAGTATGACACCCTGAAAGTCTCGTTGCTGCCTACAGTACAATTGCAGTAAGAATATGCTAAAGGCACTCCAACTCTTCAAGGTGAACATGTGTGTACAAGACAATTAATTTTCATGCCTTCTATGAGCAGCTGGTGTGTGTGTGTGCGTTCAGTTGACGGTTTTAGATGTTGCGAGGCCAGTTTATAATGGAATAAGATTAAAGTAGGCCTGTATGTGGTTTCTCAATGTTTGTCTGTTCTTCGTAACTCCTCATTTCCTCTTTGATGCAAAGAGGAGGGGATTCCACACTGAAACCATTAACCTGACTGTGTCCTGCCACTTATGCTCCCCTTTTAATTTCCCCTCTTCCCCTCCATGGGTCAGAGCATGATTAGCAAAAGGACTGGGCAGAGCGTTGTTAATCTGGAATTAAAAGCTAATGGCACAAATCTGAATGTGATGATAAAGAAGAGGATTAGGCAGAATCAAATTGTGTCCACTTGGTGGGCAGTTTCTTTGTAATAATATTGGCGTTTCCCTTCTCGAGAATCATCTCCACCTCTGATCCACCACCTACTGACTGACATGCACCTAACTGACTGACAGCAGTTGCTGGTCAGTTCCTGTCCAAATGCCAAGAGTCTTTTTTAAGTATTCTCATGCTTTTAGGGGTTGCATTAGCATTCAGAAATCTACATTTTCAAAATACAGACTGCGAGAAAATCTGTTGTAAACCATTTCACCTGCGTTTTACATTGAACGTTTTTAGCCAGCTACATTTCCTAATGTTTTGCTTGAAGTTAATCTTGCATTTTAACTTGCTACTGGAGAAAGACTACACTGGAGGAAAGTACTGTAGAAAAGTAGCCTACACATCAGTCAGAGCGCTGTCTGGTGATCCGATGATGAGCAAAGATACAGTGCCTTGCAAAATTATTCATCCCCCTTGGCGTTTTTTCCTATTTTGTTGCATTACAACCTGTAATTTAAATTGATTTTTATTTGAATTTCATGTAATGGACATACACAAAATAGTCGAAATTGGTGAAGTGGAATGAAAAAAATAACTTATTTCATAAAATTCTAAAAAATAAATTGGAGAAGTGGTGCGTGCATATCTATTCACCCCCTTTGCTATGAAGCCCCTAAATAAGATCTGGTGCAACCAATTACCTTCAGAAGTCACATAATTAGTTAGATTGCACACAGGTGGACTTTATTTAAGTGTCACATGATCTGTCACATGATCTCTGTGTATATCTACACCTGTTCTGAAAGGCCACAGAGTCTGCAACACCACTAAGCAAGGGGCACCACCAATATAGTAGTGAATAGTTATGCACGCTCAAGTTTCCTGTTTTTTTGTCATATTTCCTGTTTGTTTCACAAAAAAAAAGTATTTTGCATCTTCAAAGTGGTAGGCATGTTGTGTAAATCAAATGATACAAACCCCCAAAAAATCCATTTTAATTCCAGGTTGTAAGGCAACAAAATAGGAAAAATGCCAAGGGGGTGAATACTTTCACAAGCCACTGTAGGCTATTTCATCTGAGTGGAGAAGTGCAACTGAAGCACGAAATTAGTCCTTTTACATTCATGATTTGGAGCTAACCCTGACTGACGATGAGCAAAATGTACAATAAGAATCATTTTAGACGCAGCAAGTTTGATTGCTTCTGCCTGAAAAATGCAGAATCCTGCGTTTTAATACAACCCCTGGCTGACTGAAGTCAATACCATTACCAAGACAATTCAATGTCTATGGTTGTGAGTTAGAACTTACTGACGCATGCCTTGACAGTGTTCTTAGAAACACAGCCTGAAGAACAGAGGGTCACTTGTGTGTCAGTAATTCACTCTACCCACACCTCCAGGATCCTCTATTTTAAAACCTGGAAGTCACAGAGACAACAGAGGAAGTTTTTGTCCAAGTCTAAGCGATGCATCAGCATCGGAAACTAGCCATAAAGAATTCACAAGGGTCCTCCCAGACTACTAGCTAGTAGCTACCTCCAGCAGCCTGAGCTTGAGCACCTCTGGGGCCTTTTACAGCTCCTCTAATGAAGAGGCTGATTCACTTATAGCCTATCGATTTCCCTGGAACTCCCTGGCTTGTCACCCTGCCTGCTGCCACACCTCTCCTCCGGAGCTAGCGGACTGTGAGCTGCCCGGCTGTTAGCTGCCTATCAGGCCAGGCGTGAGGCATGCTGCCTGGGCTCTACTTGGCTGCAGCATTAGCCGTAAGCGCGTTGCAGGAGCAGCAGGGGTCTACTCCATGGCGCACCTGGCCTCCCCACTGCGACAGCTGCCAGGCAGGAATGTGCAAGGTCAAGGTGGATGTGGGTGGAAATTCGCAGCGTGATCAGAACACAACCCCCTAACATTTAAACCTGCTAATGTAAGCAGTAAAAAAATCTGGTGAATGTGCTGCTTTAATCAAATGTATGTTTCTCTTTCTGGAAGTCCTGAGTCTAGTGCGATGGGAAAGAGACTGAGGGTCTCTTGTTTTGTACCACTCCTCCTGAATGATGTTGTGTAACCAGTTTCCACTTTCAGACTCAAATCACTGGATGACTGATCCATTAAACATGCCTCACTTTTGGAAATGTTGTGGTTTTAATGAATGAATCATACTGTATTTTTAATTGTCCAAGAAGCTGGATTAGACTGTAGCCTAGGCCTATCTGTACACAATAATATCTAAGCAGATTTAGTTGCAATGCATAATTACAATGACAACTGAATAACTTTGCAGTTGAATAGCAGTTAAATAGTTACAGCAGTATGCTGTTAAAATTATAAACCCGGCCCAGGACTAGAATCTTGCTGTCCCATTTGATAATTAGTGAAGTCTGGGTGTAGAATAGTGAATGTTTTATGAGTGTACATGTTTACCAACTGTGACTAGAGAATGTGTTCTTAGGCTTGTTTTGCTAGTGCGCTGGTTAAAAATAGACAAGCCGTTTGTGTGTTTTCTCTGCCTGTGGTGTGTGTGTGTGTGTGTGTGTGACCTAGAGCCATGATCCCAGGCAGAGGTCACGACAGTCTGTCATGTCATGAGACCTCATGAGGACACAGACCTTCCTAATGCTTTAAGTTGAGGAAATAAGTCTGGCGTCACTCGCTGTCTCAGCTGAGATTCATAGGCTTCCTGAGGTTAACATCATTTCAACACCCTTGTAAGATCAGGGGATATTGATGGCTCCAACTGTAACAAACATCAATGTAAAGGGGCAAAGGCTTCACATCTACATCCTCAAGCTTATTTAATCAATTTACAAGATAATGTAGACCTTTGAAATGCCCAGCATGCTCATGCTTTGACAGCTGCACAGTTCATACAGTAGCTTAACAGAAGCACAGTATGCTTTCAATTAACTCTGGTCTGAGCTGACAGAAAAGCAAATTTTGCCCCTACCGGCAAACACACTAGTCTTAAAAACGTTCACAGCCGGAGCCCTGAAAGCGTCTGGAAATTAAGCAGGTGGGGGTCAAAGTTGTTTTGGCCAGAGGAGAAGAATGGCAAATCTGTGTGCATTAATTTGGCAGCTCAACCCCAGAAAGCAGGCCTGTAAAGTTCAGGGTGGTTGGGGCTGGCCGGGCAGTGCAACAACGCCATGGCCGCTGCTTGGCTCTGCTGGGCTCAGCTAGCTGACCTTTGAGCAACGTTTGTGTGCTCAGAATACATTAAAGCTGATGTTCTTGGAAAGGACTGGAGCTCTCTCTTGTGTAAAACCCTAGGTTGTAAACTGCACCTCCCCCTCCCCTCTTCTCTCCCCTCTACACTATCCCCTGGCCTCCACCCCCTGTGGGCCGCTGGCCACTCAGCTGTAAGCTAGCCTCTGACTCGCTCTCACACAGGCTCCAGTGAACACCAGAAACATGTATTACTACAGAAACATGGGAAATCAAGTTTTACCAATACAAGCAGTAGATCTCCATCAGGCAGCTAACCTCCGACACCACTCCTTAGAGAGCGACCTGAAATACGATTGAGAAACCCACAAGTTTTATTTTCTAAATGTTTATTTAGCTGGGCTATTTATTGTGTGTATGAATGGCCTTTAGAGATTGAATGGTTTCTCCGAGGTAGGGGTATGAACGTTTAAACGTTTTAAATAAAATTGGGATCATTAAGGTTTAGAAAAAAAATCCTTAGGCGAAAAACAATGTTTAAAAAATGTTTTTTATCACAGTGCAGTTATCACAAAACTACCACTAACAGGTCCCGATCATCATCATCATAAATGGAACGATACAAATGTAACAAATACCTAACGCAACAATGCTGTAACTTTAATAGGAGGAGATATGCATCTTTCTAATTATTTGCCACAGATATAAAGCGCTCCACACATCGTCATTAACTGTTGGAAAAATGGCAGAGAGTGAGACAGGGAAACGGCAGCAGTGAAAGTCCTGTATGGCAATACTTTGATGTTAAATGAGAATGTGGTGAAATGAAAACTTTGTTAGGTGGAATTGAGCTACAGTGGCAGTACAGGTGCAATGCTTAACCATCTGAAAGGGAGGCACTGTGAGACCCAAACCGTTGCTGGCAGCGGGCGCAGGCCTGCAACAACAGACACTAGACAGGCTCTTCACACGAAAGTGCGATAAGGGACGAGGTGATGAAATCACAGCTGATTTACAGAAATGATTGCAGTTGATATGCAGCCATTGTCAATGGTAGAGGATGTCGGCTTCAATGCGCTGATGGCATATCTAGAACCAGACTACAAAATGCCATGTCCCATGTCGAACAACAGTGACGGCCCGATGGAGAAATTGTACAATGGTTGCTCTGCAAGTACAAAGCACGAGCTCTCAAAAACCCAATACGGGGCGTTAAAAGATTGTTGGATGTCTATGAACAAGCTGTTATACACAGGGGTTGCGTTAGAGTTCCGAAATCAGCATTTTCAAATGGACCATCAAAATATGTGTTTTAAACCATTTCACCTGCATTTTATATTTAAAGTTTAAAAAAATGTTTTGCTTCAATATAGGGATCGGGGTGTGCAGCTATAGTTTTCCTTCACAGAAAATAGCCTACATTTAGTGCAACACATTCGGCAGGAAATAACTTGTGCAACACTATTTGGCTAGCAGCCACAAGTAAATTATCTTACAATGAAGAAGCAAGGTATTTTTTGTAAAAACGATGCCTGGCCATCATATTTCTGTTTTTCGTAGAAAGAATGTAGCCAGCTACATTTCCTAATGTTTTGCTTGAAGTTAATCTTGCATTTTAACAGAGAAAAGTAAGCTACACTGAGAAGTACCGGAGGAATGCTACACATCAGTCAGAGCGTTGTCTGCTGATACAATGCCCTTTTGTGAATTCTCATCTCAGTAGAGAAGTGCAACTGAAGCACAAAATTAGTCTGATGCCGTGCAGAAATTACAATAAGAAGCATTTTAGATCTGAGTTACAAAACGCAGCAATATATTTCTTATGCGTTTTTATCTTTTTTCCCCAATGAAAAACATAGAATTCTGCGTTAATGAGACCCCTGCATACATCACTGCAACAAGCCATCACATTGATGAGAAGTGGGACATGAAGTCCCATGTACTGACCACTGAGAACATGGAGGAGAGGCAGCAGAGAACCTAAAAACGGCATTAATTACCATCGTTGCTGAGTGGGTGGGGGACAGCAGTAAGGTGAGTCTGGTAGCCATCTACGGTAGATGGAATTGCATTGCCCCCTAGGGGGCAGGAAAATATCAGCAATGTGAATTCAAATTTTTTACATTTTAGTCATTTAGCAGATGCTCTTATCCAGAGCGACTTACAGTTAGTGAGTGCATACATTTTCATACTGCCCCACCCCCCCACCCCCCCGTGGGAAACGAACCCACAACCCTGGCGTTGCAAGCGCCATGCTCTACCAACTGAGCTACAGGGGACTATATGTAGTTTAAGGATTTTTTTATCATTTAAATGCAAAATAAAATATGTTAAACGTTAAGGGAAATGTTACATTTGTCACAGCCCTACTTCGAGGAGTTGATGATTTTGTAATTTGCATAATGGCCTTGCTTGGGAGTGACAGGCAGAATTGAGTCTGAAAGAGAGAAGAGCACAAACTCACACGAAACATTTACCCACAATGGGAGGAGGAAAAGAGAAGGCGGGCGAGGAGCAGGAAAGGAGGGGATGGAGGAGAGATGGGAGACTAGGAGAGCACAACACAACTCAAAAAGTGCTATTTGTTGGATTGTAAAAATGTATATTTTTATGAAGGTCTGAGATGATAGCTATTCGGCACAAAAAGTACCTACTCACTAAGTCCGAAATGGATTCATTGTAGCTTATGTGCTGTCACAATGTCTCTTCACTGACCTTATTCTGATAGCATAATGAAACATTTTAGATGTGTTTTCTTCAGTGGGCACTGGCCAGTTGCTGGTGTCCTCTTACAAATGCCAGCTGGGATATCTTTGTTTCCGTTGCAAGATGTTTCGGAAAATATCAATATGTTCAAGGTCAATAGTGCAACAGTGTTGAAAGTCCTCAAAAAACATTGACCAGAAAACAAACTGCTTGCCTTCATCATAAATATGGCTACTCTGGGACTAGGATTTGTAGTGTTTCGTTACCACATTCTTCAGCTTGTGTGCTCCAATCTTCTTGCTGAAATAAAATGAAGCGTAACAGTGCTTTCCAGTTTATGGTGCAGCTGGTGTGTTGAATGTGGTTGTTTACACCAGCCTATAGAATAGTCCTAACCTATGGATTGGACATGGGAACAGAACTTAAGTGATATTCATCAGTCAAGGATAATTTATTCGCTATGCAGCCAGGGGAAGTGTGTGTCACCAGGAGTCCAGGGAAGCTTGTGGTAGAGTGAGGGCATGGATATTGTCCTCATAGCTACAAACGGGGGCATTTCCCTACTAACACTGTATGGTTTTACCCCCAGGCATCCAACAAAATAGGTGGTGTCCGCTATCCAGAAAGGTCAGGGGTCAAATGCTAAACACCCCCTGTATGAAACAAGCATTCTTCCCACTCTGTTGTTTGTGAGTCCATTATCTGTACTGTCATAGATACTAATACAGCAAACCTGTAGTGTTGCTTTTTCTTCTACTCAACCAAGGGAGGGTAGTCCCCCACTGTTAGTTTTCTCAATCAAGCCTCTATTCTTAATCGTATTGTTGTCCCTGAGTTGTCATGTAGCTGGCGATCTTGGCAGGAATTCCCCAAAGTGACTCCCTCCCTGTCTAATGTAGCTGCTCTGTTCTGCTGAGTGATTCAGTGCTTCTGGTCCCTGTCCTTTGCCAATTATGTGCCTTGTGAAAGCTACCATCCTTAAAAAGAAAAAGATCTAGGACTCTGTTAGCTTACTTCTATAACCATTTATTTAAACATAATCTCACAACGGCACTCTCCAGCTGTCTTTCGGTATCACCCCACATGAAGAAGATAACAACACACTCTAGTCTCTACATCTGTGATTGACCACCTGTTTCTCTCTGTGGCCCAGTTTTGGTGAACAGTGTACAGTACACTACTGCACCTTACTGTAGTAGGGAGGAAAGGATATCGTGAGAGATTCCTCTTCGCTTTTCTAATATCCTCTAATCTGCACTGTGACTGACCTCCTTCTAAGCCTGAGGATGCATCCCAAATGGTAACCAATTCCCTATATAGTGCACTACTTTTGACCAGGGCCCATAGGCCTCTGTTCAAAAGTAGTGGACTATAAAGGGAAAAGGGTGCCATTTGGTACACACCTTGAGTATTTGTTGTGATACTATACCTTTCCAATGGGTGTAACTGTGCAGAGGGGTTTGGCCAGGTCAAGCCCAGGCTGTTGATAGTAGAGGCGGATGGAGGACTGGGATGGAGGTGGAAGGATGGGGGACGGAGACAGGAAGGCTGCTGGGCCGTCTGTGTTTGTAATAAGCCGAGAGCATTGGAGGAGCCCACTGGTGAGGAAAGCACTGGGGGCCAGAGGCCTGCCACACACACACACACACGGTAGCCCAGGCCAAGTGTTTGGAAGCTCTGCTGACTGGAGGAAGCAATAATGGAAGCATGCTTCCTGAGCATTCCCAGCTAAGCGGCCGGCCGTCCTGCTACCTGCTGGAGCGCTAACTCACTGGGCTTTGTTCTCCTCTCATTGGGATGGGATGTGGAGACTAATTACACACTATTATTGTTGTTATTACTATTATTATTATATACACAAACTGCTTTAGATTTAGAAATGAAATCGTTTGAGGAAAGTGTGTGACGTATTTGGGATTCAGTTTTTATATAATCGCCATCAGTAGTTTTGCTCTCTCATTACAGCTGGTAACCTTTGCGTTCGTTGAATGATAAAAAAAAAAATCAGAAACCGCTCTTTGGCTCATGTCGTCCTAGTCTACACAGCCCAGCTAAGAGGGTGAAGGAAACAGCTCGTAGCTGTGTGTCACTGATCCGCAGTGACGGCGCTTCCTCATGACTTCACCTCATCTCCGCTCGCTGCCAGGCGTAACCGCTCCATCCAGCTGATGTAGAGCCCTACATGTATGACACCAGGGTTGTGAGGGCGAACATGAACATGCAGACATCTTAGACGCTGCATGCCTGGGAGTCTCTCTGCCGGTTACAGAGATGACATGTTTTCACATTGCTGAGACTGCTCGTTTGACATTAACTACAGTGAACATGATTCAACTTGATTCTGGGAGATATTGAAGATGTGATGTTTGGAAAGGATTATACAACAAAAAAATATTGTACATATGCATCTCATCACAGATTAATCTTTCCATACCATATGCGTGACTAGTGAGCCATAAGTAATCCCCCCCCGGGCCTTTCTTAAACACTAGGCTAATCTTTTCCAAGTACTGTATCGCCTGTCCTAAGAGCACTTTTGCCATCACTGCATTAAAAACATACGCTTGAAGATGCATTAATTTTACATTTGTCATTTTAGCAGACTCTCTTATCCAGAGGAACTTACAATTAGTTATTCATCAGTTACCCATCAGACAATACTCAGAACCTCTATATGACAGGCTAAAGACATATCTGGGAGTTGTAGAAAGAGTAATGGACAATGTAGTATTAATCTGGGAAAGCTGGCGTACTGTACCCCCTTGTGGGAGATTTTACGTTCCCAGAAATGCTAACTACAGTAGGGCAGCAGGCAGCGTATGTTTGTGGAACAAGTGCTCTTGTGACTCTCCACGGCACGCTTGAAATGGTCCCTGGGGTCCCCTGCAATGTCTGTGTTCAACTCAGCACTTCTGCAAACTCAGGCAATCTTCTGCCATTCACATTCATCATCGGAGATGCCTCTGATATTTTGTGACAACCGCTCAGAAAGGCAAGGAAAAGCCTTCCATATGGATCCATCAGGTTTAAATGAAGGGGGCTTGACCTCCGTTGCTACAGTGTAGCCGATCCCTAGAGGTGCAATTCTGTCAGGGAGTTCACATGGAATTATATTCAGCATGTAGGCTGCTGTACTTCTTGTCAGATGGAGCACTTGTTGCCCCCTCTGCGTGTGAAGGCTTGTTAGCAGAGTGCTGATGTCAGTAGTACTGTATGATAAAGGGATCGATTTAGACCTACACTTTGCTGCCCTCTAACTCACTCCCAAAAGAATGCATTTCATTCTGTATGTGTTGCCAGACTGACTTGACTTGAAAATATTTGACATGTCGACTCTACAGTGATCTGTCCATTGGCCAGGTTGTCACTGTCCACTTCCTTAGTCTCTCTGTCTCTGTTGCAGACCCTGTTTGGACCGTAATGACCGCACGCTTCCGGTTGCCTGCTGGCAGATCTTACAATGTCCGGGCATCGGAGCTGGCACGCGACAGCCAGCACACGGAGGTGGTCTGCAACATACTTCTCTTGGACAACACCGTCCAAGCCTTCAAAGTTAACGTAAGTATCACAACAAACTCTAGTATATTCATGTTTATGTACAGTATGTTCCTGATCCACTGTAATGGGCTGTTAACCATGTCGAAAGCACTAAATGGCCATGTCCCAGAGTAGTGCAGTATTGCAGCCCTACTCTACACACAAACTCTGGCTCTCCAATTATCGAACACTGTCCTCTTGCAGTGGTAGATCTTTCAAGGCTATTTTGGCGCCAAGATTCTGCAACTCTCCCCTATAAGATATCCAGGACTGTTAGACCACAACATGTTGTTAATCTAAGATGAAAATGTCCACCAGCTGCAGGGTGGAGGAGGTGGGGATTTAGGCCAGGGCTGCAGCCCTTGCTCCTCTCACCATGAAATGCCTGACATTCCTACTCACAGAGGAGCCTCTCCAAGTGCTGCCCATTCAAGTACATACTAGCTCACTGACGGCGTCTTTCTAGCTACACATACGCACCACACACTGGGTGCCAATCAGGGACAGTAAATCATAGTGTTCAGTGTCTTGATTGCAACACCAGTGTTTTCCCTCCCGATAGGGAGCAGTCACTGCTGCTGCTAGGTTATTTGATCGTGGGGCAGCCAGCCACAGAGAATGTTCGCCACGGGACATTTGTTTTTTTCTCTCCATGTTGTCATTGTTTAGAAAGAGGAAAAGCCTTCCTCCATGAAACATAGCAGGGTTAATTGAGCGTGTTGAGATGGCCACACAATCATATTTCAGGTCAGGGGGAATATAAAAGTGGTTGCACAAAGTCACAAACTGTCCCCACATGTTATATAATAGTTATTATGGAACTTAAGAATAATGGGGGGGGGGGGGGGGGGTTATGAACGGGATAGTAAGGAAGGGCCTGAGTGATTGTTGGTGTCAGACAGGTCAAAGTAAATATTCTCATTCCTGGTTGTCTGGACAGGTGTGAGGTGGGGAGAGGTAGGGTTTATGCTTGACTATGCGCTCATACATTCATAGTGAGGTGCTTTATGGACAAGCTTAAAACGGTGTGAGAGCATGGTGTTGTGTATGGGGTGTGAGAGAATGGTGTTGTGTATGGGGTGTGAGTGTATGTGATGCTGGACAATTTGTGTCCTGTGTGTGTTTGTGTTAGTGTGTGTGTGTGTGTGTGTGTAAAGCTGTGTGTGTAGCCCCATGCCCTATCTTCAGCCCCTGGCCTCCCACTATAGAACTCCCCTCCCAGGGTACCACTCAGAGAGACTCCTCTCCCTGCCTGCCTCCTTCTCTCCCTGCCTGCCTGTATCCAGGGGTTAAAGTTCTCAGTCACTGCAACGCATTTCCGTCCTATGGATTCTGGAGTTTGTTGTTTGTTGTTTTTGAGATCAGTGTAGATCTACAATAAAAATGCTGCTTTGGAGATGACAGCCTGATACAGAAGCGTGTCTGTTCTACTAAATAAATTCCTAAATAAATGTTTTCTCAAATATTGTGTATGTATTACGTTGTGTGCACTGAACTGACATGCATGATTGTTGCTGACACTCCGATGTTCAGATGAAGGGAATGAAATAGTCTAATGCCCACCACCGCGGTGCACAACTCAAACTGGTGTGTAGCTGCTGGCAAAGTCATTCAAAGCCTATACTTTATCACTCAGGATGTCATTTTCTGTACTACTATTTTTGCCATGTAATGTTATTAAATCAAAATCAGACAACCTCATAGTAGAATAGTTTACCTATTTACCTAATGGGCTTGTGTTCTATGGGAGAGAAATATTCATCTTGAGGCGCATTTGAGTTGCAAGAGCCATAGGGAGGGAAACATGTATTCTGACAAGCTGTCAATGCACAACAATTCTTAATGCAATCGCGGGGAAAAACACTTTTGAAAGCAGTTTTGGCCTTTGTTAAAAGGGAAACAATTTAATGAAATAAATAAAAAAACAAGGGGTATTAGAAGTGGTGCAAACAATTAAATTGATGGAACCCCCAATCTATCAGCAATATTAAAGCGTTCCATTGCTACCATGCATATTTCTCTACTCCTACAATTGCGCTCGGCCTTAAAAAAAAAAAATGCAGTTACAGCTGGAGTTTCAAGCATGGTTTAGGTGCAGCTGTGCGTCAGAGCTCTTAAAGGGGAAATGGCATCTTAAAAGGGCAATTTACATACTTTGTAATAGAAACCAAAAAATGTAATTTTTGAGTTAATCATTTTAAATAATAATGAATAATAATAATAACAATCAGGATGTTGTGTCCAATGGGATAAATGCAGATGGACAAAGCCCATGCTTCAGCCTCTGTATTTATAGCCACTAATGCATCAGTTGGGCTACAGGTGAAAATGCTTATTGCTGATTGCACATTTGATAATATAGACCATGCATAGGCTAAATGCATGGTCCAATATGTTAGAATAATTTTTACATCATTTTGCCAATGTGATATTGGGCTTATTTCTGGAGGTGGTGTCAGCAGATGGTGTTATTTTCATTCATTTTGGAGTAGCATGTCCTTTTAAAAGGTCACCAGAACTGAGCTTCTCAGTCCTTCTACATAAACATTCTCCCAGGGAGGTCCCCGGACCCCCTAAGCAAGGGGACTGGAATTGGTCAAACTCAGTTTCATTGGATAGTTTGGGATTTTGGCAATTATTTGTATATATCTGCGTCGAGTATGAAGGAAGTTAGAGGTAGTTTTGCCAGTCTACAGGACTTCCAGTCATTGCACTAACGCTAGTTAGCAACTTCCTTCCAACTGCACGCAGAGACATAAAAATGGTATCCACAAGCAATGTTCCCTCCTATTTAATTTTTTTCCAGCACTGAGAAAATGTCAGGTCTGCTGAGCGTAAACTAAAACGTTGTGAAAATTCTGTGCAACTTCCTCTGCGCGTTTACTGTGAACACTGACATGCTGACCACACCGCCGGTGTTGCATGCGCGAGCATTGCAAGATCAATTTACACATCTTTAATCATTTCATCCAAACTGGTCGCTCATGTCAACGAGCGTATTCGTAGCCAGGCGCTAAAATAGAACTTTGTTCTATTTTTGACACTTGATGCGCTGCAAGTCCTGCCTCTCCCATCTTCTCATTGGTTTTTAGGAGCATATACCCACGTGGGTGATTGAAAGATGAACTGAGGTCTACACTCCAGTCCAGTTGGTGATGGTAATGCGCCTTAAAGTTGGTTGCCAACCGCCATATAAAGTCCACAGAAGAAGAAGACCGAAGGAGGAGAGATTACTAAAAACTAACTAGGTTTCCCTTTTATCTGTGTATTAGTTGTCGGAGTAGAGAACACACAATTTTGTGTAACTCAAAATGGGTCAGAATTCTACAAAGATCCAGAAAAAAAGGACCTTGTGCATTTCAGGTAAAATAACAACCCAATGTTTATATTAGCTAGCAACAAACAGCAAGCTAGCTAAACATCCATTAATGTTTCATGTATTTCGACCTGTCCCCAAATTAATATAGTTGGTTCAGAGTAGGGCTGTGGCGGTCACGAAATTTCGTCAGCCTGTGATTGTCAAGCAAATAACTGTCGGTCTCACGGTAATTGACCGCTAATTAACATAAAGGGGTTCCACACATGCAAGCTGCTGATGCGTACCTTTGAAATATCTACATTTTAAAAGTCTAAAGTGTAATAAATCAATTTAATTGCATGTACACCATCACAATAAATCCATTATTTATTTTAGGCAGGTCTTTCCTATGAAACATTATAATATGAAGAAGTGCCATTATTTTATATTATATGATTTTATAGTGAGAATTTAATTGAACTTCGCTGAATAAAATTGAAAGGATATTTTTCTGAGCTAGTGCGCACATGGAACGGTTATTCTGTGTTCAGCTTAAAAAGTGATAATTTGAAACAGGTTATATGCTTGATTTTGAGTTATTTGGCAACTTTAGTTGTGAATGATACAAACCTTAGAATGTCTTATGAAATCAAAACATACATGGGCTGCATGATTCCACTATATTGATGATGTAAAAGAAAATGGGGGGAAAAGGCATACACCATTTCTTGTCGCAGTGTAATTGCCTATATGTGTGAAATTAGTTTTGATTTAAAATGGCCAATTATCAGCTGGGCAGGCTAAACACCACCATCACCATTATATAATGATTAAACTGTTATGATTTAGCAGACACAATTTTGTTTATGGCCTTTTATTTATATTTTTTACTGAGGGCAAAAAAAAGCAGCATGGTGACATCAGCATTGTGACAAATAGTGCATGTAGACTACTTAGGCTTACAAATAGGAATTTTTGTAATTTTCTATTTTTTCGTTTTAAAGGGGGTTGGTTATGAAGTTCATGTGAAAAAATATGAATAAAAACACTGAAATAGTAATACATGTAAAGCAAAAGCACACGTGAAGAATAAATAAGACTTCTAATTATGTTTTTAAAAAAAGCACAACAGAAAATAATAAAACTATTGCGCTAAAAGTTTAAGCTGCCTGTTGCCTATAATGGCTATTGTTTCAGTCCACTATCATAGGCTATAGCACTCGCCAACGTTAGGCTATAAGGTTCCGATTAAGAAACACCAGCATGTTTACTTTTTTGGGCTTCAGTGAAGACCGGAGAGAGGTAACTATGTTCCCTGCCGTGCTGAACACCCTCTCTGACGCAGTGCTGGTAGCGCAAATGCACATATACTTTTTAGCAAGCAGAGCCAATAAAGGAAAACAAGAGTGGTTAAACCCGCCACCATGACAGGGGGTCAGCAGATGTGTCCGTTTCCTTCTCTTCCATATAGCGGGTCATCTCGGTGTCGGCAAGCACTCTCAAGGGTACCGGGGTGGAGCTTTCAGGGCCAGTTTCTTCTCTAAGAAGATCACCAAGATTCATATTTTTAGCCGGGGGCTGTGCACAGTCATCTCCAGCTGTACAGCTGGTGCCGCCTCCGTCTACTTCCCCGAGTGCAAACATCTCCTGAAGAAGGGCATCTTTCGTGCCATCCAAGCCATCTCCCACATGGCCTTTGTACCGGGGGTCAAGTAGGCAGGCCTTTGACAAAAGTCCCTGTAGTGCTGGTGCTTTGTACTTGTCCTGCAATACACTGCCCATCTTCTTTTTTATATTTTTCGTTAGCTCGGAGTCGTTGGGTTAGGGAGAGGGAATCTGTCCCGTTAAAAGTCATAAAATGGGCTTGACTGATGACACTGTCACATAGTTCTCCCCAGATAGGATATCAGTGAAGTCGGCCACAGGCTTCAGTGCGGCATTGACCGATTGCAGAACATTGATGACCTGCCATGACGGATCGAAATGCTTGTGTTCTCGATCGTCAATCAATACCCGTCGTATGGCCGGGACCTGCTCAAAAACTATTTTGACCATTTGTTGTTTGGTCCCCCAACGTGTGTTACAATCCTGCGGGATGAAAGATAATAACGTTTATGAAATGCAAGGGAATTCGATGGGCATATAATTCGATTTATATACAATTTATTAATCTAGGACCAACATCTTGATAACTAAATTGTAGCTTGTATTTGATTTAAAAAGCCTACAATTGATAGAATGAAATGTGCACATCATTCGATTGATATACAGTACCAGTCAAAAGTTTGGACACACCTACTCATTCCAGGGTCTTTCTTTATTTTTTACAGTTTTCTACATTGTAGAATAATAGTGAATACATCAAAACTATGAAATAACACATATGGAATCATGTAGTGACCAAAAAAGTGTTAAACAAATCAAAATATATGTTATATTTGAGATTTTTCAAATAGCCAACCTTTGCCTTGATGACAGCTTTACACACTCTTGGCATTCTCTCAACCAGCTTCACCTGGAATGCTTTTCCAACAGGATTGAAGTAGTTCCCACATATGCTGAGCACTTGTTGGCTGCTTTTCCTTCACTCTGCGGTCCGACTCATCCCAAACCATCTCAATTGGGTTGAGGTCAGGGGATTGTGGAGGCCAGGTCATCTGATGCAACACCCCATCACTCTCCTTCTTGGTAAAATAGCCCTTACACAGCCTGGAGGTGTGTTGGGTCATTGTCCAGTTGAAAAACAAATGATAGTCCCACTAAGCCCAAACCAGATGGGATGGCGTATCACTGCAGAATGCTGTGGTAGCCATGCTGGTTAAGTGTGCCTTGAATTCTAAATAAATCACAGACTTTGTCACCAGCAAAGCACCACCACACCATAACACCACCTCCTCCATGCTTTACGGTGAGAAATACACATGCGGAGATCAGCCGCTCACCCACACCGCGTCTCACAAAGACACGGCGGTTGGAACCAAACATTTCCAATTTGGACTCCAGACCAAAGGACAACTTTCTACCGGTCTAATGTCCATTGCTCATGTTTCTTGGCCCAAGCAAGTCTCTTCTTCTTATTGGTGTCCTTAAGTAGTGGTTTCTTTGCAGCAATTCAACCATGAAGGCCTGATTCACACAGTCTCCTCTGAACAGTTGATGTTGAGATGTGTCTGTTACTTGAACTCTGTGAAGCATTTATTTGGGCTGCAATTTCTGAGGCTGGTAACTCTGGGTCTTCCATTCCTGTGGCGGTCCTCATGAGAGCCAGATTCATCATAGCGCTTGATGGTTTTTGCGACTGCACTTGAAGAAACTTTCAAAGTTCTTGAAATGTTCCGTATTGACTGACCTTCATGTCTTAAAGTAATGGTGGACTGTCGTTTTTCATTGCTTATTTGAGCTGTTCTTGCCATAATATGGACTTGATCTTTTACCAAATAGGGCTATCTTCTGTATACCTTGTCACAACACAACTGATTGGCTCAAACACATTAAGAAGGAAATAAATTCCACAAATGAACTTTTAAAAAGGCACACCTGTTAATTGAAATTTATTCCAGGTGACTGAAGCTGGTTGAGAGAATGCCAAGAGTGTGCAAAGCTGTCATCAAGGCAAAGGGTGGCTATTTGAAGAATCTCAAATATAAAATATATTTTGATTTGTTTAACAGCTTTTTGGTTACTACATGATTCGATATGTGTTATTTCATAGTTTTGATGTCTTTGCTATTATTCCACAATGTAAAAATAAAGAAAAACCCTTGAATTAGTAGGTTTGTCCAAACTTTTGACTGGTAGTGTGTATTGAAGGCATATTAATAGGACTAAAATCTTGATAATGAAATTGTAGCTCGTATTTGATTTGAATACCCAAAAATTAATTGAATGCAATGGAATTTAATACTGAATATGAACTAATTAAGATTACGCACTCACCAGTATGAGCATGTGCTGGGGCATCACAAGATCCTCCTGTGCTTTGTGGAGGTTTCTCGTCTTCTACCAGCTCGTGGAGAAGGTGCTGGCGAGTGTCCTAAGGAGCCCCAAGACCGGGTTGTGCGGTCTTTCTGACTTGCAACACCTTTTGTGTCAGCCAGATGCAGGTTGTGTCCATAGCAGTTAACCCATGGCCAACCCAACTGCCTCTCCACGGCCACAATGTTTGCCCCGTTGTCAGTTGTGATGCAGGACACTTTCTTCTCATCCAATGCCCACTCTGCCAACACCGACCGGAGAGCTTCACTCAGGTTGTCTGCAGTATGGTTCTCTGGCATATAGGTCGTCTCAAGACGATGAGACATGAGAGACCAATCACTAGATATGTAGTGAACAGTCAGGCTCATGTATGGGGTCATGTTTATGCTAGACCACATATCTGTTGTGAGAGAGAAGTTGGGTATGTCTTTGAGTTCTTGGATAATTTTTCCCCTCACTTTCTTATACATATTGGGAACAGCCGTTCGTGAAAAGAATGCTCTCGATGGTAACTCTTACTTATTGTCCATTTCCTGCATTCATTCTTTAAATGATTGCTATTCAACTGTATGAGAAGGAACCATCTCCCTTACCAAGTAGAGAGTCACATGGTCAGTTATTCTCTGCCGTTTGTTGCTGTCTCGTTTGTATTTCTCCACTCGTGGGAACGCCTGCGCAACACTCAGCTGCCCCTTGCCACATGTTTTGCCGCCACCTGTTGAATCTGGTGTGGTAGAGGTTCCTCTTAGTTCATCAAATTTTGCAGGGTGGTTAATTCGAAGGTGGCTTCTCAGATTCAAGGTGTTTACGTGTTTATCAAATGTTTTCTTCTCGCATATTCGGCAAATGGCTTCATCCAGGTTTATTAGCCGACCTCTCGTATTTGACTTGAATCCAAAATGCGCCCCAAATGGCTGCAGTTGTGTTTAGCTTTGAAACAATATCCATGACAGTGTTTTATAATCAGTTTCCACCTATTACTGACAAACTGGGCCTGATGGGACCGCTCAGATCTTCCACTCTTTTCTCTCCGTATGGGAAGGTGAGGTTAAATCAAGTTGTCAACATTTTTTAAAAATGTTAGTTTCTGCTATTGCTATCTCAGCAGATTATTCAAATTCAATCATGAAGTGTTTGATTTTCGATTGCATTTGCATTGATGTCAGAGTGATTAGAAGGACAATCGAGTGCTGAGTACCAGGCCATTAGTGACTTGATGGCTGTTAGCAAGTGCACAGTTTTAGAGTAGCCTAGTTACCGTGAATCAACGGTCATGTGGAATTTGACTGCGGTCATGACTCGTGACTGCTGGTGTGGCGGTAATACGGTCACCGTAACAGCCTTAGTTCAGAGTTTGTTTTGATATTTCAACCTGCGTGTCCTGATCGCGTCTGGTGTGGATGGACAAAATCAACATGCGGACACATGCGCGTGCCCGGTTTAGTCAGCATGTGAGGCTGTAACCGTTTTAAGTTAGTTTTAAGTGGCCAAGTAGGATACTGTGGCTATTTGATCATGGTCCTCTGTAGCTCAGCTGGTAGAGCACGGCGCTTGTAACGCCAAGGTAGTGGGTTCGATCCCCGGGACCACCCATACACAAAAATGTATGCACGCACGACTGTAAGTCGCTTTGGATAAAAGCGTCTGCTAAATGGCATATTATATTATTATTATTATATCATAATGTAGGCCTACCAAAGTGGCCTACCATCAAAATCTATGAAGAAAATGCATATCATAACATTTTAACATGGAAATAGCTGTTCTATCATTCAGCTTACAGTAGCAGCCAATGTGTGGTGTTCAATGTAGGCCTACATTCCATGAAAAAAAAAAAAAAAACATACAGGGCTTGACATTAACCTGTTTATCCACTTGTCCTTCAGACAAGGAAGTGACTGAAAATGTTTGATGCAAAAAAACACTTGATATTCCCATACCATTATTAGAGAATCAGACAAATTTGAATACTTAGCTTATTCAAGACGTCTCAAAATCCAACACTGCCCCTTTAAGACACAAAATAAAGCTCTTTACCTGACTTGCTTTTCAAAGATGGCTAGAAATGCACACGTTTTGTGCTCTTGTTGGACGCAACCACTCCCCCATTGTTGACTAGAAATTAGCTATAACTGGGCTAATAACGCACTAAATAGTAAATAATATGAACAAATGTGCACGTGGCTACATGCAGCTCTCGCTTTGATCTCAAAATATGCGAATCTATTCGCGACCGCTGATACTGTAGCCTAAACACAGTCAAGTTCAAAGTGTTATGGCACAGATCCATATATGGTATTTGCATATAGGCCTACTGCAGCTCTGATTGGTTATGGGGCACCGGTCTGTGTAGAGTACGGGCCTGAGTCACGCCTATCAATGCAATAGAATCCTACTCCAATGCGCTTTGCCTACAAGAAAATCTCTTGCAAAGTTAGATTTGCATTCGTTTTGTTATGGTATGTTACATTGAAAGTGGCTAATATTGCATTGATTTGATCACAATTCCCACAGTAGAGCGAAACGTTGATAGTGTTAACTAAAGGGGAAAACTCTAGAAAGCTGAGTGAAGTTCAATCTAGTGCTTCTCTGCGTGGTTCTGCAGCTTAGAGGGAATGTTGTCCTGGAGTTCATCTGACTGGGGAAGTAGTTAAAGGGCCTCATTGCCAAAATCCCAAACTAATTATAATTTTCCCTTAAAAGCATGATGGTCATTACTTTTTTTACATGAAAGGAGGTTAACTTGGCCCCAGACAATTGATCTGAGATCGACAACTGATCTGATTAATGTATCTGTTTTCTGCTGCTCCTGGACAAGCTGCCTCATGTCTTTCCACATTTCCTTCATTCCTCCATGCTTAGGCTCTAGCAGTGCCCCAAGCCTTGCTAGAGATCCATCTAGCTCTATCTCTTATGATTGCAACCATGTACAGTATGTTTAAATGTAAATACTATATTAATGTGTGTTTATGTTCATACATACTTGTTTTCTCATACACATAGACATTCGTGCATTGACAGCACATTTACTTTAGAGATATCTTCCATTCAGACCCCCGGCCTGTATTGACCCTAACATTCCCCCCCTCCTCTCTCGCTAGTCCAGTCCCCACCATCTCAGGCACTGGCTCAAAGATAGAAGTGTGAAGATTGAAGAAGATCAGCACAAAGACTGGTTGTTTGGCCCTGCCTGCCGAGTCGTCAATCACCCACTCTCTCGCTTTCTCTCTTGCTCTCTCCCCACCCCCCAGGCTTCAGTGGGGATCTCAGAATAGGCCCATTGCCATTCTCCTCCACAGATGGGCTAGCCCTCTAGTCAAGTTCTCTCTCCAGTTGCCTCCCAGATAACTGAAGTATCTTTCAAGACATGTGTTAATCTAACTTTCCCATTCATTCTAATTACCTCAAAGAGAAAGTGTCCACCCAGTCTTAAGATGATAACTTGCTGACATTTCTTGTCTCAATGTTGTTAACTAGCATGCAATGAGAAGATAAGGGTTGTGTGTAAATTAACACCTCCTTCCCCATGCTTCAGAGTGCTGTCCTGTCAACGTGTGTGTGTGTGTGTGTGCTTGTGTGTCCCTGCCACCATTTAAATAATACATAGCTTTTGCCTCTTGCACTGACTGCATTTGCACATTTGGCCTGAGGCTTTTAGAAAGCCAGCGAAGAGGAGACTGCAGCCTGAGAGCTTGCTAGAGTAACGCCACAGAAAGGTCCCGCATCCAGTCAGAACAACCACTTCAGACAGCCAGGGAGCAGCAAATAACACACACACTCTAGCTCTGGTGGGGACAACTGCTGAGGAGGGACACACAAATAATGTCAGAAGTAAAGCATTGGAATAGATTAGGAAATGTCAGATTACAAGCTTCACTCTGGAAGAATGTGAGCTGGCTGAAAATTATTTTAGTGATGTGAAACATGCCATTATCTCATTAAGGCTCCAAAAACGACAGACCTCTACTCTCGGCAGTGTGTACCTTTTTTTAAAGGGTAACCGTCAACAACAGATTGGTAAAATAATGTTTTGTCTTGGCGCAACTAGCCTACCGCTGAACATTTTACGTTTTCTGTAAGCCTGTGAGAGACCATTTCCACGGTGCCTAGCCTATTGGTTGTAAAGCACAACAACCACACAGTTAATTGGTCTCATACTACACCCCAAGCAATGAGTCAGCTGTGTGAATGTTGAATTCCATGCTGCTACAGTACCCAAGCTATATGTCACAGACACATCCCCCAGGGTGACGTGGACTCCTCTGTGGAGATGGAGTGTGACTCTGTTTGCCCTCCATGCGACGTCTGGCTCCGGCTCCCCATGCATAACTAAACCAGTGTTCTGTTCTCAGCAGAGACATCTGATTGGCCCACTGGCGAGGGTACCAGGGCATAGGCCCCGAGAGGATCCTAGACTGTCAGGTCGCACTCCTCACCTCTGCTGCTCCTCTCCTCTTTTCCTTCCTCCTTTTCCTTCTTCTCCCACTACACCCTCTATTATTCAGCATCTCCATATTAACTCTCATTTGAGCGCTAGAAGCAACGGCAGCATTATCATTCTTGGGAATTTGAAGAGCTCCTTGTTTGGCTTGTTTTCCGTCTAGATTAGAACATGAGAGGAGTAGAGATGCTCAGTAAGGGTCGACGGGTTCACATACCAGTACTCTTTAGAGAAAGTATATTGTACCATGATTTATCGTCACTTACTTAAAGGCCCAGTGCAGTCAAAATTCTGTTTTTTTCTGTGTTTTATATGATATTGTACAACAGCTGATAAAACGAACACTGTAAAACTCATCAGTGTTCTTTCCTGATAGTTGCTAGTTGAAAATACAATCTACACAAGACATTCTAATCAGCAGGTTTGCATGGGCGGGATTTTCTGCTTTCCATTGTGACACACCATACGGTAAATTGGTTAATAGACCAATAAGATAGCGTTCCAAACCTCTGCCTATAAATGCTAGTTTTCTGTTTTCCACACTCAGACCACTCCCAGACAGTCCCTTGCAAAATTCTTGCTTGAGAAAATGTTTTGTGCTAAATAGCTATTTTTGCCCATTTTATTGGAAATCTATCACAGTAATGTACTTAATTGTTACCCAGAAATGATTTGATGTTGATATAAAAACGTTGATGTTGATATAAAAACGGCTGCATTGGGCCTTTTAAATAAAAGGTTGGATAAATGAAATATTAAAGGGGACTACAAAAAGTTACCATCACTCTGTTGTATTTGTCTCACTCTCATTCAAATCACTTGATTATATTGACCTAGTGGTTTAAAAAGCTGACCCCCAGCTCACAGGGACCTACTAATCCCGCAGAGGCTAACACAGCAGGCGTCTGTGCCAGCCAGAGGGAGAGAAAGAGGGATCTCCCCCTGGTGTCCTCTAGCCAGGGGTTGAGGCTAAATGTAGTGGACACGGGGCGAGGCTGTGTCAGCTCATAATTGACAGTCAACAGCCCAGAGCTGCCTGGAACTGGGGACTGGGGCTGTGACATGGACCCAACTGAGACTATGCAGTCTCTCAGCTGAGACTGCAGCTCCATGTCAACACCATCACCATCCACTCATTGGCACAGCACTGCTTTGAGTCATAGGGGAGGCAGGGGGGGGGGGGGGGGGGTGAGAGAGAGCAGAAGGGAGACAAGTGGTTGTCACTGTGCCTAATGGGACTGAGCCATGGGAGACAGACAGTGCTAGGTAGCAGCCACTTCGGCCTTGCTGCCATGGAGACTTGTGGCATGGGGATTTAGCTTGGAGACTCGAACACACACAAATCAGAGATGCTTCCCATGAGTAATTCTCTCTTTCTCTCTCCCTCTCTCCCCCTCTACAGAAGCACGACCAGGGTCAGGTCTTACTGGATGTAGTGTTTAAACACCTGGAGCTGACAGAGCGGGACTACTTCGGCCTGCATCTGGCTGACGACTCCTCAGACAGCCCGGTAGGTGCCAAGGTCAGACTTTATGATGAAACAACTTCAGTCAACACTATCACTCTCATTACATACGGTCTCCAAGTGTCACTGAGTGTAGCTTTTTCTGCTCTCACCTAAGTGTAACTACAGTGAGGGGGAAAAAGTATTTGATCCCCTGCTGATTTTGTACGTTTGCCCACTGACAAAGACATGATCAGTCTATAATTTTAATGGTAGGTTTATATGAACAGTGAGAGACAGAATAACAACAAAAAATCCAGAAAAACGCATGTCAAAAATGTTTTGGTGGCAAAACCCTTGTTGGCAATCAGAGGTCAGACGTTTCTTGTAGTGGGCCACCAGGTTTGCACACATCTCAGGAGGGATTTTGTTCCACTCCTCTTTGCAAATCTTCTCCAAGTCATTAAGGTTTCGAGGCTGACGTTTGGCAACTCGAACCTTCAGCTCCCTCCACAGATTTTCTATGGGATTAAGGTCTGGAGACTGGCTAGGCCACTCCAGGACCTTCATGTGCTTCTTCTTGAGCCACTCCTTTGTTGCCTTGGCCGTGTGTTTTGGGTCATTGTCATGCTGGAATACCCATTCACGACCCATTTTCAATGCCCTGGCTGAGGGAAGGAGGTTCTCACCCAAGATTTGACGGTACATGGCCCCGTCCATCGTCCCTTTGATGCGGTGAAATTGTCCTGTCCCCTTAGCAGAAAAACACCCCAAAGCATAATGTTTCCACCTCCATGTTTGACGGTGGGGATGGTGTTCTTGGGGTCATAGGCAGCATTCCTCCTCCTCCAAACATAGCGAGTTGAGTTGATGCCAAAGAGCTCCATTTTGGTCTCATCTGACCACAACACTTTCACACAGTTCTCCTCTGAATCATTCAGATGTTCATTGGCAAACTTCAGACGGGCCTGTATATGTGCTTTCTTGAGCAGGGGGACCTTGCGGGCGCTGCAGGATTTCAGTCTTTCATGGCGTAGTGTGTTACCAATTGTTTTCTTGGTGTCTATGGTCCCAGCTGCCTTGAGATCATTGACAAGATCCTCCCATGTAGTTCTGGGCTGATTCCTCAACGTTCTCATGATCATTGCAGCTCCACGAGGTGAGATCTTGCATGGAGCCCCAGGCCGAGGGAGATTGACATTATTTTGTGTTTCTTCCATTCGCGAATAATCGCACCAACTGTTGTCACCTTCTCACCAAGCTGCTTGGCGATGGTCTTGTAGCCCATTCCAGCCTTGTGTAGGTCTAAAATCTTGTCCCTGACATCCTTGGAGAGCTCTTTGTTCTTGGCCATGGTGGAGAGTTTGGAATCTGATTGATTGCTTCTGTGGACAGGTGTCTTTTATACAGGTAACAAACTGCGATTAGGAGCACTCCCTTTAAGAGTGTGCTCCTAATCTCAGCTCGTTACCTGTATAAAAGACACCTGGGAGCCAGAAATCTTTCTGATTGAGAGGGGGTCAAATACTTATTTCCCTCACTGTATCTGTGGCTTTTGCATATCTAGTAGTGTAACAGTCATGGGTAAATTTAGTCTGTAGACTATTGTGTTGGAGAGGGATTAATAGGGATAAGATAGGGAGGGTTGGAGTGAGTCAATGTTATGTTTAGAACCACTTCTTCTACATAATCCATTCTACAATCCATCTGTTAGCCTAAGTCATGTTGGAGGCCTGTATGCTAATGGGACAAATTGCATGCCACTACACACTATACTACACCACAGCTTGCTGCTCAATGACCCACACTGATGCAGTGTTAAGATCGATACGAGTTGTGTTGACACAGTCCTCATCACCATCACCCCTCCTTAAGTGTTGTGTACTGTCAATTTGTACTTAGCTAGTAGCTAGCTACAGATCAACACGGCCCTGCCTGCATTTACCTTCTGGAAATCAGAGAGGTGGGTAGAGATAAAGTGAGAGGTGAAGGGGGCTGACTGGTGAATAATTGAGAGTGAGCAGGGTTGCTGAGGAACTGTTATCGTGTCATTGAGTTTCTCCTCATCTATATTTTACAGAGGTGGCTGGATCCAAACAAACCCATCAGGAAGCAGTTAAAAAGTAGGTGAACATTCAATCTACCGCTCAGAAATGGATGGATTAACAGGGAAGTGGTTGTTTTAAAGTGGAAATACAATAATCTGTCATTTTACATTTACAGGGGGATCACCTCATAATCTGAGTTTCAGAGTGAAGTTCTTTGTGACAGACCCTAATAAACTTCAGGAAGAGTACACTAGGTAAGGATACTAATAAAGAGTGCACTGGGTAAGGTCCCTAATAAAGAGTACACTAGATAAGGATAACCTGCCATTTCATGCCCATATAAGGAGACTAATTACCCGGGTAACTGTTAAACTATAGGCCAGTATTACACTAACCAAAGCCCTAAGCCGCTAATCGTACTAATGGGGATGAATAGATTAAACTTGTTAGATGGAATAGGTCCGGCAGGGTTTAAGAGCTCGCTACCAGTTAGTTTAAGACTAGAATCAGCATGGTAGGTAGATTAGCCAATAATGGACAAGTTGCACTGATGGCAGCCTTGCACACAGCTAGTCATAAATAGGGCAGTGGCATGCCATGGAGGCTGCTTGCCCCTATTGCAGGGGATTCCATACATGGTCAATAGAAACAGAGTTACAGTCTGGATACTCCAGTGTTGTTTAATCAATTTATGCACTCAAGCATTTCCTTGCTCAACCAGCCTTATCAAGTGAGTGCACCACTTTGTAGATCTAAGATACAGAGAGGCATGGATCTGTTTTGGATGTGCACTATTGATTCCAGACACCACACAACAATGCTGTTGAGCACTCACACTATGATGAGATTAATTCACTATTAGTTATGCACAACACAGTACATAGGCTACACGTTAAGTCATAGATATGTAGCTTAAGCAATAAGCATCAGAGAAGCTCCATGTGAGTGGGTCCTGTCCAGTCGCTCTATTCTGCTGTACTGTAGATTATGTCCAAATGTTCATAATCACAGAGACATCCGTATCACGTTGTTGGTGTAACTGCTCTCCTTATTCCACTAGGTACCAGTATTTCCTCCAGCTCAAACAGGACATCCTGACAGGAAGGTGAGTTATAATAATAAATAATAATATAATACGCCATTTAGCAGACGCTTTTATCCAAAGCGACTTACAGTCATGCGTGCATACATTTTTGTGTATGGGTGGTCCCGGGGATCGAACCCACTACCTTGGCGTTACAAGCGCCGTGCTCTACCAGCTGAGCTGGTAGAGCACGGACACTCACACACTGCTCTAGCACACTCACACACTGCTCTAGTGACCTTACACGGATTCTACCGGCCCAGCACTTTGACACACTACTCTAATAGTAGCTGCCATTGATAAAAGCTCTAGTTTTCCTATTGATCCAAATGAATCAGTGTCATGACTTGTGTTTTTGTGAATTGTGGCCCACAGATTGCCCTGCCCGCACAACACTGCCGCGCTCCTGGCGTCCTACTCTGTTCAATGTAAGTTCCAATCCCCAGGCGTGCTGCCAGAGATACACACGCAAAACAGGGATATGTAGCTACTGGTAGTTAGTTAATCCATTTGATCTCTGTTGCGCCATACGAGGCTGCACAGTGTATGGCCACTAGGCGACTCAAATGCTTTTAGTGTGAGAGGACTAGGAAGATGTGTGTTGAAAGCTTTTAGCTGAGGGTCAGTGTACTCAGCAGGACTTTCCAATAGTCACTCGTTGTGTGCTGCCACATAGCATAACGTTTTCCGACGTCAAATCAAATGTAGTATTTAATTATCTCGCCCAATAAAAAAAGCAGTTTGCAGCGGATCCTGTAATTAGCCATAACCCTCTCTTTATGCCCCTGACGTTAGTGGAACATGGATAGCTGTGTATGGAACACTGTGCTAATATCTTTTTTTTTTTTGTTGCATTATTTGAGCTTGTTTGAGAAGTGTTTTATTTTATTTTATTTTTTTATATATTTTTGGGGGGTGAAGGGTTCAGATCACAGACAGGCAATAATGTTCAAAAAGTACATATGTAAAGAAGAAAAAAAACAATAGAGAGAAAAAATACAAATATGATTTGTCCTGTCATTTTTTCAAGGCCTACCTTCAAACTCAGTGCCTCTTTGCTTGACATCATGGGAAAATCAAAAAAAATCTGCCAAGACCTCAGAAAAGAAAATGTAGACCTCCACAAGTCTGGTTCATCCTTGGGAGCAATTTCCAAACGCCTGAAGGTACCACGTTCATCTGTACAAACAATAGTACACAAGTATAAATACCATGGGACCACGCAGCCGTCATACCGCTCAGGAAGGAGACGCGTTCTGTCTCCTAGAGATGAACGTACTTTGGTGCAAAAAGTGCAAATCAATCCCAGAACAACAGCATAGGACCTTGTGAAGATGCTGTAGGAAACAGGTACAAAAGTATCTATATCCACAGCAAAATGAGTCCTATATCGACATAACCTGAAAGGCCGCTCAGCAAGGAAGAAGCCACTGCTCCAAAACCGCCATAAAAAAGCCAGACTACGGTTTGCAACTGCACATGGGGACAATTTGGATAGAATTTGGAATTGTCAGAATACTTTCAAATGTATTAATTTCCATGTCGGCTCTATGCCTGAAAATGCCCTTCTCTGAAGCAAAGGATCCCAATTTCAAACTCTCAAAAAAAGTGTTTAAAATAAATAAACTGGCAACAATTGATATTAACTGGGAAAAAAAGCATTGTATGTAGTTTCTTGCAATAGCCCTCTGTGACTTTAAATAATATTTATTTTAAAACTTTGCTTCCGAAAAGATGTGTCTGGAGATTTGGGTTACTCCGTCAGATTTATCTAAAATCCTAAATTAATTAGGAATGTGCAGGGTCACCTATACCATAAGGACCCTTTATTAATGTCCTCATTATATGTAGTTCAACAAGACCACTCATGGTCTGTAAAGTTCTCTGCTTTTGATATATTTAAACAAACAATATTGGAATCACCATGGTCACAACCATAAACTGTCAACTCCATCTGCCTGATAGATTAAAATAGAAGATTAATTAGGTTTTAGAGTCATAAAGCAACTGAGGAAAAACTAAATTGCTACTGTGTATACCACTTGAATGAAGAAATTTTCAATTTTTGTCAACTTCATAAAACATCAAAAGATCTGATAATATGGTTATGTTTTTATTGGGGATTTTCAAATGAATCATTTTCTATATTTTACAAATGTTTGTATTGGACTTTTATTTTTAGAGGCAAAAATAGGTCTGTTGAGTATCTGTCAGCTCTGTCAGTGGCTTGTCTACTCCGTCACTGATGGCTAACCCCCTTAAGATCAATTTATTTTGTCAATATTCCCCCCAAAACATTTAATCACTGTTCTGCAACATATGCTTAAACAATTTAAGTGTTTGCTGTGCTAGACCTAAGGGATAATGTTGGCTTTATAAATGTTGTTTTATGTTCTAAATCTAAAGAAAAACATGCCAAAATGCTAATGAAATTAGCCCTGGAGAATTTAATAGTACTATAAAACAAAGCAAAAATAAGTTTAGAGATTTGTATTACATATTTGAATATTCTAATGTTAGACTTAAACAATCAAGGCCTTTAAACACTTGTTGGACAATAATTGTAAAAACGAAATGCCTTTTATTGGGTCTGAGAGTTTACAGAAATCCAGTTGGTTGCATTTTATTAAAATAAAAAAATTGGTTGTTCCTTTACATGGTGTGATAGCTGATACTTTGGTCTATCAAAATGTATATTTCAAATGTTGTTAATAGTAAGACAAATATTTCAGATTTACCCGTCTTTCAAGTATCCCTGAGCTCTAAAACAGCCAAATGTTCTCTCATCCTCATGACAAAATGTATAAAATAGCATGAGTTTATCTATAAAACTGCACATTTCCTCTACACTGACCTTGCGGGGGCCCCACGAAACTGCGCTACGGCACTGCAGTACATAGAATACTATGTAGCAGAGTACTGCTGCTGCACAGCCTTGAACAGACATGTCCGGAATACTGTAGCACAATAGAGCCTTTTCAGCTCAGCTCAACTCCTCATGGGAAAGAATAGCCGAGTGGCACAGCAGCTCAACTCAGTTACCAACATGCTAACTAATATACTACATGTTAGCATAGCCTAGCATAGTGAAGCCTAGCCTAGTGATCCACAGCTAGCACCGAGCCACATCCTCCCATTGTAGTGGGCGGTAAGCCTGAGGAGTGTAGCTTGCCAACCTGTGTCATCCGATTGACCTTAATAATGACTCCTGACAGATTGGAGAGGGGGGGGGTTAGGGGTCTGTACCTCCATTGTCTGTCCCATCTCCACTGCACTGAGGGATTTGAACTGCACCTCCAACATATAACACAACCAACCCGTGTCCATATCCAGACTCTTACTTCGGCCTATATTAGTTCAATGTCTCTACCCATGAGAAGGATTTCATGCTATTGTAGCCATGGGGATAGGGGTATGAAACATGATGGAATGCTGCTGGTAATTCGGTTAGTTTTGCAAAATCGGTGAGGCGGATCAAATTCGATCAAGAAATGCACTCTGCTGAAAGCTCTGGCATTAGTGCTGTGTAGATATTTCTTTGCATACTGCTGCAGCATAAATCCATAGGCAATTGACCGTTTAGTTTGAGTGTTGTGGTTCTTTTTTCTTTCTGATTTATAACTGTGTTTTGAATTGATCTGTTTGTCAAAGATAGTCATGAGCCAGTGGTTAAGGGCTCCATTCATATGAATTGAGGCCGGGTCATACACGACCACAAGCTAATGGATCTGAAGTACTTAGCTTCTCAAAGGCTTCTCAACCACTTATCTCTTTCATTAATAGACATCATAACCAGGCTTTTGATTGAGGTTCTTGTCTTCTATTCATTACTACATTGATAGGTAATGGTTTGTCTTTCAAATGCAATATAGGCCTAATATTTTCTGTGTCATATAGGGAGTCGACTTGACCGTGTCTACTATTTAATTGATTTGACTCTCTCTGCGTTGTGTAGCTGAGCTGGGAGACTACAGTGACTCGGAGCATGCTCCTGGTTACCTCTCAGAGTTCTGCTTCATCCCCAACCCGCCCCAAGGCTTCGACAAGGAGGTCACCAAACACCACCAACAGCACAGGTAGGGGCCCATCTTCACAAGACATGCACACACTCTTTCTGTCCCAGGAAACAAAAGATGGCGCCGACAGACACGGTCGCCCTGTTTCTAGCTCCTAGCCAACTTGGCAGTATTTCGTTTTTTTTATTTGCTTAGAACATTTCTAGTACTATTACCTACATCCGAAAATAACTTATGTCTACTGCTGTACAACATTTTGATTGTGTGCTTGTTTGACATTTACTGCATTGATTGATAGGAACTAGGAACATAAGCCTTTCGCTGCACCCGCCCTAACACCTGCTAAACTGTGTACGCGACCAATACAATTTTGGTTTGATTTTGATGTTCATACAGAGTTGTATACTCATGGTTTTATTGAGTGATTTTCCAAGGAAAAGCGTGGTCTCACTGTACTGCTCCGTTTTCTGTGAATGGGTTACGTGCTGTGGAGTTTGAGGCACCTTCCCTCTCTCATGCATTTCTCTCTCTTCCTCCTCAGTGGCCTGTCTCCTGCCCAGTCAGAGTTTAATTACCTGAACACAGCAAGGACTCTGGAGCTGTACGGAGTGGAATTGCACTATGCAAGGGTAAGGCTGCTCCCCTGTGTGTTTGTGTATGTGTACGTGTGTGTGTGTGTCACTGCTACGGTAGAAAATTCACTTTTCATAGCAGCACTGATACCAATGTTTCATACAGCTGTGCCCTAGCTCTAGAAAAGCCAGTGCTTTCTAACCCAGCAGGTAGAAATGGGTAGAGGCAGAGTGAAGGTTGAAACATGCACGTACAATAATATATCATTCTAATGTACAGTCTGCGTGTTCCTCTGGCCCCAGACACCAGGGCCTTATGAAGCTTTTAATGCTTTTAATGCTTTGTATTCCTGTAATAAAAAAGTGGTCAGATGATGCAGATGCTAAGCTACAGGACTGTTTTGTTAGCACAGACTGGAACATGTTCCGGGATTCTTCAGATAGCATTGAGGGAGTACACCCCAACCAGAAGTCATGGATTACAGGCAACATCCGCACTGAGCTAAAGGGTAGAGCTGCCGCTTTCAAGGAGCGGGACTCTAACCCGGACGCTTATAAGAAATCCCGCTATGCCCTCCGACAAACCATCAAACAGGCAAAGAGTCAATACAGGACTAAGATTGAATCGTACTACACCGGCTCTGACACTCGTCGGATGTGGCAGGGCTTGAAAACTATTACAGACTACAAAGGGAAGCACAGCCGCGAGCTGCCCAGTGACACAAGCCTACCAGACGAGCTAAACCACTTCTATGCTCGCTTCGAGGCAAGCAACACCGAAGCATGCATGAGAGCACCAGCTGTTCCGGATGACTATGTGATCACGCTCTCCGTAGCCGATGTGAGTAAGACTTTTAAGCAGGTCAACATTCACAAGGCCGCAGGGCCAGACGGATTACCAGGACGTGTACTACGAGCATGTGCTGACCAACTGGCAAGTGTCTTCACCGACATTTTCAACATGTCCCTGACTGAGTCTGTAATACCAACATATTTCAAGCAGACCACCATAGTCCCCGTGCCCAAGAACATTAAGATAACCTGCCTAAATGACTATCGACCCGTAGCACTGACATCTGTAGCCATGAAGTGCTTTGAAAGGCTGGTCATGGCTCACATCAACACCATTATCCCAGAAACCCTAGACCCACTCCAATTTGCATACCGCCCCAACAGATCCACAGATGATGCAATCTCTATTGCACTCCACATTGCCCTTTCCCACCTGGACAAGAGGAACACCTACAGTGAGGGAAAAAAGTATTTGATCCCCTGCTGATTTTGTACGTTTGCCCACTGACAAATAAATGATCAGTCTATAATTTTAATGGAAGGTTTATTTGAACAGTGAGAGACAGAATAACAACAAAAAAATCCAGAAAAACTGATGTAAAAAATGTTATAAATTGATTTGCATTTTAATGAGGGAAATAAGTATTTGACCCCCTCTCAATCGGAAAGATTTCTGGCTCCCAGGTGTCTTTTTTATACAGGTAACGAGCTGAGATTAGGAGCACACTCTTAAAGAGAGTGCTCCTAATCTTAGCTAGTTACCTGTATAAAAGACACCTGTCCACAGAAGCAATCAATCAATCAGATTCCAAACTCTCCACCATGGCCAAGAACAAAGAGCTCTCCAAGGATGTCAGGGACAAGATTGTAGACCTATACAAGGCTGGAATGGGCTACAAGACCATCGCCAAGCAGCTTGGTGAGAAGGTGACAACAGTTGGTGCGATTATTCGCAAATGGAAGAAACACAAAATAACTGTCAATCTCCCTCGGCCTGGGGCTCGTGGAGTTGCAATGATCATGAGAACGGTGAGGAATCAGCCCAGAACTACACGGGAGGATCTTGTCAATGATCTCAAGGCAGCTAGGACCATAGTCACCAAGAAAACAATTGGTAAAACACTACGCTGTGAAGGACTGGAATCCTGCAGCGCCCGCAAGGTCCCCCTGCTCAAGAAAGCACATATACAGCCCCATCTGAAGTTTGCCAATGAACATCTGAATGATTCAGAGGAGAACTGGGTGAAAGTGTTGTGGTCAGATGAGACCAAAATCGAGCTCTTTGGCATCAACAAAACTCGCCGTGTTTGGAGGAGGAGGAATGCTGCCTATGACCCCAAGAACACCATCCCCACCGTCAAACATGGAGGTGGAAACATTATGCTTTGGGGGTGTTTTTCTGCTAAGGGGACAGGACAACTTCACCGCATCAAAGGGACGATGGACGGGGCCATGTACCGTCAAATCTTGGGTGAGAACCTCCTTCCCTCAGCCAGGGCATTGAAAATGGGTCGTGGATGGGTATTCCAGCATGACTATGACCCAAAACACACGGCCAAGGCAACAAAGGAGTGGCTCAAGAAGAAGCACATGAAGGTCCTGGAGTGGCCTAGCCAGTCTCCAGACCTTAATCCCATAGAAAATCTGTGGAGGGAGCTGAAGGTTCGAGTTGCCAAATGTCAGGCTCGAAACCTTAATGACTTGGAGAAGATCTGCAAAGAGAAGTGGGACAAAATCCCTCCTGAGATGTGTGCAAACCTGGTGGCCAACTACAAGAAATGTCTGACCTCTGTGATTGCCAACAAGGGTTTTGCCACCAAGTACTAAGTCATTTTTTGCAGAGGGGTCAAATACTTATTTCCCTCATTTAAAATGCAAATCAATTTATAACATTTTTGACATGTGTTTTTCTGGATTTTGTTGTTGTTATTCTGTCTCTCACTGTTCAAATAAACCTACCATTAAAATTATAGACTGATCATGTCTTTGTCAGTGGGCAAACGTACAAAATCAGCAGGGGATCAAATACTTTTTCCCCTGACTGTACGTCAGAATGCTATTCATTGACTACAGCTCAGCGTTCAACACCATAGTGCCCTCAAAGCTCATCACTAAGCTAAGGATCCTGGGACCAAACACCTCCCTCTGCAACTGGATCCTGGACTTCCTGACGGGCCGCCCCCAGGTGGTAAGGGTAGGTAACAACACATCTGCCACTCTGATCTTCAACACGGGGGCCCCTCAGGGGTGCGTGCTCAGTCCCCTCCTGTACTCCCTGTTCACCCATGACTGCATGGCCAGGCACGACTCCAACACCATCATTAAGTTTGCCGACGACACAACAGTGGTAGGCCTGATCGACAACGATGAGACAGCCTATAGGGAGGAGGTCAGAGACCTGGCCGTGTGGTGCCAGGACAACAACCTCTCCTTCAACGTGATCAAGACAAAGGAGATGATTGTGGACTACAGGGGAAAAAAAGGGGACTGAGCACGCCCCCATTCTCATCAACGGGGCTGTAGTGGAACAGGTTGAGAGCTTCAAGTTCCTTGGTGTCCACATCACCAACGAACTATCATGGTCCAAACACACCAAGACAGTCGTGAAGAGGGCACGACAAAGCCTATTCCCCCTCAGGAGACTGAAAAGATTTGGCATGGGTCCTCAGATCCTCAAAAAGTTCTACAGCTGCACCATTGAGAGCATCCTGACTGGTTGCATCACCGCCTGGTATGGCAACTGCTCGGTCTCCGACCGCAAGGCACTACAGAGGGTAGTGCGTACAGCCCAGTACATCACTGGTGCCAAGCTTCCTGCCATCCAGGACCTCTATACCAGGTGGTGTCATAGGAAGGCCCTCAAAATTGTCAAAGACTCCAGCCACCCTAGTCATAGACTGTTCTCTCTGCTACCGCACGGCAAGCGGTACCGGAGCGCCAAGTCTAGGTCCAAAAGGCTTCTCAACAGCTTCTACCCCCAAGCCATAAGACTCCTGAACAGCTTATCATGGCTACCCAGACTATTTGCACCCCCACCCCATCTTTTTACGCTGCTGCTACTCTGTTAATTATTTATGCATAGTCACTTTAACTCTACCCACATGTACATATTACCTCAACTAGCCGGTGCCCCCGCACATTGACTCTGTACCGGTACCCACCTGTATATAGCCTCCCTTCTGTTATTTTATTTTACTTCTGCTCTTTTTTTCTCAACACTTTTTTGTTGTTGTTTTATTTTACTTTTTTATTAAGAAATAAATGCATTGTTGGTTAAGGGCTGTAAGTAAGCATTTCACAGTAATGTCTACACCTGTTGTTTTCGGCGCATGTGGCTGAGGAACAGCAGAACCACTAAGCCTTGAAGAGCTGTCTGTGTGTGTGTCTTTGTGTCTGTGGACTGTGAAGAAAGAAAGACTAGCGGGGCAGAGCACTCCAGTGTCAAAAGGCCTTAAACTAATCCAGCAATTGTACAGAGATTTCCCTCATTGTCCGATTAGACAGGCTTTTCTCTTTGCCCCAGATAATGTGTCTGTCTGTGTGCTTTTATATGCATGTTTGGGTGTCTTGGTGTGTGTGTGTGTGTGTGTGTGTGTGTGTGTGTGTGTCTGACTGTCCAGGTTTGGTTGTTTTTGTCTAGATAATAGTTTTGTTCATAAGACAAAGCAGGTCACACAATGGCGAAGAGTTACATAGACATTCCTGGTACAATGAGTCAATGGCAGATCTAAACAGAGGCCCCAGCCACAATTGTCCATCCAGCCATTTTTGCTCTAGAATGATCACCACACTTTGACTATTACAGCGGAGAGGTATCAAATCAAGCTTTATGTATACAGCACATTTCAGACATGGAATGCAACGCAATGTGCTTTACAGGAAAAGACGAATAAAAAAAAAAAAACTAAAAGAAAAACTAAAATATTTACTACACAACAAACATAAGATTTTAAAAAACAAAAGTGACACAAAAGAGTGTCACTGATGTCATACCCTAACCCCCCAACCACGTCCGGCCCTAGCCACTAAGCGACCGCTCGCGTGTGGTTGGGCCCCCCCAACCAAAATGTACAGTTGAAGTCGGAAGTTTATATACACTTAGGTTGGAGTCATTAAAACTTGTTTTTCAACCACTCCACAAATGTCTTGTTAACAAACTATCGTTTTGGCAAGTCGGTTAGGACATCTACTTTGTGCATGACACAAGTAAGTTTTCCAACAATTGTATACAGACAGATTATTTAACTTATAATTCACTGTATCACAATTCCAGTGGGTCAGAAGTTTACATACACTAAGTTGACTGTGCCTTTAAACAGCTTGGAAAATTCCAGAAAATGATGTCATGGTTTTAGAAGCTTCTGATAGGCTAATTGACATCATTTGAGTCAATTGGAGGTGTACCTGTGGATGTATTTCAAGGCCTACCTTCAAACTCAGTGTCTCTTTGCTTGACATCATGGGAAAATCAAAAGAAAGTAGCCAAGACCTCAGTAAACTAATTGTAGACCTCCACAAGTCTGGTTCATCCTTAGGAGCAATTTCGAAACGCCTGAAGGTACCACGTTCATCTGTACAAACAATAGTACGCTAGTATAAACACCATGGGACCACGCAGCCATCATACCGCTCAGGAAGGAGACGTGTTCTGTCTCCTAGAGATTAACGTACTTTGGTGCGAAAAGTGCAAATCAATCCCAGAACAACAGCAAAGGACCTTGTGAAGATGCTGGAGAAACAGGTACAAAAGTATATATATCCACAGTAAAACAAGTCCTATATCTACATAACCTGAAAGGCCGCTCAGCAAGGAAGAAGCCATTGCTCCAAAACCGCCATAAAAAAGCCAGACTGCGGTTTGCAACTGCACATGGGGACAAAGATCATACTTTTTGGAGAAATGTCCTCTGGTCTGATGAAACAAAAATAGAACTGTTTGGCCATAATGACCATCGTTATGTTTGGAGGAAAAAGGGTGACGCTTGCAAGCCGAAGAACACCATCCCAACCGTGAAGCACGGGGGTGGCAGCATCATGCTGTGGGGGTGCTTTGCTGCAAGAGGGACTGGTGCACTTCACAAAATAGATGGCCTAATGAGGAAGGAAAATTATGTGGATATATTGAAGCAACATCTCAAGACATCAGTCAGGAAGTTAATGCTTGGTTGCAAATGGGTCTTCCAAATGGACAATGACAAGGTATTGGAGTGGCCATCACAAAGCCCTGACCTCAATCCTATAGAACATTTGTGGGCAGAACTGAAAAAGCGTGTGCGAGCAAGGAGGCCTACAAACCTGACTCAGTTACACCAGCTCTGTCAGGAGGAATGGGCCAAAATTCACCCAACTTATTGTGGGAAGCTTGTGGAAGGCTACCCGAAACGTTTGACCCAAGTTAAGCAATTTAAAGGCAATGCTACCAAATACTAATTGAGTGTATGTAAACTTCTGACCCACTGGGAATGTGATGAAAGAAATAAAAGCTGAAATAAATCATTCTCTCTACTATTATTCTGACATTTCACATTCTTAAAATAAAGTGGTGATCCTAACTGACCTAAGACAGGGAATTTGTACTAGGATTAAATGTCAGGAATTGTGAACAACTGAGTTTAAATGTATTTGGCTAAGGTGTATGGAAACTTCCGACTTCAACTGTAGCTTAGGGCCCCCAAAAGGCTAGGGCCGGCCCTACCCCCGCCACTGTCTTAGGGGGAGAGGGTCTGTGTCTGTACCCCCACCAAAGCTCCCACCAGGCTTTGCCCACTGTCAGGGTGCTTAGATTGTCAGGGTGCTTAGACTCTTAAGCCACCAATTTTTCTCATTGATTTCCTTCCTTCCTGTGTTTCTTCATCCCTATCTCCCTCTTTCTCTCACGGTTCCAGGATCAAAGCAACACTGATATTTTAATTGGGGTGATGTCCGCAGGGATCATGGTTTACAAGAACAGGGTACGAATCAACTGCTTTCCATGGTGAGTGACAAACTGAAGACTTGATTCTGATACAAGATGAGGCGATTTGTAAATCAGAGAATGAATTTGATCGCAGCTGCAAGGGGATCATTTGTGATCACAAATAGCGTCCACTTTTGTAGATTGTGTTAGAAATTAAAATGTTCACTGTGTTTTATTCAGCTATATATCATTGACTTATCTTCAGTCATCCAGGTTGCAGAAGTATTCAGAGAAGTGTTGAATATGATTATTCTAAGCACCTCACATAAGTGCTTTACATACACTGCTCAAAAAAATAAAGGGAACACTTAAACAACACAATGTAACTCCAAGTCAATCACACTTCTGTGAAATCAAACTGTCCACTTAGGAAGCAACACTGATTGACAATACATTTCACATGCTGTTGTGCAAATGGAATAGACAACAGGTGGAAATTATAGGCAATTAGCAAGACACCCCCAATAAAGGACTGGTTTTGCAGGTGGTGACCACAGACCACTTCTCAGTTCCTATGCTTCCTGGCTGATGTTTTGGTCACTTTTGAATGCTGGCGGTGCTTTCACTCTAGTGGTAGCATGAGATGGAGTCTACAACCCACACAAGTGGCTCAGGTAGTGCAGCTCATCCAGGATGGCACATCAATGCGAGCTGTGGCAAGAAGGTTTGCTGTGTCTGTCAGCGTAGTGTCCAGAGCATGGAGGCGCTACCAGGAGACAGGCCAGTACATCAGGAGACGTGGAGGAGGCCGTAGGAGGGCAACAACCCAGCAGCAGGACTGCTACCTCCGCCTTTGTGCAAGGAGGAGCAGGAGGAGCACTGCCAGAGCCCTGCAAAATGACCTCCAGCAGGCCACAAATGTGATGTGCATGTGTCTGCTCAAACGGTCAGAAACCGACTCCATGAGGGTGGTATGAGGGCCCGACGTCCACAGGTGGGGGTTGTGCTTACAGCCCAACACCGTGCAGGACGTTTGGCATTTGCCAGAGAACACCAAGATTGGCAAATTCGCCACTGGCGCCCTGTGCTCTTCACAGATGAAAGCAGGTTCACACTGAGCACGTGACAGACGTGACAGAGTCTGGAGACGCTGTGGAGAACGTTCTGCTGCCTGCAACATCCTCCAGCATGACCGGTTTGGCGGTGGGTCAGTCATGGTGTGGGGTGGCATTTCTTTGGGGGGCCGCACAGGCCTCCATGTGCTCGCCAGAGGTAGCCTGACTGCCATTAGGTACCGAGATGAGATCCTCAGACCCCTTGTGAGACCATATGCTGGTGCGGTTGGCCCTGGGTTCCTCCTAATGCAAGACAATGCTAGACCTCATGTGGCTGGAGTGTGTCAGCAGTTCCTGCAAGAGGAAGGCATTGATGCTATGGACTGGCCCGCCCGTTCCCCAGACCTGAATCCAATTGAGCACATCTGGGACATCATGTCTCTCTCCATCCACCAACGCCACATTGCACCACAGACTGTCCAGGAGTTGGCGGATGCTTTAGTCCAGGTCTGGGAAGAGATCCCTCAGGAGACCATCCGCCACCTCATCAGTAGCATGCCCAGGCGTTGTAGGGAGGTCATACAGGCACGTGGAGGCCACACACACACACACTACTGAGCCTCATTTTGACTTGTTTTAAGGACATTACATCAAAGTGTGGTTTTCCACTTTAATTTTGAGGGTGACTCCAAATCCAGACCTCCATGGGTTGATACATTTGATTTCCATTGATAATTTTTGTGTGATTTTGTTGTCAGCACATTCAACTATGTAAAGAAAAAGTATTTAATAAGATTATTTAATTCATTCAGATCTAGGATGTGTTATTTTAGCGTTCCCTTTATTTTTTTGAGCAGTGTATTAATCTGTAAACCGCAGATGATCATTCCTAGAATCTCCTCTGAGAGCAGACTCAGAGCGGTTGAGGCTTTCATGTGGATTTTCTTTGAGGCCCAAAACTTTCATTCTTAGATATTCAGCCCAGTTGGTGGGGCTACTGGAAGTGTGTGCCAGGGGTGGAATAGCACAGCCCAAATCCCGACCAGACATGTGATAATCCAACACACAGAGACACACACTGACACACACACTTCCCAACCCCCCACCCCCTACTAGCTCCTCACAGCACACACACGCTCATTCTTAAAAGCCAGCTGCTTGATGTAGCGCAGGCAGCTCATTTGAAAATATATGGGCTCAGATGCTTTCCAGTCCGGCTAAATTTAGGGCTGCTAACAGTGGTGCGTTTTACAACAGCTGTCTGCAACCATCACACAAAAAGGATTGCTTCTATCGACCACTCCCTCTCTGTTTGGCTCGCCTGCCCCTACTAGTAAAAGGTGATGCATAACGTTACTCCTCATAGAGCAGAGTTGAAAGCATAGCGGTCCAGTGACTCGGAACAGAGATGTGTCTGAGAGAGTGAGTTGTGTGGATTTTAGCCTCGCTCCTATTTCTGTCCACAACGGGCTGACAAATTAGCTTTGCTTAGATGGGGCATGACTCACTGCCTTGGAGAGAGAAAGAGAATGTGTGTGTGTGTGTGTGTGTGTGTGTGTGTGTGTGTGTGTAAGAATGTAAAATATATTTAGTTGAGCTGTGAGTCATGTAGAAGTGGGAAAAGAGGCGAGGGAGGGGGAGCGAGGGGGAGGGGAGGCGGGAGAGGGGAGAGATGAGGGGGAAGGAGGGGACGCGAGGATGGGATGGGAGGAGGGAGAGGAGGGAGAGGTGGGAGATGAGGAGGATGGGAGGAGGAGGGAGAGGAGGGAGGGAGGAGGGAGAGGAGGCAGTGGAGAGCAGTGAGGAGGGGAGGGAGGGAGGAGGGAGAGGGAGAGAGAGGAGGGATGGAGGAGGAAGGAGAGGGGAGGGCGAGGAGGATGGGAAGGGGGAGGGAGAGGGAGGGGGAGAGGAGAGGAGGAGGGAGGGAGAGGAAAGGAGGGGGAGGAGGGAGAGGGGAGGGGAGAGCGGGGATGGGAGTGGGAGGAGGGAGAGGGGGAGAGCGAGGATGGGGATGGGAGGAGGGAGGGGGGGGGAGTTGAGGAGGGATGGGAGGAGGGAGAGGGGGAGAGGAGAGGAGGAGATGGGAGGGGGGGGAAGGGAGGATGGAGGGAGGAGAGAGAGGAGGGAGTGGGATGGGAGGAGGGAGAGGAGAGAGAGGATGGGATGGGAGGAGGGAGGAGGGAGAGGGGGAGAGCGAGGAGGGGATGGAGGAGAGAGGGAGAGGGGAGAGTGAGGATGGGATGGGAGGAGGGAGAGGGGAGAGCGAGGATGGGATGGGAGGAAGGAGAGGGCGAGAGCGAGGAGGGATGGGAGGAGGGAGAGGGGGGAGAGCGAGGATGGGATGGGAGGAAGGAGAGGGGGAGAGCGAGGATGGGATGGGGAGGAGGGAGAGGGGGAGAGCGAGGATGGGATGGGAGGAGGGAGGGGGGAGAGGGAGGATGGGATGGGAGGAGGGAGAGGGGGAGAGCGGAGGAGGGGATGGGAGGAAGGAGAGGGGAGAAGCGAGGATGGGAGGGAGGAGGGAGAGGGGAGAGAGGAGGATGGGATGGGAGGAGGGAGAGGGGAGAGCAAGGATGGGATGGGAGGAAGGAGAGGGGGAGAGACGAGGATGGGATGGGAGGAGGGAGAGGGGAGAGCGAGGATGGGATGGGAGGAGGGAGAGGGGAGAGCGAGGATGGGATGGGAGGAGGGAGAGGGGAGAGCGAGGATGGGAGGAGGGAGAGGGGAGAGCGAGGATGGGATGGGAGGAGGGAGAGGGGAGAGCGAGGATGGGATGGGAGGAGGGAGAGGGGAGGGATTAGTCTTGATAGGGAGACATTTTAAAGTCAGCTTCTCTCTCTGCAGTGGCTCTGATTTGTGCTGTGAAAGAAGGGGACCCTCAGCAGTGACACAAATTGTGACTCATTTCTGTGGGTTTCTCTCCCCTCAGGTTGAAGATTGTGAAAATATCGTTCAAGTGCAAACAGTTCTTCGTTCAGCTCAGGAGAGAAGTGGTAGGTATTCAAGCCGTTGTTTTCACTGTCCTTATTTTGACAATAAAATGTGAGATGGGATCTACTAGCAGCAACGTGTCAGTCAGAGGAGTCTTTCATATAGTAGGAATGAAGACTTACCCAGCGGACCACACTTTGTAGTGAACGCAGTCCCTAAGTTCTTCCTATGAGCATGTGTGACCATGTTTCCCTGTCATAAGTGTCACCAGACAAGACCCAGTTCTCTGGCTCAGCGTCAGGGTGGAAACCAGATGAGTTAGACTAGATTAGCTAGTACTGCTAATGGACTTACTGACCGTCTACCACTGATCCAATTTCTCCCCACACCACAGGCATCCATATCAATCTGAAACAACTTATCTTAGACATTAACGACAACACACTGCCCCCTCACCCAGACCCAGCGTCCTTATTTGTTTATTTGACTAACTGGCACGCTGGCATAATCACCGGCCTGCTCCGCCGCTGACTGTTTCTGGAATCTGGGACAGCGAGACAGGGAGAGCCTGTTAAATGCTTATTAATTATGAAGAATAGATAATGCATTTTGCGTGTGGCGGCAGGAGGCGGGGAGCGTGATCTGAAACTGAATCCAAAGCTGCTGGCTCCCTCTCCTACTCCCTCCTCTCCTCTGTTCCGTTAAGCCCCATGATGGAACCATGGAATCTCAGGAAAATATCCCCAAAACACCCCCCATCCACTCCTCCCTTTCCTGGTTCAATAATGGATGAGGTGTATTTCCAGAGCAGTTGTACTAAAAGCACTGCAGCCGTCGGCCAGCCTCCATGGTGTCACTCAGGCTGTATTATTCATGGCGCATCCCAAATGGCACCCTATTCCATATTTAGTGTACTATTTTTGACCAGGGCTCTGATCAAAAGTAGTACAGTATATAGGGAATAGGGTGCCATTTGGGATGCAGCCATGGACAGATGGGTAAGACTGATCACGGCCGGTCATGTGTGCACGGGTCACAGCACACGCTTTAAAAAGCAACAACAAACCAGGAAATTAATTGGCCCCTTTTTTTCTATTCTTCTCCTGGACTAGTGAGTTGTCTCCAGTGAGCAATTGAGTAGCCCTACTTTATCCGACCTCATGGTGAGGCTAGGTGAGCTCTAGTCTAATGTACATGATGACGGGGTTGTTCAGAGAATCTGCTCTTCCTTGAAGTTCTTTCAAGATGCAGGTGTGGACAGTCAAGATGCAGGTGTGGTTGTTTTTGCAGGCTTTTTCTGTTTGTGTAGGCTAACACAGGCTATATGAGCTGAACTTGTACCAGAACATTAGCTGTCCCTGTGAACATTATTACCCAAGTGGGACCACCATGTCTTCATGACTAGTGGCATGTGCCATCAGGAGACCGTCTGGGGGCTGAGGGAGGGGTATGGGGATGTTGTGGCTGCAGACAGGGATTTACCCCCTGCTGCCTATCTCCTCAGGTGACAAACCCACCAAATCATGGTGGCTAATCCAACACATTATTTCTCCCCCATCTATGAACAAGGCAGTGTAGCCTTGTCTTGACACCTCCCCCCTTCTGTGACAATAGGACCAAGACCTTGACTCAACACCACCTCACTACTGCTACTGTAGTCTCAGGCATGCTAAACACACACACAAACAGACTCCAACCCTAGGTCACAATGAACAAGGAACATTATAGTCAACAGGAAAGCCTATGGACTAAAGGAATCGGTTACATACCAGCATACCAGCAGCTCAGACTGTATTACTCTCAGTACAGTATGGAAACATGTCCTTTCCCATTTGTCATTATTGTTGTCAATCACTCAGTCATTCTCTTTCCCCCTCTCTCCTTCCCTTTCCCCACTATTTCCCTCCCTCCCTCCCTCCCTCCCTCCCTCCCTCCCTCCCTCCCTTTACAGAATGAGACCAGGGAGACCTTGCTGGGGTTTAACATGGTGAACTATAGAGCCTGTAAGAACCTATGGAAGACCTGTGTAGAACACCACACCTTCTTCCGTCTGGACCGGCCTGTTCCCCCTCAGAAGAACTTCTTTACCCACTACTTTTCCCTGGGCTCCAAGTTCCGTTACTGGTAGGAGAAAATCCCCAGTGCCACCCATGAGAATGCGCACACACACACACACACACACACACCCCCGCCAGGCACAAAGTGCTGTCATTGAAATGTCAACACAGGTACAATGTTTGCTAGGTCACGATGACAAGTTCCATCAATCATAAGTGTTTGGGGAGTTCCATTAGCTGTTGGCTATCGTGCTCTCATCTTAGAGAAAAGTAGTTGAATTATTAACGATGCCCCAGAACTGAGCTTGTTTTTCTTCAGTTTTTCGAAACGCTTTTTAGTTTTTTTGGGAATAGGGAGTTCTTCTATTATTCATATGGACTCACTTCTCAGATGTAGTTTAGAAATAGTACAAACAAATGTAAACTGTTCACTGTTGAAATTTAAATACTTGAGTATGTGCTTTGAGCTGTGCTGGGAGTGGGGGTGATGAGGGGGCTAAGAAACTTCTTCTAGATTGTGCTGTGACAAATCGGGTTTTGGAGAAAAGTCTGAGAAATGGTTGAAACATGAAGTGGAGAGTTGGGAGGTTTTTGAGACTTTATTGAAGCGCCCGTTGGGAAGTAAGGTACAGCACAGCAGTTTGTAAGATGTGGCTGAATGTTACTAAAATGATGGTTGGATGTTGGTTGAACGTTGTCTCTGCAGCGGGAGGACAGAGGTGCAGTCGGTGCAGTATGGCAAAGAGAAGGGGATCAAGGACCGGGTGTTCGCCAGGTACATAATGCACCACACCACTGTACTGTATGGACATGTATCTATATGAACAGATACATTCTCAATGCGTCTGTTAGGCTGCGTTACTGTTATGAGGTCTTCTAAGAGTATGACAGCCTGAAGTCTGTAATGCCCAAAGTCAATATAGGAAGTGATGGTGAACAAGCACCAGCTAATTAGCATTAGTTTAGTGCCTTATTATTGCCCTCTACCCGGAGGAGATGTAGGATGAATTAGTGGTGTTGATGGGCCAATCGTCACATCCTAGAGGTGATGTAGGATGAATTAGTGGTGTTGATGGGCCAATCATCACATCCTACAGCCTCAATCTTTTTCTCTGAGCTGGGTTTTCAGTCAGCATCTACATCTGGGCTTTAGAATGTATTGTTTCATCACTCTGGCTGTGTCTGAGATGGCATCCTATTTCCTATATAGTGCACTCTATGTGGGCCCTAGTTAAAGGTAGTGCACTATATAGGAAATAGGCTGCCTCTGTCTTTTTCCATCTCCCTTATCACACAGTCCTCTATCCCATTGGTCAGCAGTATCACTTCCTCCTTGGCTCGGTCATGTGACTGATTGTGTTTCCTGTCTGAATAGGTCTCCCAGTAAGCCCCTGTCCAGGAAGTTGATGGGCGGGACAGACTGGGAGGTGGTGAGCAAGAACAGCCTATCAGACGAGAGGCTGGAGACCCAGAGCCTGCCCACACGCTCCCCACCCGGAACCCCTAACCAGTAATACCTGGCACTCCTCCTTATAGCATGTCCTATTATAATGCCCACATATCATGCCCTCCATACATGACCTTAGAGAGGGAGAGATCTACATTGTGAGGGAGTTCCTGTTCCAATACCGTCAGTAATGGTACTCACACATTTCATTGCATGATCGAAAATGAAAGGAATTATACACATTCAAATGTATCAGAGAGCTGGACAAAACATCATACAATCAAAATAAAATAGAAGTCTTCCAACAGTGTGGATAGCATACATTCATTTGCTTTGATTACTCACACAATCCTCCTAACCACCGTTTTGTGTGTGTGCGTGCAGCCGGAACTCGTTCGTACAGGAGGGGACGCGGATGCGGCCGTCGTCGGTGGGGCACCTGGTGGACCATGTGATTCACGCTTCGCCCAGCCTCCCTGTCTTCGCCAATCACAAATCAGCGTCCTCTACCCAGGCCAACTCCATCAGCCTTGACTCTACCCCGTAAGTCTGCTGACACACAAACACGCACACACACACCCCAATCACAAATCAGCCTCTTCCACTCACGGCAACTCCATTAGACTGGACTCCATTCGTAAGTCTGACCCCTTGTGGACACTGGAAACACTGCAGTAGTGAGGAAGATGAGAGGGGTAGTGGTTATGAGTAGCCCTGTTGACATGACTGCATGATCGGACCAGGAACAACTCTGGCCCCTAGTTATAGCCCAGTACAAGAGACTAGGCCTACACTGAAACAATATGTGAGGGCTCTGAGCAAGACTGTCAAAGAATATAATGGAAGTTCTCTTACCAGCTCTCTCCCAACAAAACACCACCATAGTTGTTAATGAGGATGAAAGTTGGTGACAGTGCATAGATTCTACTGTTAAAGTCCCCACTAAAGCCGCTGTCTAAAAATCTATGGAAACCACATTAAATTGGACTTGACATACCAGTGCCATGCTGTCTGCTCCGACTGCTGAAACAGCTGATTTTTAACGGTTAGCCTGTGGTCTGTGGCTTACAATTACAGTTCACACCCTTTCCCAAATGTCATTCAATGGGCTTAAATGGAAACAGAGACTTTGAACGCGGGCTATCAAAAAGTGTTTACAGCTCTGGGGGCATGGAGGGGGTTCGGCAGGGCTGGGATGGAGCAGGATGGGGGCGGGGAGGGGGGGGTGATAAACACAATAATAGTAATAATAATCATAATAATGCCTTTGGCCTGTCTTAGACTGGGAGCCGTATAACCCTCTTAGGTCAAAATGCCCCCGGCCCGTGGCTCTAGTCTACTGCAGTAGTGGTCCACTGATATCTGAGAGTAGCCTAACCCCTAGTGTCTTAGACTGGGAACCATATACATGTTTACATTTTAACATTTTAGTCATTTAGCAGACGCTCTTATCCAGAGCGACTTACAGTTAGTGAGTGCATACATTTTTCATACCCCGTGGGAATCGAACCCACAACCCTGGCGTTGCAAGCGCCATGCTCTACCAACTGAGCTACACAGGGCCCAGTATACCACTCTTAGGTCGAATTTGCCCCAATGATTCTACCAATGCAGTAGTGGTTCACTAACATCTGAGAGTAGCCTAACCCCTGGGCTAGTAGGGTTGGGTTGCCCTGATGAGTGGGGCTATGTTGAACTCTCCCACCCTCTGCTCAACATCCCAACCTCAACCTCCAGCCAACCCTGTACTCCAGTTCCCTTGGCTGTTATGTTCTTTGAGATGCCTTTCAGAGTTCCAATAACTGTTTATTATTAGGCTAGATTGGGTAAGTGCCACTAGGAGTGGAGGACAAATTAATAGTCTCCATATGTCACTGTCTTATCATCTTAGAGCAGGAATGATATTTATATGTTCTGCTGTGTTATCTTACCAAGAACTGTCAACAGCACTAGGACAGATACTGAACCTGTACTGGGAATGGAGGGAATAGTTCTGACACTTACAGAATCCCAATTCAACCTATGCATATGTACACAAACATACCTACACTCACCATATATACTTTCTCTCGCATTTCACTTCTGCATTCGCACACACAGGCATACACAAACTTGTACCCACCCACATTCCATGCCAAGCCATTTGCTCATGTCTTTTGTCATTGATCCAGAAGATGACATAACCACCTGCTCACTCTTCCTGAGAGCTCACACATCACTGCTATATCCAGTGACACACACACACACACACACGCACGCACATACACACTCTCTCCCTCGCTCTCTCTCAAAAATAAACATAAAAACAACCATATTCCCTGTCACGTAGCCTTAGCTCAGTGAGGATAAGGTTTCAGGTTGTTGAAACCAAAGCATAGCAACCAGGTCATGTAACACCTCCCCCTCTACAACCTGATCTGTAAACCTGGAAAACATCCCACTACACTGTCACTTGAAAGGCTGCTGACCCCAGCCTGACCTTTTAAAGAAAAAATAGAATATTGAACTTTCCCTGACTTTACAGTCATTGTGAAAAAGGACAGCGATTGTAGCACATTATATCTTATTGTCTTGATGTAATTAGCGGAATACAGCCCTGTTTGTTTTTATTCAGCTAATTAGTTCAGCTAATTATCCAGCATTTCAGAAAAAAATACTCTAGTTTAAACTAGTATTTGAAAAAGTGTGTTACTGTGCATCTCCCTGTGGTCAGTGAGCAGTAGTCTTGCCTGTCTCCCTCCCTCCCCCCAGGCCTGTGGCTGATGTCAGCATAGTGTATGTTTATGTTGGAGAGGCCTGTCTGTCCTTCCTGCAGGGTCTCCCTCCGGACCAGGCCATGGTGTCTCCTGTGTTGTGACACCAGCCTGGCATACAGGACGCTAAACAAAGACAATGTGCTGTGACTGGCTTCTAGTCCCCCTGGTCCTCCTGCGATTTCTGTTGTTGAGTGACTAGGATGGTTAGGTACACTGTATAACACACACCCACTGTACACACAGAGCCATATACTGTATATAGAGAGTTCAGTCAGGTTTTAGGACAGCTGCCATGTTAGAGTCTTTATTCTTAAAATGTTTGTGATGAAATTACCCGCTCCCGAGTGGCGCAGTGGTCTAAGGCACTGCATCTCAGTGCTTGAGGCGTCACTACAGACCCCCTGGTTCGATTCCAGGCTGTATCACAACCGGCCGGCGTCGTCCGGGTTTGGCCGGTGTAGGCCGTCATTGTAAATAAGAATTTATTCTTAACTGACTTGCCTAGTTAAATAAAGGTTAAAAAAATAATAATAAAATAACAGAGCAGAGCAGCGAATTTAAGACATTTGTATTGATTAAATCAAATCAAATCAAATTTTATTGGTCACATGCGCCGAATACAACAGGTGCAGACATTACAGTGAAATGCTTACTTACAGCCCTTAACCAACAGTGCATTTATTTTTTTACAAAAAAAGTAAAAATAAAACAACAACAAAAAATGTGTTGAGAAAAAAAGAGCAGAAGTAAAATAAAATAACAGTAGGGAGGCTATATATACAGGGGGGTACCGGTGCAGAGTCAATGTGCGGGGGCACCGGCTAGTTGAGATAGTTGAAGTAATCTGTACATGTGGGTAGAGTTAAAGTGACTATGTATAAATAATTAACAGAGTAGCAGCAGCGTAAAAAGGATGGGGTGGGGGGGCAGTGCAAATAGTCCGGGTAGCCATGATTAGCTGTTCAGGAGTCTTATGGCTTGGGGGTAGAAGCTGTTGAGAAGTCTTTTGGACCTAGACTTGGCACTCCGGTACCGCTTGCCGTGCGGTAGCAGGGAGAACAGTCTATGACTAGGGTGGCTGGAGTCTTTGAAAATTTTGAGGGCCTTCCTCTGACACCGCCTGGTATAGAGGTCCTGGATGGCAGGAAGCTTGGCCCCAGTGATGTACTGGGCCGTACACACTACCCTCTGTAGTGCCTTGCGGTCGGAGGCCAAGCAGTTGCCATACCAGGCGGTGATGCAACCAGTCAGGATGCTCTCGATGGTGCAGCTGTAGAATTTTTTGAGGATCTGAGGACCCATGCCAAATCTTTTCAGTCTCCTGAGGGGGAATAGGCTTTGTCGTGCCCTCTTCACGACTGTCTTGGTGTGTTTGGACCATGATAGTTCGTTGGTGATGTGGACACCAAGGAACTTGAAGCTCTCAACCTGTTCCACTACAGCCCCGTCGATGAGAATGGGGGCGTGCTCAGTCCTCTTTTTTTTCCTGTAGTCCACAATCATCTCCTTTGTCTTGGTCACGTTGAGGGAGAGGTTGTTGTCCTGGCACCACACGGCCAGGTCTCTGACCTCCTCCCTATAGGCTGTCTCATCGTTGTCGGTGATCAGGCCTACCACTGTTGTGTCGTCGGCAAACTTAATGATGGTGTTGGAGTCGTGCCTGGCCATGCAGTCATGGGTGAACAGAGAGTACAGGAGGGGACTGAGCACGCACCCCTGAGGGGCCCCCGTGTTGAGGATCAGTGTGGCAGATGTGTTGTTACCTACCCTTACCACCTGGGGGCGGCCCGTCAGGAAGTCCAGGATCCAGTTGCAGAGGGAGGTGTTTAGTCCCAGGATCCTTAGCTTAGTGATGAGCTTAGAGGGCACTATGGTGTTGAATGCTGAGCTGTAGTCAATGAATAGCATTCTCACGTACAGTGGGGAAAAAAAGTATTTAGTCAGCCACCAATTGTGCAAGTTCTCCCACTTAAAAAGATGAGAGAAGCCTGTAATTTTCATCATAGGTACACGTCAACTATGACAGACAAATTGAGGAAAAAAAATCCAGAAAATCACATTGTAGGATTTTTAATGAATTTATTTGCAAATTATGGTGGAAAATAAGTATTTGGTCACCTACAAACAGGCAAGATTTCTGGCTCTCACAGACCTATAACTTCTTCTTTAAGAGGCTCCTCTGTCCTCCACTCGTTACCTGTATTAATGGCACCTGTTTGAACTTGTTATCAGTATAAAAGACACATGTCCACAACCTCAAACAGTCACACTCCAAACTCCACTATGGCCAAGACCAAAGAGCTGTCAAAGGACACCAGAAACAAAATTGTAGACCTGCACCAGGCTGGGAAGACTGAATCTGCAATAGGTAAGCAGCTTGGTTTGAAGAAATCAACTGTGGGAGCAATTATTAGGAAATGGAAGACATACAAGACCACTGATAATCTCCCTCGATCTGGGGCTCCACGCAAGATCTCACCCCGTGGGGTCAAAATGATCACAAGAACGGTGAGCAAAAATCCCAGAACCACACGGGGGGACCTAGTGAATGACCTGCAGAGAGCTGGGACCAAAGTAACAAAGCCTACCATCAGTAACACACTACGCCGCCAGGGACTCAAATCCTGCAGTGCGAGACGTGTCCCCCTGCTTAAGCCAGTACATGTCCAGGCCCGTCTGAAGTTTGCTAGAGTGCATTTGGATGATCCAGAAGAGGATTGGGAGAATGTCATATGGTCAGATGAAACCAAAATAGAACTTTTTGGTAAAAACCCAACTCATCGTGTTTGGAGGACAAAGAATGCTGAGTTGCATCCAAAGAACACCATACCTACTGTGAAGCATGGGGGTGGAAAAATCATGCTTTGGGGCTGTTCTTCTGCAAAGGGACCAGGACGACTGATCCGTGTAAAGGAAAGAATGAATGGGGCCATGTATCGTGAGATTTTGAGTGAAAACCTCCTTCCATCAACAAGGGCATTGAAGATGAAACGTGGCTGGGTCTTTCAGCATGACAATGATCCCAAACACACCGCCCGGGCAACGAAGGAGTGGCTTCGTAAGAAGCATTTCAAGGTCCTGGAGTGGCCTAGCCAGTCTCCAGATCTCAATCCCATAGAAAATCTTTGGAGGGAGTTGAAAGTCCGTGTTGCCCAGCGAAAGCCCCAAAACATCACTGCTCTAGAGGAGATCTGCATGGAGGAATGGGCCAAAATACCAGCAACAGTGTGTGAAAACCTTGTGAAGACTTACAGAAAACGTTTGACCTGTGTCATTGCCAACAAAGGGTATATAACAAAAGTATTGAGAAACTTTTGTTATTGACCAAATACTTATTTTCCACCATAATTTGCAAATAAATTCATTAAAAATCCTACAATGTGATTTTCTGGATTTTTTTTCCTCATTTTGTCTGTCATAGTTGACGTGTACCTATGATGAAAATTACAGGCCTCTCTCATCTTTTTAAGTGGGAGAACTTGCACAATTGGTGGCTGACTAAATACTTTTTTCCCCCACTGTAGGTGTTCCTCTTGTCCAGGTGGGAAAGAGCAGTGTGGAGTGTTGGGGCGGTATGCAAATTGGAGTGGGTCTAGGGTTTCTGGGATAATGCTGTTGATGTGAGCCATGACCAGCCTTTCAAAGCACTTCATGGCTACAGACGTCAGTGCTACGGGTCGGTAGTCATTTAGGCAGGTTATCTTAGAGTCCTTGGGCACGGGGACTATGGTGGTCTGCTTGAAACATGTTGTTATTACAGACTCAGTCAGGGACATGTTGAAAATGTCAGTGAAGACACTTGCCAGTTGGTCAGCACATGCTCGGAGTACACGTCCTGGTAATCCGTCTGGCCCTGCGGCCTTGTGAATGTTGACCTGCTTAAAAGTCTTACTCACATCGGCTACGGAGAGCGTGATCACATAGTCATCCGGAACAGCTGGTGCTCTCATGCATGCTTCAGTGTTGCTTGCCTCGAAGCGAGCATAGAAGTGGTTTAGCTCGTCTGGTAGGCTTGTGTCACTGGGCAGCTCGCGGCTGTGCTTCCTTTTGTAGTCTGTAATAGTTTTCAAGCCCTGCCACATCCGACGAGCGTCAGAGCCAGTGTAGTACCATTCAATCTTAGCCCTGTATTGACTCTTTGCCTGTTTGATGGTTCGTCGGAGGGCATAGCGGGATTTCTTATAAGCGTCCGGGTTAGAGTCCCGTTCCTTGAAAGCGGCAGCTCTACCCTTTAGCTCAGTGCGGATGTTTCCTGTAATCCATGGCTTCTGGTTGGGGTATGTACGTACGGTCACTGTGGGGACGACATCATCGATGCACTTATTGATGAAGCCAGTGACTGATGTGGTGTACTCCTCAATGGTGTCTGAAGAATCCCGGAACATGTTCCAGTCTGTGCTAGCAAAACAGTCCTGTAGCTTAGCATCTGCGTCATCTGACCACTTTTTTTATTAACCGAGTCACTGGTGCTTCCTGCTTTAGTTTTTGCTTATAAGCAGGAATCAGGAGGATAGAGTTATGGTCAGATTTGCCAAATGGAGGCCAAGGGAGAGCTTTGTATGCGTCTCTGTGTGTGGAGTAAAGGTGGTCTAGAGTTTTTTTCCCTCTGGTTGCACATTTAACATGCTGGTAGAAATTAGGTAGAACGGATTTAAGTTTCCCTGCATTAAAGTCCCCGGCCACTAGGAGCGCTGCATCTGGATGAGCGTTTTCCTGTTGATTTATGGCCTTGTACAACTCATTCAGTGCAATCTTAATGCCAGCATTGGTTTGTGGTGGTAAATAGACAGCTATGAAAAATATAGATGAAAACTTTCTTGGTAAATAGTGTGGTCTACAGCTTATCATAAGATACTCTACCTCAGGCGAGCAAAACCTCGAGACTTCCTTAGTATTTGATTTTGTGCACCAGCTGTTGTTTACAAATATACACAGACCGCCACCCCTTGTCTTACCGGAGTCAGCCGTTCTATCCTGCCGATGTAGCGTATGTTATCATTGTCGTCGTTCAGCCTCGACTCGGTGAAACATAGGATATTACAGTTTTTAATGTCCCGTTGGTAGGATAACCGTAATCTTAGGTCATCCAATTTGTTATCCAATGATTGAAGATTGGCTAACAGGATTGATGGAAGAGGCAGTTTACTCGCTCGCCGTCGGATCCTTACAAGGCACCCCGTTCTACGTCCACGATATCTCTGTCTCTTCCTCACGCGAATGACGGGGATTTGGGCCTTGTCGGGTGTCTGTATGATATCCTTAACACCACAACAAGTCTGTACTGTGTTGTGGTGTTAACAAATTGCATATCTGCTTTCAATGGACATATTCATAGGTTTTGAAAACTATCAGAAATAAACAGCACAACTTGGAAGCGTCAATTATCACTTTGCAACTGCTATGGAGAAAGTGGCGCTTTGGGAATGTTCAGACAGAAACCGCATTGGCCCAACTCTCTCTATATATATATGACTGTGGGTACACAGAACAACACACACCCACTGTGTCTCTCTGTTGGAGAATGTACTGTAGCAGCTCTGCTTTGCTATTGGCCAATGGCCACAGGGGCAACTGGAGTCTCAACTAAACCAAAAGCTCTGATTAGCTGGATGGCTTACTGAGCTCTGTTAGCTCTGTTGGATTTTAGGAAATGGAGTGTGTCTTATCTTGAAAAAGGTTCAAGGACTGACTGACTGAAGGTACTGTACCATTAGCTAACATTGTTTGTCTCGCTCCAGATCCCCAGAGACAGTAGATGGTCAGCCCCCGGCCTTGCCTCCCAAACAGTCCAGGAAGAACCTAAGCCAGATCATCCAGGCTCACTCCCAGCAGAGTCTCCTAGACAACCACATCAATGAGATGTACGACGTCCCCATGGCAACCGACAAGACCACGGTAAGACCACCCCATAGACTTACAGGTAACTGGGGGGCCAGTATGAAAAATGTATGCACTCACTAATTGGAAGTCGCTCTGGATAAGAGTGTCTGCTAAATGACTAAAATGTTAAATGTAAATAAAGGAAACACGAACATAAAGTGTCTTATGCACCTTGGCATAGATTCTACAAGTGTCTTGAACTCTATTGGAGGAATGCGACACCCTTCTTCCACAAAAAATTCCATAATTTGGTGTTTTGTTGATGGTGGTGGAAAACTTAGTCTCAGGCGCCGCTCCAGAATCTCCCATAAGTGTTCAATTAGGTTGAGATCTGGTGACTGAGATGGCCATGGTTAATGGTTTACGTCATTTTCATTTTCATGCTCATCAAACCATTCAGTGACCACTCGTGCTGAGCAATTAACCAATATTTTAGTGATTTTTTAAATTATTTTAATTCCATTTCGTTTCAATTTTTTTCTGTGAGCTCAATGTGCAGTTTCTGTACAGATAAGTCAGATGAAGCCTGAACTGTGCGATGTAGTAGGGAGTTCCAACAGGCCAATATTCAACAGTTTTGCGCAGAAAACGTGGTAATTAACTATAATGACCATAATCCATTGCGCTCCCGCTTAAACTTGTCCGGTCTGTGCGGAGCAGACATGGAGAATGAGAGACGAGAGAACGCGTGATCGAGAGGGATAGAAAGCAGTTGCTTCATGACCTTGAAAATGCATGATCTAAGTGATTGATAGTTGGTATTCAGCAGTCATAAAAGTATGCTTTATTTACTTTGAAGAACTACTAAAATAGTGATTTTAGTATAGGCAGCAGCTCTATAGAGATAAGATGATGACTTGGAATTAAATAACAGTCATCAAATAAAACAAATATTTTATTAAAGTAATGTTAATAAATGATGGTTATTAAGTGGTAAGCCGTAGTAGGCAGTCACTACCATCATGGGACTTTTATTAATTGTTTTTTTTATTCAGTGTTACAGCATTCAACCCACAAAATGCATTAGTGCATTTAAAGTGGAACTGACAGCGTTTTAACTACTTTGCAGTTATGAAACAGACAATCATAATAACAGTCAAAAATATCAAATTCCCAGTTTATGCTACAAAACCAACTTTATAAGAGGTTTTAAAAATAGGTTTTATTTGACTCAACATTCCATGGCACAAAGTAAGACATTGCTGGCAGAAAAGATTAATGCAGTTCAATGCATGATTAATATAATTCACCAATACATTTGTTGGTAGTCCAAAAAATATTGCTATCAGGTTGTAAATCACAGCTGGCCTAGTACATTATTTGCTGCCTCCATTCGGGATGCAGTGTTTCAGTTTCAATGACTTAATATTTTGGACAGAAATTGATTAATCTAACTAAGGCTGGGAATGTCAATACAATCAAACTAGCAAGAGCAATGATCACAAGTTAGTCATAACGTGGCTAATAGGCTAGCGTATCTATTTATGTAGCAAGCTAAAAACACGGAGCCTAATGTTAACTCGCTAGCTAGCTGCAAGGAGGATGTAATTTCATTGGAGGAGTGGGTGAGTGACTGACTTTTCCCCCTCATATTTTTCGGTGGCTATACACAGCTAGAGATGCAGGTGTCATTTGGTTAGCTAGCAAGCACTTGAATGACTGTTATACAGTTAGCATATCTCTTGCGTTCGCAAATTCACTCTGGCTATCTACTCCGATTTCAGAGCACTCTCGTCTGAGTGTCCCAGAGCACAGAATAACTGATGAATTTACGAATGCGCAACACCTGCTGAATATGACAGGTGTCAGTAAACGTAGGTAAAAAAAATGATTTGTTAGTCACAAACTCTCTAGATAACATGTAAACAGCCTAGCCAACCAGCTCTGCTAGGGCGAGTAAAATGGTCAGTGAGGTGTTCTAGAATTTGTGTCTGGTAGTAGCTATAGCAAGCTATCCAACTTTAGTCAGGCAGGCAAGCTGGAGAAGGACGCGAAGGCTACAATTCCCCATTGTTCGTAAGTGCAATTCTGACAGCCAACTAGCTGTAAACACACAGTCCAGTTCAAAGTGAATGATGGCAGGCCTGTGTGGCAAATGGGTTGTTTGCATAAAGGCATACTGTAGCTCTGATTAGCTATGGCACACCGGTCCTGAATGAGACAGATCATTTTATTAGGGTTTATTTACTGCAGTGCCTATTAATTGTCCAAACGCAAGGCCGCTTTCCCACTCTATATTGCTATAGAATTAGTATATGTAATTCCCAAACATTCTAAGAATTTGTGAAAATTACCATATTTAAGTGCTCACTTGTCAGAAAACATTTTAAAAGTGTCATTCTTCCTGGGGGGTGTATAAGAACAGATTTTAATACGATTTCATGTGGCTAAAAGGCTGTCCGTTCCATTTCAATGTCAAAAAAATAATAATCAACTCGAAAACCATGATTATTTTTTTATAATGGAAATGAAACAGAACTGACCTTAAAGCACTAATCGCTCAGCACTACCACTCGTTCCCTCTGGATGTGGGCATTGTCATCCTATGGGGGCATAGCCGTGGTAGCCAAAATAATTTTTATACATGACCCTAAGCATGATGTAATGTTAATTGCTTAATTAACTCAGGAACCACACCTGTGTGGAAGCACCTGCTTTCAATATACTTAGTATTTTTCATTATTTTCTATTATTTTGGCAGTTACCTGTAGATTGATGACTCATCATTATGTGATCCTTAACCCATAGGAATTCCCACCCAGTTGACTACTTAAAAATGGTGAAAGTCCTCAATGGTGCTACCCATGCTAAAACAGGCTTTTGGGCTCTAGACTTGTGGGGTCTAAGTCTATGGACCACCTTGACTCAGTCTGCCACTTTTACGGTTTATGGTTTTCATGATGTTCCACAATAGGTTAATTTAGTTGTACGGAAATGATTTAAAACTAGGGCCAGGAGGTTTTCCTGAAACCTTCAGAGGCTCTTTAGGCTGTGACAGCCTTTCCAATGTAGAGATGTATTAACGCATCTCTATCTCTTCCTCTACAGCTGAACGGTGTTGTCTCTCACGACAATCTGGTTCTGCTCAAGATGAGGCCAGATGATAGCGGACGATTTGGCTTCAATGTCAAGGTGAGACCTCTGCCTACAGTAGATGTGCTTATATAATTATATGCCGTAACATGCGCCCAGAGGGTAATCTCCTGGCCCTACTAATACTGATCCTATACTAGGTAGCCTAGTGTTTAAGAGCGTTGGGCCAGTAACCTAAAGGTTGCTGGTTCGAATCCCCGAGCCGACTAGGTGAGAAATCGGTTGATGTGCCCTTGAGCTATACACTGAACTCTCATTGCTCCTGTAAATCACACTGGATAATAGTCAGATTGTTTACCCCTCTCCATTGCCTTGGTTTTAGGGTGGAGCTGATCAGAAGATGCCTGTCATCGTGTCACGTGTGGCCCCTGGGACATCTGTACGTTAGAACACTATCACCAGCAACACCCCATATATTTACAGTACACCTACTCATGTTGTCCTCTCTTTGATAATCAAACAACCTCTCACTTTTTCTATCACTTCCGCCCTCTCACTCACACTGAATTTCTCACATGATCTTTCTCTATGTCTATTCTCTCTGCATTTACCCCTCGTCTCACTCTCTCTCTCTTGCTATTTCTCTTTCTCCTCCCTCTCGCTCTCTCTTCACCCCTCTCTCTCATTCACTCTCATTCTGACTCTCATACACAGCGTGTGAAACGTTCCATTGTTTGGCGCGAGGAGTAAGAAGAGCCAGTCGTACAGTAAACTCACACTTGTACTGTAGCTCTGTAAATTAACTGGTCTGATTTGACGTCACTTAGCAGCAGTCCATTCACAGCTCAGCTAACAAGGCTTCAGGATGTTACTCTGATGTTGATGAAGTCAAAATGAACCAACAACAGTTAGTCCTATTTGTTGTCATTTACCACAAGCTATTGCTACGGGTCACAGAGACCGAGTAGGAGTGTTGATACAGGATCAGTTTAGGCTTTTAGATCATAATGAATGATGATATGGACAGGGCAAACCTGATCCTTGATCAGTACTCTTACTGTGAGACACTTACTCTATGAATGCAGGCCTAGTATTGTAGTCTATTCTCCCCAGTATCACTCTAACCACTTGACCCAACCGTGTTCTGACCGCGTTCTTCTCCAACCCTCTACAGGCTGACCTGTGTGTCCCTCGTCTGAACGAAGGTGACCAAGTGGTTCTGATCAACGGTCGTGATATTTCAGAGCACACTCACGACCAGGTGGTCATGTTCATCAAGGCCAGCTGTGAGAGCCACTCAGGAGAGCTCATCCTATTGGTCAGGCCCAATGGTGAGGAGAGGGTTAGATTTTTTTTGTTAAATGTTTACACTTACATTACTAAGTAATCTCCTTGGGTTTATTATTACAATGGACAAGTTAAAACAGGCCAAATCATCCCAATACAGGTTGGAAGAACAGGTGACCTCAAACAAAAGTTAGGCTACCTTCCAATATCAACACTATAGCATTCCAGTTAGAATTAATGCATACCTTATAAATTGGTTATTAAGTAGTTTGCTGGTGTGAATATTAAAACTGAGCAGAGCCTTAGACTTGCCGTTCTTCTCTTGACACTGTTCTAAACGAACCGTGTTGCTTCCCTGTGTCCCCAGCCATCTATGACGTGGTGGAGGAGAAGCAGGAGACTGAGCCAGACTTCCAGTACATCCCAGAGAAGTCTCCCCAGGACCCCTCTCAGCTGGACCAGGATGCCTGGAGGGACTCCATTAACACCCTGAAGGAGGGACTGGTCAGCGGGGGAGTACTAGCCCAGTTTGATGTGAGTCCTCCCCTCACCTTCAAATGTAAAGCTTTTGTCAGCAATACTCACGTCTATTTTTCCTAATATTATTGTGATTTTTGGTTGCACCTCGATTCATGTTGGTCTTGTTCACTGCTCTTTTGTCTTTCTGAGGTGACTGGATGTGTGATGAGAGCAATAGCTCCCCCTAGTTTCTGCTCTATTGTTTTGACCTCAACCGCACAAGGGAGGTTACCACTTTCTGGAGGGAAATTCAGCCTATGACTAATGTTACACAAGTTTTACAATATCAACTTTATTGATGTTATTTTACTTTATTTCATGGCACAGAAGAAACTACTATTATGTCTTTCATCAGGCACACTTAACAGCTTCCCATTTCTCTGCCCTGTTGTGTAAATACACTAGAAAAATGTAATAAAAGTGTGGGGGCAAGGGAAACACACACGCACACACAGACCGAATATACCGGGATGCACTGAGAAAATACACACACACACACAGACCGAATATACCGGGATGCACTGAGAAAATGTGTGGGTTTATGCAAATATTTGTGTTTGTCTTAATCCGCTACTGCACTTCACAATGTATGCATGTATGCTCATTTTAAAGATTAGTAGCATCTTATGAATTCCACATACAGCAGGTGGAAGCAGCTTATCCAAAGATGTGGGCCTATAAGACATAGCAAGCATTCTCAGACCTCTACATTTTTGTTGGACAAGTTTGCACACAACTAACAAAGTAACTTCCATCTCACAACATGATCAATTTTGTTATGTTCCCCAGCAAGAAAACAAAAATGGTAGCGCAAACAGAAAAGGGAACTAACAAAGAGTCACTGATAACAGCCAAAACAAAACAGGTGGGGTTTTAGGAGAGGTTCTGAAAAACACTCATGGGGGAGTCCACTGAAAGTTGACTAGCAACAACAACTGGGACATAAAAGACACCCACCATGAGACCTACTAAATTTGCCCAAGAAGAGGCAAACAAAATTAAAACCCCACACCAAACTTAAAGACAGGAAGCAAACCAAAAAGTGGAGCAAAATGAAAACAGGTAAGATCAGATAAAGGATCGTTCTTTTAGAAATCAAATAGGGAGAGCCAACTAAAGGTGTTAACCCACCACATCTCTTAAGACAACTGGAGCACTGGGCCAGCCACTCTTAAGTATCACCTGGGCCAGCACTGTTGAAACACTTTCCCACTAACGAGATGACAAACCAGCACAGGTGTAACATACTGACTAATGAGGTGACACCAATCGGTGAGCCCCATATGCTAACGTCCAACCTATGGAATGGAAAAACCAAAGCCTGTAACATACAAAAAGCCCAGTAGTGGCCAGCCATTCCCATGAATCGGCACAGTTCCTGTTGAGAAGCTGGCACTGGAAGGTTATTGATGGCTTCCACTTTTGCCAGGACCGGTCTGACTTTCCCTTGCCCCACCACGTTCCCGAGATACTGATTAACATTTTTTTTAAACACTTTTGTTCTTTTCTCACAGCAACTTTACCGGAAGAGGCCTGGAATGACAATGTTGTGTGCCAAATTACCTCAGAACATTTCCAAAAACCGCTACAGAGACATCTCACCCTGTGAGTATCCAAAACACACAGTTCACTCTACTTTTCTTAGTTAGTCTGTGTTAAGACTGTGTTAACCCACCATTTCACACTCCACGCTCTCTCCCCTTTCTCTCGCCCCCTCTCTCCTTCTCTTCTGTTTATAGACGACGCCACGCGGGTCATTCTGAAAAGCACAGATGACTACATCAATGCAAATTACATCAACGTGAGTATCTCTAACCTCCCTCAACACATATGCTGTTCGCCTCAGTCCACCCACACCTACCGTGGCATCTTTGTTCAGCGGGTCTATAATAGGCTTTCTATCGGCCAAGATGAAGGTGTAGTCTCCACTCCAATGACTGAAAACGAATACATGCTCTTATGCCCACACACTCTTGATTATTAACACACAGCCACACACCTAACATACACCCCTACACACAGGTCTTATTCTACTCTCCTCCTCTCTGTACTGTAGATGGAGATCCCAGTGTCGAGCCTGATCAACCGGTACATTGCGTGCCAGGGCCCGCTGCCCAACACTTGCCCAGACTTCTGGCAGATGACCTGGGAGCAGGGCTCCTCCGTGGTGGTCATGCTCACTACCCAGGTGGAGAGGGGGCGGGTACGTTTCATATACAATCAACTTTGCGATCGAGAGACGGCTGTGTCTCAGTATGTTTGATTATATTTTTGGGTAAATGCATTTGTCCTCTTTTCTCCCATGGCTGAGGCGCCTAAACTGAGGCTGAAGGCTGATGTTGCTCTATGCCAACAGGTGAAGTGTCATCAGTACTGGCCCAACCCTGACAGCGCTGCCACGTACGGCCACTTCCAGGTGGCCTGTCTCACTGAGGAGGGCAACTCCGCTTTCCTGGTCCGAGACATGACCCTCACACACCTCGAGGTAACAGTACGCTCACCAGTCATTGGTTTTTCCCAATGGCCAGTGCTAATGTAATGTTAGCTATTTGGAAGTCAAAGTAAACATACAGAAATGGTGGTTCACAGCTAGTCCTCCTCAATACAGTAGGCTATCTTCCAGGTAATAAAATGATTAAAAGCGTTACAAACACAGCAGTGGGACTATCGCTTTAAGTGTTTAAAAGATGAGGGAGGGAGCACTTAGAATTGCCATGGTGACTTGTGTGGGCTGTTCTCATGCGATTCGTGTATCATGTTGCCATGGTGACTGGCCTCTACAGCCATGAGGCTTCCAGTATTAACATGTAGCCTGTGTGTGTTACCATGGCGATACTGATAGATTATGTTAAAGGGGCAAACACATTTAGTTTTGTCGCCATGTAACGAGACAACACGTTTTCCCCCTGTTATCATGGTGATGTTGCCCTGACTTTACTGTGTGTTGCCGTGGTGACAGAGCGACGAGGTCCGGGAGTTGACCCAGATCCAGTACGTGGCCTGGCCGGACCACGGTGTCCCAGACGACTCATCAGACTTCCTAGACTTTGTCAGCCTGGTGCGGAGCAAACGAACCGGCAAGGATGAGCCCATGGTGGTCCACTGCAGGTAGGGAGCATAATGCATGACACATCTAACACACACACATTCTTTGGTACAGCAAGAAACACTCAAGGAAATCTAGAGTGAAAATTGAATATTTCTTCACTAAACAACTCTGTGCGTTTATCGCAGGGTCCCTCTATCTGACTAGCCCCAGTCTCACTCTCCCTCAAATTAAACTACTCCTCTCCCTCTTTGTGGAGCTGTTTGTCCTACTATACTCCTACAAAGTGTTTCCTCAGGCAAAATGTGTAGCAGTGGGAGGAAAAGGTTGTGGAAGAGGGCACCCCCCCATGTAGAAGGACTGAGAAGCTCAGTTCTGATGACTTTTTAAAAGCATATTCTACTCTAAAATGAATGAAAAATAAAAATTATAAATATAATTTCCACCTCAAGTAATGACCCCAATAACATATTGGTCAAATAATTTGTTAAAATTATTTTAACATATTGGACCATGCATAAAGCGTGTACATGGTCCATATTATCAGGTATGCTAATAGCAATAAGCATAGCCCAACTGATGCAGCATAGTGCCTATAAATAAATAGGATGAAGCATGAGGATACCAGTGAATATAATGTAGGCCTACCTGTTAGGGGAGCTTGGGGTAATTCTCCAACCGGGGTAACGGTTTTACAGAAACCACTTCATGGCACAATATTCCTCCCCAACACTTTCCCTGGTCGCCCCTTCTTTTGCTCAACTAAAGTTTTTCTGCTTCATCACAATTTAGGTCACTCCAAAAAAGCTATTTTGAGGTAGGGTGGCGTTTAACCCCAAGGTACCCTACACACAATTTACCCGTGTTACATTTAGCCCCACTCTCCCCTATGCACGAATTGTAGAGTGGTAACATGCTGCTGCTAAAAACTCTGGGTTTAAAATGGTGCAGTTCGCACATATTTAGGAGTTGAGAAATAAAGTAGGAATGGAATGCTGGGATCCCCCTCTTTTTAACAAAGGCCATTAAAACTGCTGTTTTCCCTACGATTGCAAGAATTGTTGTGCATTGACTGCTTGTCAGAATGCATGTTTCCCTCCCTATGGCACTCGTAACTTGAATGCGCCTCGACAGGAATATTTATCTTGCATAGAACACACAACAAGCCGACTAGGTAAATAGATAAACTATTCTACTATGGGGTTTAATGACTGCAGCGGAAACACTACTCCTACACACTGCTGTAGTACACAGCCCAGCAGCCCAGAACGCTCCACATAGAACACCTACACGCCTTTATAAATCCACATCTCAGGCCTTATTCAAGCCAAGTTATCTGACTCAGCCAATACATGTCCCCCTTCTCTCCCCCCTTGTGTCATCCTGCAGTGCGGGGATTGGCCGAACAGGAGTTCTCATCACCATGGAGACAGCGTTGTGCCTGATGGAGTGCAGTCAGCCCGTCTATCCATTAGACATAGTCAGAACCATGAGGGACCAGAGAGCCATGATGATTCAGACACCTGTAAGTCCTCCACTCTTCTCTTCGTCCTCCTCTTCTATCCCTCTCTTTATCCTCATCTCTCTCTCTTCCTCTCCCGTCTGTCTGTATTTATATTTTTCTCTCTTCTTCCTCCTCTTTATCTAGTCTAGGCTAACTTGCCTCCATCGCCTTATCCAGAATGGCGAGTTAGAATAAAAGGAGCACAGTCACAGTGTAGTCTTGTACAGTGTTACTAATTGAAAGGAGAGGATACTGTGATTATGCTTATTTTATTCATCCCTGTTGTACAGTCAATGGAAGACTTTCCATTGTTACAGTCTACCAGTGATAATATTTTGTGCCAAGACAATGCCATTGTCTCTCCAGATTGCCATTTTTAGGGTAGGTGTAAGGATTTTGTTTCCTACACTTGTTGATATTTACTTGTCTGGGCTATAGTATAGTATATACAGTGGGGTCTGAAATTATTGACACCCTTGAAAAAGATTAGCAATAAAAACTGTATGACATAAATAATTCAAAACTGTATTGTGTGCAAAAAACTAAAGGGGAAATTATTTTATACTAATACAATTGCTCAGAGAAAGAGATTTAGTTAAACAAGTGAAACTTTTTTTCTGAAAAATTTCAACATTCTTAAAAATTGAGTAGCCAAAAGTGTAGTATTGGTCCCATATTCCTAGCACACAATGACTACACCAAGCTTGACTCTACAAACTTGTTGGATGCCTTTACATTTTGTTTTGGTTGTTTTTCAGATTGTTTTGTGTCCAATAGAAATGAATGGTAAATAATGTATTGTAATTTTTTTGTCACTTTTATTGCAAATAACAATATAATATGTTTCTAAACACATTAATGTGGATGATACCATGATTATGGATCATCCTGAATGAATCGTCAATAATGATGAGTGAGAAAGTTAGATTATTTATTTTATACAGTCATTATTACTCATCTTTATCAAGGGTGTCAATCATTTCAGACCCCATTGTACCATGCTCCATCCTAACCAGCTCTACAGTGTAATATATGCCCTAATATATACAGTGCCTTCGGAAAGTATTCAGACCCCTTGACTTTTTCCACATTTTGTTACGTTACAGCCTTATTCAAAAATTGATTAAATAACAAAAATGCCTCATCAATCTACACACAATACCCCATAATGACAAGGTGAAAACAGGTTTTTAGAAATGTTTGCAAATGTATTAAAATAAAAAACTGAAATACCTTATTTACATAAGTATTCAGACCCTTTGCTATGAGACTCGAAATTGAGATCAGGTGCAACCTGTTTCCAGTGATCATCCTTGAGATGTTTCTACAACTTGATTGGAGTCCACCTGTGGTAAATTCAATTGATTGGACATGATTGTAAAAGGCACACACCTGTCTATATAAGGTCCCACAGTTGACAGTGCATGTCAGAGCAAAAACCAAGCCATGAGGTCGAAGGAATTGTCTGTAGAGCTCCGAGACAGGATTGTGTCGAGGCACAGATCTGGGAAAGGGTACTAAACAAATTCTGCAGCATTGAAGGTCCCCAAGAACACAGTGGCCTCCATTATTCTTAAATGGAAGAAGTTTGGAACCACCAAGACTCTTCCTAGAGCTGGCCTCCTGGCCAAACTGAGCAATCAGGGAAGAAGGGCCTTGGTCAGGGAGGTGACCAATAACCCGATGGTCACTCTGATAGAGCTCCAGAGTTCCTCTGTGGAGATGGGAGAACCTTCCAGAAGGACAACCATCTCTGCAGCACTTCACCAATCAGGCCTTTATGGGAGAGTGGCCAGACGGAAGCCACTCCTCAGTAAAAGGCACATGACAGCCCGCTTGGAGATAGCCAAAAGGTACCTAAAGACTCTCAGACCATGAGAAACAAGATTCTCTGGTCTGATGAAACCAAGATTGAACTCTTTGGCCTGAATGCCAAGCGTCACGTCTGGAGAAAACCTGGCACCATCCCTACTGTGAAGCATGTTGGTGGCAGCATCATGCTGTGGTGATGTTTTTCAGCAGCAGGGACTGGGAGACTAGTCAGGATCGAGGGAAAGATGAACGGAGCAAAGTAGGACAACAATCCTAAGCACACAGCCAAGACAACGCAGGAGTGGCTTCGGGACAAGTCTCTGAGTGGCCCAGCCAGAGCCCGGACTTGAACCCGATCGAACATCTCTGGAGAGACCTGAAAATAACTGTGCAGTGACACTCCCCATCCAACCTGACAGAGCTTGAGAAGAATGAGAGAAACTCAACAAAGGTTACCCCCGGACAGGGCCAACCAGGCAGGATATAACCCCAACCACTTTGCCAAAGCACAGCCCCCACACCACCAAAGGGATATCAACAGACCACTAACTTACTACCCTGAGACAAGGCAGAGTATAGCCCACGAAGATGTCCCTCGCCGCACGAGCCAGAGGGGGCGCAAAACCAGACAGGAAGATCACGTCAAGGCTCTGATGAAGGCGATTAATGCCGAAACGTAAGCCGATTGTTTACTTGTCCCGTCTTTAATTTTAGGGGACCGAGTGGCGCAGCGGTCTAAGGCACTGCATCGCAGTGCTAGAGGCGTCACTACAGACCCGGGTTCGATCCCAGGCTGTATCACAACCGGCCGTGATCGGGAGCCCCATAGGGCGGTGCACAATTGGCCCAGTGTAGTCCGGGTTAGGGGAGGGTTTGGCCGGGGTAGGCCATCATTGTAAATAAGAATTTGTTCTTAACTGACTTGCCTAGTTAAATAAAGGTTATAACAGTATATGGCCATTAAGGCCAGATTTTTCTCCAAGATGTTCAAACGTTCATAGATGACCAGCAGGGTCAAATAAAACTCAGTGGTTGCAACAGGTCAGTACATCAGGAGTAAATGTCACTTGGCTTTTCATAGCCGGGCATTTAGAGGTTGAAATAGCAGGTGTGGTAGAGAGAGAGAGTTGAAAATAGCAGGTCTGGGACAAGGTAGCACGTCCAGTGAACAGGTCAGGGTTCCATAGCCGCAGGAAGAAGAGTTGAAACTGGAGCAGTAGCACGACCAGATGCTGCGGACAGCAAGGAGTCATCAGGCCAGGTAGTCCTGAGGCATGGTCCTAGGGCTCAGGTCCTCCGGGAGAGGAGGGAGAGAGGGAGTACTCAGTACTTTGTTGAAGCACCTTTGGCAACGATTACAGCCTCAAGTCTTCTTGGGTATAACGCTACTAGCTTGGCACACCTGTATTTGGTGAGTTTCTCCCATTTTTCTCTGCAGATCCTCTCAAGCTCTGTCAGGTTGGATGGGGAGCGTCGCTGCACAGCTATTTTCAGGTCTCTCCAGAGATGTTCGATTGGGTTCAAGTCCGGGCTCTGGCTGGGCCACTCAAGGACATTCAGAGACTTGTCCCGAAGCCACTCCTGCATTGTATTGGCTGAGTACTTAGGGTCATTGTCCTGTTGGAAGGTGAACCTTCGCCCCAGTCTGAGGTCCTGAGCGCTCTGGAGCAGGTTTACATCAAGGACCTCTCTGTACTTTACTCCGTTCATCTTTCCCTCGATCCGGACTAGTCTCCCAGTCCCTGCTGCTGAAAAACATCACCACAGCATGATGCTGCCACCACCATGCTTCACAGTAGGGATGGTGCCAGGTTTCCACCAGACGTGACGCTTGACATTCAAGCCAAATAGTTAAATCTTGGTTTCATCAGACCAGATAATCTTGTTTCTCATGGTCAGAGTCCTTTAGGTGCCTTTTGGCAAACTCCTAGCGGACTGTCATGTGCCTTTTACTGAAGAGTGACTTCCGTCTGGCCACTCTACCATAAAGGCCTGATTGGTGGAGTGCTGCAGAGATGGTTTTCTTTCTGGAAGGTTCTCCCATCCCCACAGAGAAACTCTGGAGCTCTGTCAGAGTGACCATCGGGTCCTTGGTCACCTCCCTGACCAAGGCCCTTCTCCCCCGATTGCTCAGTTTGGCCGAGCGGCCAGCTCTAGGAAGAGTCTTGGTGGTTCCAAACTTCTTCCATTTAAGAATGATGTAGGCCACTGTGTTTCTTGGGGACCTTCAATGCTGCACACAATTTTTGGTAACTTTCCCCAGATCTGTGCCTCGACACAATCCTATCTTGTAGCTCTACAGACAATTCCTTCAACCTCATGGCTTGCTTTCTTCTCTGACATGCACTGTCAACTGTGGGACCTTATATATATATATATATATATATATATATATATATATATATATATATATATATATATATATATATATATATATATATATATATATATATATATATATATATATATATATATATAGACAGGTGTGTGCCTTTCCAAATCATGTCCAATCAATTTAATTTACCACAGGTGGACTCCAATCAAGTTGTAGAAAATCTCAAGGATGATCAATGGAAACAGGATTCACCTGATCTCAATTTCGAGTCTCATAGCAAAGGGTCTGAATACTGTAAATAGGTATTTCCGTTTTTTGGGCTGTAATGTACCAAAAAGTGGAAAAGTCAAGGGGTCTGAATACTTTCCGTATGCACTGAATATCCAGATACAGGGCTGTATCTGGAACTGCATGTTGAAGATGGAAATAGAATGAATAGCAAACACAATGTCTTGTACTATTCCAATCTATCTGACAATCATATTTGATCTATACATTTCTGTCTGAACATTCTGTAAATATCCATTCTCCTGATTGTCCATTGCCAACCGCTGTGTCTTTGTGAGACGCGTTGTGGGTCAACGGATGATCTCCGCATGTGTAGTTCCCTCCGTAATGCATGGAGGAGGAGGTGTCATGGTGTGGGGGTGCTTTGCTGGTGACACTGTCTATGATTTAGGCCCCGTGTAGCTCAGTTGGTAGAGCATGGCGCTTGCAACGCCAGGGTTGTGGGTTCGTTTCCCACGGGGGGCCAGTATGAAGAAAAAAAAAAAATGTATGCACTCACTAACTGTAAGTCGCTCTGGATAAGAGCGTCTGCTAAATGACTAAAATGTAAAATGTAAAATATGTACATAATCAAGTCAAACCAATTAACCAATGATATTGTGTAAAGATACGTATAAGTTGTGACACTCAACTACTGTATGACTCTTTCAACATGCCACTGAAAAGGTCAAAAGCTGCAATTAATTTAATGATACCTGAAAATACTGCAGAGAAATTCAAAGCCATTTGCAAGCATTGCAAGTAGGATGCTTAGCAAAAAAACTACTTCAAGCCTCTTTGTCCATCTGAGTGTTCTTGTTTCAAACACACGCAATCATCTTTAAAGGGATAGTTTACACAGAATACAAACATGATTTTCAACCTACCTTGGCTGTAGTTGATTCAAGAAGGCAGTTTTGGGATATTTATTTTCCATTCGACACTTAATAGCCAGATTTTGTTACTCTTAGTATTCTCAGTAACACTAAAACTGTTAACACATTAAACTGTTCTTGTTTCTATGTAATACAACTTCAATTACTTTTGGAGCAACATTTTATTAGCATGTTACAAGAACTTGATGTCAAGTGTAACTGCATTACGTTATGCCTCACTCATTATGAACATATATTTGTTAGTCATTTTGAGGCTGCAAAAGTGGTCTACTCTAATGTTGAAGTGATTCTATGTCCCTCATTTATTTAATTCTAGGCTATAGGCTATATTAAGATTCATATCTGAGATCCCTCCAAACCATGTGCTAATCATATATTTAGACTAATTCAACTGTTCTTTTTGGTTCTTCATCAAATATTTGGCAGCCATCAAATAAATATTTATTTTAGTTTTCAAATAACTTGTATATATAATAAGAGTATATGCCATTTAGCAGATGCTTTTATCCAAAGCGACTTACAGTCATGGATGCATACATTTTACATGTGGGTGGCCCCGGGAATTGAACCCACAACCCTGGCGGTGCAAGCGCCATGCTGTACCAACTGAGCCATACAGGACCAAATACCTTCAAATATTATTTGGTTTTCTGAGAAGTATTCAAAGTACTTTCAAATATTATTTAGTTTTCTGAGACCTGTATTTGAATATCAAAGAAAATAGTTGCCTTTTTAGTTTAAACTCTATATTCGACTACCTCGAGTATTGACTACAAAATACAACTATTTTCTGCCCAGGTCTGGCTGTTTCTCATCTAGACCCAGAGTCTCTGGGTGTGTCCTAAATGGCATCCTATTCCCTATATATTGCACTACTTTTAACCAGAGTCCTATTGGCCCTGTTCAAGAGTAGGGCACTATATATGGAATAGAGTGCCATTTGGGAAGCACACTATATTCTCTATCTCTCTCTCTAGAGAACTCAGTATGAGTGCCATTTGTCCCCGTGCACAGCCCAGAGACCCAGGGTAACAGAGGTAGAGATGATGATGCAGCTGTAATTTTGTTAGGATATGCTGAGCTCTAATGAGGCTAGCACACCCTCGGGGTCCGGGGGGATAGGGGGAGGATGAGGTGGAGGAAGGATGGAAGATGAGGGGGTAGTAAGAGACCACGCTAATGAGAGTAGGGTAAAAGAGGGGGCTTTCATGCATTTCCTTCCTCCAGTCATACACACTGAACTAAGTGTGCGCATACACAATAATCTAAGTACACATATTCACACATACTCTCCCTCTTTCCCTAGTACACATACACACACATAGTGACAAACATGGGTACACACACATGTACACACACACCACTGCACCCCACCTCAGGGAAGTTAGCTGTTCAGGTTGTTTATTCACCCCTGGCTGCATCTGTATCCCAATCACTGGCTGCTCTGGCTCGTTTGCTCATGCCTTGCCATTAGCTCCTAATGTTGTTGACGTTCTCTTCCTTCCCCCTCTCTTTCTCTTCTGTGTCCTAAGAGCCAGTACAAGTTTGTGTGTGAAGCCATCTTGAGGGTCTATGAGGAAGGCCTGGTCAAACCCCTGAAGTCCACCCTATACCAGAGAGAAGAAGAAGTCGAAGTAGAAAATGGAGGAGAAGAGGAAGAAGATGAAGATGTTAGTATTAGCATTAGCGCTAGTGTGACCAGTGAGACCAGCGTGACCAGCGATTGCCCTGAACCCTGACCTCTAACCCCTTGGACTTGACCTAGGTTCATAGCGGGACGCCCAGCGCCAGGGAGGAAGAGCCCTGGTTACCATGGTTACTGCCCTGGGCCAAGGAGAGAACAAAGCACTGTTGCACTTTATGCCGGAAAAAAAAACACAAAAATCATGGACAAATGAATCCAGTTATGTTGATATGTAGACGGACATGCCTTTTCTTCTATGTCCCTCCGGCCGATCGAGAGTATTTATTGTGTTTTAGTTTGTGTCAAACCCTGTCCACTGAACAAACGTTAGTACGAGTCCTAGCTTCATGCTTCCCAAATGAAATCATAGGTAGTAAAAAGTAGTGAGAGAATTTTACTTTTGCTTTTTAGTGAGTGGTTTAATTTATTATATTTGTTTGATTTTCTTGTCAAATTAGACACATTAGAGCACTTTGTGTCTAACCCTAGCTAACCGTGTGGCTGTCGTGTCACTATGCCTTGATTTTTCATAGAACAAACAAGGAGCCATTGACTGACGTTGATTGGCATGTTAAACTGTCCAGTTAGTAAACTGTCAGATATTTTTTACTGCGTCAAGGCAGGGGGTGGATCTACTCTAAGCTACAGTATTTCATAAAGTCCCCAGCCACCATGGCAAATTAAGCTAACAAATGGGAGACTTGACCTTAAAACAACCTTTTAAGTTACATTTCTCACTGTCTTTGTGTGTGTCTGTCGAGAACACAAGCCAACAACACTAAGATCATTCAGCAAATAATAATTATAAACCCCACCTCCTTTTTTTATATATTTAAAATGGTACTTAAGGCACGTTCTTTTTATTGGAAATGATAATCACTTAAGGATGTTTTAGGTACACATTGCTGGGCATTTGTTGTAGCCAACACAATTATAACATGTTTTGTAAAAAATCAGGCTGCACGAGGTGTCCTTTTCAAACTGGTTCAACTATATTGTCATTTTCATCAGTTCTTGTATTGGAGTTATCAGCTTCTTTATTGTTTTAGCTACTCTTCTCATGAAAGAGGCTGTTTCTTGCTTTGTTTCATTACCTGGCTGTTGCCATCTTGGCACTGCAGGTAGTGGCACCTTCTCCGATGCACTATTCTGTACAACCATGTGTATGTTTAGAGTGGATGTGTGTGGGACCGTCAATGTAGTTATGTGCTGTGTCTGTGTGTCTCTGTGACTCAGCAGTTTTTCTTGTGTGAATGTATATTATGTCCTGCCTCTGGTGCTGCTGTGGCTCTGTCTCATGGTGTCTGGCCGTGTAACCATTAGCTAACCCCTTGCCATTTCACCATAACCTGGCTGACACTCATTTCTAACTCGATGTTAGATGTCTGGGGTGAAGCCTGCTTGTAAACTTATTTGCCATAGTTAGTTCCATCTTCTTGACCTGAGGTGACTGTGTGATGCATCTATAGCACGTACATTGGACATAAATACATTATGACCTATGTGACCACGCTGTGAGAAGCCCATTAAGTAAATTGCTCCCTTTCACCTGGCTTACATGCAGTCCCCCTGTGTGGAATCCACAAAACCATATTTGATTATTTTTATTTTATGAAATCATACATGGATCCCACTCTGTTATGCCTGAGAGGATTATGATGACACATCATAAGAGCAGGACTACAGAATGCCACATACAAGACTTGGGTTTCCAGAACCATCAAATGTTCATTTTCATGAATGTCCAGCATTGAGCTTTGTTCAAAGTGTTATGATAGCATATCAGGGTACTGTGGGGTGCTGTTTGGAGGCAGAAGGGGAGGGGAGGGGAGCAGGGTGGGGTAGGTATGGGAGGGTGGCCATGTTGTATTTTTGTGAAAGAAACAGTTCTTGCTTCTTGGGAATGGACAGCACTTTGCAGATGACTGGGGAGCCATGCCTGCTACTGAATATGTCAGAAACATAAAGTGGTGTTTACTTTTTATTTATCATTTTATTTGTTTTTAAGACAAAAACTCCAACCTACACAGTGCCACTTGTTAATTTTTTGTAAATATACTAGACCATGTAAATACAATGTTGTATATTTAAAAATTCTTTAAAATAAAATGGAAAATCATTTGTGAGTTAAAATGTTGTTTTTATATAGCGAATGACGTGACATAACTTGTTTAAAAATAGAAGAAAAATGGAAAGTGTACATTTCTTTCAACTGCAACTCACTCCATTAAGTTGATTTTACATCTATCTGTTTCAAACACTTATCAGTTGATCTGTTCATTGTGCTTTGTTTTTTTGTCTTTGTGATATTGTCGTTTGACAGTGCTTTAAATATGTTTATAAGATGTATTAACTATTAAAACTTGTCTGTGAAAGCATGAAAGAATTGCTTAATCTGACATTGCTTTTCCACACTGCAAAAGTGAGGTCAATGCAATGTTTTGAAAATAGATCCATGGTACATTTGGATTTTCTCAACCATTCTTCTGTCGTAACTCACACACATACACTACCGTTCAAAAGTTTGGGGTCACTTAGAAATGTCCTTGTTTTCTAAAGAAAAGCAATTTTTTTTGTCCATTAAAATAACATCAAATTGATCAGAAATACAGTGTAGACATTGTTAATGTTGTAAATGGCTATTGTAGCTGGACACGGCTGATTTTTAATGGAATACAGTACAGAGGCCCATTTAAGATCTTAATCTTTTCTTTTTATTGGCCAGTCTGAGATACATAAAAAAAAAATGTATGCACGCATGACTGTAACTCGCTTTGGATAAAAGCGTCTGCTAAATGGCATATTAATGTATTTTTCTTTGCAACTCTGCCTAGAAGGTCAGCATCCCGAGTCGCCTCTTAACTGTTGACCTTGAGACTGGTGTTTTGCAGGTACTATTTAATGAAGCTGCCAGTTGAGGACCTGTGAGGCGTCTGTTTCTCAAACTAGAGACTAATGTATTTGTCCTCTTGCTCAGTTGTGCACCGGGGCCTCCCGCTCCTCTTTCTATTCTGGTTAGAGCCAGTTTGCGCTGTTCTGTGAAGGGAGTAGTACACAGCGTTGTACGAGATCTTCAGTTTCTTGGCAATTTCTCGCATGGAATAGCCTTCATTTCTCAAAACAAGAACAGACTGAGGAGTTTCAGAAGAAAGTTATTTGTTTCTGGCCATTTTGAGCCTGTAATCGAACCCACGATTGCTGATGCTCCAGATACTCAACTAGTCTCAAGGCCAGTTTTATTGCTTCTTTAATCAGCACAACCGTTTTCAGCTGTGCTAACAATTGCAAAAGGGTTTTCTAATGATCAATTAGCCTTTTAAAATGATAAACTTGGATTAGCAAACACAACGTGCCATTGGAACACAGGACTGATGGTTGCTGATAATGGGCCTCTGTACGCCTATGTACAGTTGAAGTCAGAAGTTTACATACACCTTAGCCAAATACATTTAAACTCTGTTTTTCACAATTATTTTAGGTTAGTTAGGATCACCACTTTATTTTAAGAATGTGACATGTCAGAATAATAGTAGAGAGAATGATTTATTTCAGCTTTTATTTCTTTAATCACATTCCCAGTGGGTCAGAGGTTTACATGCACTCAATTAGTATTTGGTAGCATTGCCTTTAAATTGTTTAACTTGGGTCAAACGTTTCGGGTACCGTTCCACAAGCTTCCCACAATAAGTTGGGTGAATGTTGGCCCATTCCTCCTGACAGAGCTGGAGTAACTGAGTCAGGTTTGTAGGCCTCCTTGCTCGCACACGCTTTTTCAATTCTGCCCACACATTTTCTATAGGATTGAGGTCAGGGCTTTTGTGATGGCCACTCCAATACCTTGACTTTGTTGTCCTTAAGCCATTTTGCCACAACTTTGGAAGTATACTTGGGTTCATTGTCCATTTGGAAGACCCATTTGCGACCAAGCTTTAACTCCCTGACTGATGTCTTGAGATGTTGCTTTAATATATCCACATAATTTTCTTTCCTCATGATGCCATCTATTTTGTGAAGTGCCTCGGTCCCTCCTGCAGCAAAGCACCCCCACAGCATGACTGTAAGTCGCTTTGGATAAAAGCGTCTGCTAAATGGCATATTATTATTATTATTATTATTATGATGCTGCCACCCCCGTGCTTCACAGTTGGGATGGTGTTCTTCGGCTTGCAAGCAACCCCCCTTTTCCTCCAAACCTAACAATGGTCATTATGGCCAAACAGTTCTATTTTTGTTTCATCAGACCAGAGGACATTTATCCAGAAAGTACGATCTTTGTCCCCATGTGCAGTTGCAAACCGTAGTCTGGCTTTATGGCGGTTTTAGAGCAGTGGTTTCTTCCTTGCTGAGCGGCCATTCAGGTTATGTCGATGTAGGACTCGTTTTACTGTGGATATAGATACTTTTGTACCTGTTTCCTCCAGCATCTTCACAAGGTCCTTTGCTGTTGTTCTGGGATTTATTTGCACTTTTCGCACCAAAGTACGTTCATCTCTAGGAGACAGAACGCATCTCGTTCCTGAGCGGTATGACGGCTGCGTGGTCCCATGGTGTTTATACTTGCGTACTATTGTTTGTACAGATGAACGTGGTACCTTCAGGCGTTTGGAAATTGCTCCCAAGGATGAACCAGACTTGTGGAGGTCTACAATTTCTTTTTCTGAGGTCTTGGCAGATTTCTTTTGATTTTCCCATGATGTCAAGCAAAGAGGTACTGAGTTTGAAGGTAGGCCTTGAAATACATCCACAGGGACACCTCCAATTGACTCATGATGTCAATTAGCCTATCAGAAGCTTCTAAAGCCATGACATAATTTTCTGAAATTTTCCAAGCTGTTTAAAGACACATTCAACTTAGTGTACAGTGAGGGAAAAAAGTATTTGATCCCCTGCTGATTTTGTACGTTTGCCCACTGACAAAGAAATGATCAGTCTATAATTTTAATGGTAGGTTTATTTGAACAGTGAGAGACAGATTTGACGGTACATGGCCCCGTCCATCGTCCCTTTGATGCGGTGAAGTTGTCCTGTCCCCTTAGCAGAAAAACACCCCCAAAGCATAATGTTTCCACCTCCATGTTTGACGGTGGGGATGGTGTTCTTGGGGTCATAGGCAGCATTCCTCCTCCTCCAAACATGGCGAGTTGAGTTGATGCCAAAGAGCTCGATTTTGGTCTCATCTGACCACAACACTTTCACCCAGTTCTCCTCTGAATCATTCAGATGTTCATTGGCAAACTTCAGACGGGCCTGTATATGTGCTTTCTTGAGCAGGGGGACCTTGCGGGCGCTGCAGGATTTCAGTCCTTCACGGCGTAGTGTGTTACCAATTGTTTTCTTGGTGACTATGGTCCCAGCTGCCTTGAGATCAAGATCCTCCTGTGTAGTTCTGGGCTGATTCCTCACCGTTCTCATGATCATTGCAACTCCACGAGGTGAGATCTTGCATGGAGCCCTAGGCCGAGGGAGATTGACAGTTCTTTTGTGTTTCTTCCATTTGCGAATAATCGCACCAACTGTTGTCACCTTCTCACCAAGCCGCTTGGCGATGGTCTTGTAGCCCATTCCAGCCTTGTCTAGGTCTACAATCTTGTCCCTGACATCCTTGGAGAGCTCTTTGTTCTTGGCCATGGTGGAGAGTTTGGAATCTGATTGATTGATTGCTTCTGTGGACAGGTGTCTTTTATACAGGTAACAAACTGAGATTAGGAGCACTCCCTTTAAGAGTGTGCTCCTAATCTCAGCTCGTTACCTGTATAAAAGACACCTGGGAGCCAGAAATCTTTCTGATTGAGAGGGAGTCAAATACTTATTTCCCTCATTAAAATGCAAATCAATTTAACATTTTTTACATGCTGGATTTTTTTGTTGTTATCCTGTCTCTCACTGTTCAAATAAACCTACCATTAAAATTATAGACTGATCATTTCTTTCAGTGGGCAAACGTACAAAATCAGCAGGGGATCAAATAATTTTTTCCCTCACTGTATGTAAACTTCTGACCCACTGGAATTGTGATAGTTAATTATAAGTGAAATAATCTGTCTGTAAACAATTTTTGGAAAAATTACTTGTCATGCACAAAGTAGATGTCCTAACCGACTTGCCAAAACTAAACTATAGTTTGTTAACAAGAAATGTGTGGAGTGGTTGAAAAACGACTTTTAATGACTCCAACCTAAGTGCATGTAAACTTCTGACTTCAACTGTAGATATTCCATTAAAAATCAGCCGTTTCCAGCTACAATAGCCATTTACAACATTAACAATGTCTACACTGTATTTCTGATCAATTTGTTATTTTAATGGACAAAAAATTGCTTTTCTTTTGAAATCAAGGCCATTTTTAAGTGACCCCAAACTTTTGAACGGTAGTGTACCTGTATTCCAAATTCTACATTTCAGAAATGTGACTGATGCATACAATTATTTAGAAAGTAGCATAAATGTAAGAAGCCTGAAAGCATAGCATTTCTGCTTGTATGTAATCAACCTCCCAAGTTCCAACAGCCTGAATTAGACAGATTTGATTGTTTGCATGGAGTCTACGAGGCTCTCTTTAAGTATCAAGCATGTTGGAATGAAGTGCACAGGTACAGTCTGGTCAGACTGGTATCATCCCTATCAATCAATGGATATCCATGGCAGGAGAACTATAATGACATCATCATTGGTCCTCTGTAGCTCAGCTGGTAGAGCACGGCGCTTGTAACGCCAAGGTAGTGGGTTCGATCCCCGGGACCACCCATACACAAAAAAAATGTATGCACGCATGACTGTAAGTCGCTTTGGATAAAAGCGTCTGCTAAATGGCATATTATTATTATTTATCATGAAGACCAGACGGAAGCTATCAACATGACCAGTTAGTGGCGCTGTTGCTAAACGGAGAGGATACAGTAGTTCATACAGTAGATATTTGGTCTGATTGAAATACTTTTTCCACTGACTACCATGATGCAGTTTAAAAATGTACAATTGAGGAATAATCTATGACCGAATGTACTGACTCTCTAGAAAGTATCTACTGGTTTGTCCAGTCCTCATAAGATCGGCATAATATGATACAATATGATAATACAAACTTGGGTAGATGTATTTGTAATGCGGTTCATGATTAGCTACATTGTAATCTCATGATCACTACTATAGAAACGCCCAACAATAGAAATATAATTCAATTTCTATGCAGTCGACCAATGACTGCACTCAACACCCTAATGTCCCTTTAAATGCAAATAGCAGTTTGTTTTGGATTTATTATGACGTCAGTTCCTGAGGGAAATCTTGCCTCCCTCTTTTCTTGGGACTTGTGAAAATTATCCCGTTAGAGTATCGATCGAGTAGGAAATACAGTAGAAGACTTAACAACCATGGAAACGTATTAGTTTTCATTTTGTAAAAGTGAACCATGCAAGTGGATTGGTTGTTATTTTAGGCAAGTCTTTCGTGAGTAGCTATTCCTTTCGGATCTACAAGTGGCCATCCGCGACAACAGCAGCAAGTGTATGTCGCCGGATTTCTTTCATCTGTTGCTTCAGTAAAGCGTCGTTTCACAAGAGGTAACGTTAGATTGCTAAACCTGTTGCTCTTGTTCATGATGGGGCTAGTCAAATACAATTTGTCGAGTTATTCTTCAATAGTTAATGCTGTAATGAAACGTATGAAATTTAACTAAGATAAAAATTAATACAGTATTTATTCGGGCAAAACTTCTAGCTGACTACTAATTGGTTAGTTAACGTTACTAGTTAGCTAGCTAACCAGCAAGTTAGCTAGCATAACCAACCATCTGGTACCGCAGAACTAGCTAACTAGTAGCATAGTCTGCTAACTAGCAGTGATAAGTCACACCATTTTGATTTGCATACTAATGTGGCTTCTGTCACAGTACAGTATTTAACAGATTGTTTTAACATCACAGCCCTCTGATTGAGGAACACAACAGATTGTATCACTAATCCTTCCTCTCACATGAGCAGGTAGTGTTCACTAGGCCACCACCATGCTGAGTTTCCTCCGCCGGACGCTGGGCCGGCGGTCCATCCGTAAGCATGCTGAGAAGGCCCGGCTGAGAGAGGCCCAGCGGGCCACCACACACATCCCTGCTGCAGGGGAGGCCAAGTCCGTCATCACCTGCCGTGTGTCACTGCTGGACGGCACTGACGTCAGTGTGGACCTACCGGTGAGACTTTACACTACAAACTTTACACATAACACAGTGGGAAAGATTCTGAATCTAACCTGCTGTTCGAGGTTCAACTGATGTCAAGGCATGCCTCATGAGAAAGTAACAGGTGGGTATTGGGTCATCAAAAGTTATTTCAAAAGAAGGAAGACAGAGTAGGAGCATTTTTGGCATGGCAGATGCTCTCGCTCTGTGTGTCTGTGTTGGTTGATTGCCGTGTATAAGGTTCTGCTGTATAGTACTTGCTGACCAGCTCCCTCAATTGCTCCGAGATCCTGATCATGTTGTGGGGGTGGTAGCTAGTTGCCCTCCTCTCGCTGTGCTGTTAATGATTTACTGAGAGAGTCACCGTCAGGTCTTGGCTCACTGAGGTGTGACTAGGCCACATGAGAGGTGCGTGCCAGTGTGTTTATGTATAGGACAGTGTGTTGTTGTGTTGAGTGCTGCTGATCACCTGTAATTCCATGATCCCTCTACAGCACACCTGGTCACATGACCCACCCACTGCCAGGAGCCAAGTGAGTGGAGATACTCTTCTCAAATGGGAAGACTTGCTCTTGTCCCACAATGTCCTCTGATTTCTCAGGGTTGGAATTTCTAAGGCATTCCAGCTGTCAAACCAGTTGAATACGTGATCGTCTGATCCCACTCTGGTATTCTCCCGAGTGGCGCAGTGGTCTAAGGCACTGCATCGCAGTGCTAGCTGTGCCACTAGAGATCCTGGTTCGATTCCAGGCTCTGTCGTAGCCGGCCGTGACCGGGAGGCGGCGCACAATTGGCCCAGCGTCGTCTAGGGTAGGGGAGGGAATGGCCGGCAGGGATGTAGCTCAGTTGGTAGAGCATGGCGTTTGCAATGCCAGGGTTGTGGGTTCGATTCCCACGGGGGTATGAAAAATAGTATGAAAAATAATGTATGCACTAACTGTAAGTCGCTCTGGATAAGAGCATCTGCTAAATGACTAAAATGTAAATGTATTCCCACTCTGGTATTCCACTGTAAATGCTATAGGTCTATTGTTACAGAGCTTCTCCAATAGTTGATTCTGTTTTTTTGCAATGCCTCTGATTGCAATGCTGGTGGAGAGCTATTACAACATGGGATAGGCCAACCATGTTTATGTCTGACGAGTTTGTGGAGTTCAGGACATGAGACAGTGTGCAGTTTTCTAATAGCTTTGTCATAGTCATGTGAAAATACATTTGAAAGGAACATTGAGAAATGTTAGGCTACCTGTATGTCTGGATCTATAGCTCTGCTATGTATGAGTTCTAGGCTAATTGATATAGTCTGATGACCGTTTATTCACTTGGTGGCTTTGATTAAGTGTTACAAAGCAGAACTGCTGGGTTGCATAAAACTGTCATTGTTTAGGCTGCCAATGGGCTCCCCAGGCAATAACTCACTGACTGATTTTGATTATCAAGGCCTTATGTTTTCTTTGTTCTTCTGAGACAGCTTTGGGCCTAATGGTCTTCGGGCCTAATGGTCTGTCCCTGTTGTTTAGATATTTTGTGTGATCTCTGACATGCATGTTGCTACTGTTCAGCAGCCACACTCGGGACTAGCTGGAATAGTGGGATTGAACAGAGTGAATAAACATGTTGACAAATAGGGCTAGTACAAGATGCTGGGTTTGGATTGATGAAACATAACATCTTGGACTTATTTCAGTAATAGTACAGTAGTCTCCTTTTTACTGTAAAGATACTGTGGGGGCCTTAGCTGACTCGAGCTGTGGATAGTCATTACCTAACCAGGCTAGGCCTTTGGTGAGGCCTATTTATTTTGATTAATGATGAGTCGGGTTTAGTGCTAGTCAGTAAACTGTCCAGAATGACTCTTGAAGAAAGAGTGTGGCGTAGAATGTTTATTGCTCTTACCAAGATGGTTGAGTGCTTGGTAAGTCAGCGCAAAGGGTTTCCTAGGGTTACTCCTCTGAAGCAGCAGCTATCCCTTTTGACGCAGACAGCACTGTAAATAACCTAGGAATAACCGTCTCTCCTCTGACACCACCAGTTCCAGGACTCAGTCCAGTCTGAATAAGGGAGCCTCAAGCTTTTAAAACTATGGGTGGGAAGAAGGAGGAAGGCTGCCATATTTCTTCCTCAGTCCTCCCCTCAGTGGCACTCCTCTGACTTGCATTCGGGGAGCAGCCTTAGGAATGTAACTGTGCCTCCAAAGGCAGATAGTTGGTTGGGCAGGCTGGAAACCTCTGGTGAACAATGCGACAGCGAGGCCTGGGGTTCACTGGAGCGCACAATGGCTCCTTTGTGTCCATTCTCCCTGGCCGCAGGGGCGCTTTGTGAGCTATGCCAACTCTATGGGGCCTGTGTGAGCGTCCGGCAGGCTTGGATTAACACTGGGGACTGAGGACTGTTCAATGGCAGCATCCTCTCCTCTCTACCCATCACGACCTCTCCCCCTGTATAACATACTGGACCAGAGCATGGCAGTGCAGGCCTGTGTCCTCAGTGCTCATGTCAATGTTTGTTCCCCTGAAGGGTATTGTGTGTTTCACTGTGTGCTTTATCTATGTGCACACAGCAGTGTCACAACCAGTAATATGCTTGTTAGGTTTCAGCAATGCTGTTGCAGACTTTACTGTATGTGGTAACTTTTTATGCTTAACCTACATCTTTCCTGTTTTGAGTTTCCATTGTTGGTGGACTTGAAATCTGACGTTGCTTTTATTCATCTGAGAAACTCGAGGCAAAGCTCCCCATTTGAGCAGAATGGCAGTGAACTCTCCCAGCCACTGCAAGGGTCATTTTCACCCCTTCTATAAGCTTTGATCATTCAGTCACCTTGAACACAAATTAGCGCAGTCATTCAGCCCAGTGGAGTGACTGACCAACCACAGCTTTTGTTTTTGCCGTGTCTCACTCTGCTCTCTGGTGATGTGAGGCAGGACAAAGGGAGTGGGAGCGTTTTGTTTTCGTAGGCTGGCCTGTGGATCACTCATTAGCTGAGACTTCTCTACACGGCTACAGACTGTACTGTGTAGTCAGGCTACAGGCTGTACTGTGTAGTCAGGCTACAGGCTGTACTGTGTAGTCAGGCTACAGGCTGTACTGTGTAGTCAGGCTACAGGCTGTACTGTGTAGTCAGGTACAGGCTTGTAGTCAGGCTACAGGCTGTACTGTGTAGTCAGGCTACAGGCTGTACTGTGTAGTCAGGCTACAGGCTGTACTGTGTAGTCAGGCTACAGGCTGTACTGTGTAGTCAGGCTACAGGCTGTACTGTGTAGTCAGGCTACAGGCTGTACTGTGTAGTCAGGCTACAGGCTGTACTGTGTAGTCAGGCTACAGGCTGTACTGTGTAGTCAGGCTACAGGCTGTACTGTGTAGTCAGGCTACAGGCTGTACTGTGTAGTCAGGCTACAGGCTGTACTGTGTAGTCAGGCTACAGGCTGTACTGTGTAGTCAGGCTACAGGCTGTGCATCGTGTGTGTGTAGTCAGTCAGGCTGCTCGGCAGAGAGTAAAGACTGACTGGGGTCACGCTGACTCGCTGTGCTGCGGCCTACTAACAAGTTGCCATGGCGACCCCAGTGCTGCCATTCTTCCTGCTGTTTTGAAGTATGCAGAGTACTGAACTAGCTAGTACAGCAGCAGGCTACAGGAGTTGGGCAGCTAGCACCCCGTCTGAGCAGTGCGGACTAGAGACTGGTACGACCTGTCAGACTGACTGCAGGAAACACTGAATCATAGAGTTCAAACTGCTCACCAGAACAGAAGGGCAAGACTAGACTAATACATGTGGCAATGTGCCTGATTTTAAAGTAGGTGAAGCCAGCAAAATAATGTGTTCTACTTAGCTCTTGTCTCTTTTTTTGTTTGTTTTCTAATCAGTTATAGAGGCAATGAAATCAACACTGTGTCTGGGGAATGTAGTGTCAGGGAAAAATACACAAACACCTAAAACAGATCTATATTTTCCCTTTTCCACCAGTGGTGACTTAGTGAAACTTCACTACAATTGCTCATTCCACTTGTTTTGTTTTGACCATAATAAATAACATTGAGCAACAGTTTACAAATATTTGAAATATTAAACTATTATTAAGATGCTAAAGAGAACACAGTGAAAAGTGTAGACCTAGTCTGTTGAATGATTGATGCCATTGCTTCCAGACTAATGACTGTGTGTGTGATGTGACCTCTGACATCTCTCCTGTCCTGTCAGAAAAAAGCCAAGGGTGAGGAGCTGTTTGACCAGATCATGTACCATCTGGACATCATAGAGAAGGACTACTTCGGACTGCGCTTCATGGACTCTGCACAAGTACCGGTAAGACCAGAGTGGCAGACGGTCCTAGAGACAGACGTACTTTTATTACCACCCACCCAACCTTATTCTGATTAGGAATTAAGAAGGGGTTTGTTATGGTTAGATTTATTCACTCAACTTGAATTGCTCTTCTCTGGAATAGTGATTTGAATAACAGTGTGTGCAGTTTACGTACTATCTGGGTTTTCTAATGTAGGGCTGTTCTTATGGAAAGTTCAAGTACAGTTCTTTGCAGAAAGTAATTTTTAAGTTCACAGACCCAGCAGCCAGGGCAAGCTGATATGGTGTGAAGGGCATGGAAGGAGGGATAGGAGTGAGAGAGGTAGTAGGGAGGGAGAGCTGGAGAGAGGAATGTGGGGGAGAGAAGTGTGAAAGAGGGCTGTGGCAGAGACCTTCCGTTCCCTCATCAGCATGAGCATCACCCCCCCACCCCTCTACTCACACACTCACTCCTAAACCCCCGCCCCTCCCTCCTACATTGTTCATGCCTCACAGACTCCCAACTCCCAGACAAGAGTTAGAAATCAGAAATTCACTTTCTAGTGACACAATCAAACTGTGTGTGATATCCTAAGTGAGGCTGCTGTCAAATTAATTGGTTGTTGGCCTTTCCAATGACGTGAATGCCCTTGAGCCTAGATAGTTGATTCTTTCCTGTCATTGAAATATGTTGTTATTTTCTCATCTCTTTTGCAGCATTGGCTTGACGTTACAAAAAGCATAAAAAAACAAGTCAAAAGTAAGTATATGTTCTTTACCTCGCAATCACTGGAGATACACAAGCTATATACCTTCTATTGCCTATTTTCTGTACCAATGTAGACCTAGAGCTGTAGAGATGTATAATGGATAAACTATTAACAGATGGGTGTGTTGATGGAACAGCCAGAAACAGATTGATTTCATTAGTGCCATTCTCATTTCAAACCTTTATTTTCTTCCGTTCCTCATCTATCTCTCTGTGCAGTCGGTCCCCCATACTGCCTTCACATGAGGGTCAAATTCTACTCCTCAGAACCCAACAACCTGCATGAGGAGTTGACCAGGTCATCTTATTGTTGTCTTGTTATTACTATTCAATAATCATCTATTGTTTTTACAACATGATTTATGTTGATGAACATTGTATTTATTGTGGACATTTATCTGGACTTTTTATAAACAAATGACCCTTTTATTCCCGTAGGTATCTATTTGTATTACAACTAAAACAAGATATCCTCAGTGGCAAGTAAGTAACCCTCCTCATTCAGACTGTTTTGCTCTTCCTATATTAGATATACAGTATATTAGATTAGTGTAGACTTCATGTGCTTCAATATGTTTAACATCGCTGATGTCTATAGGCCAAGTACATCATTAGATACATTACATGTTAGTTATATATGTTCTGTTGCATCATGATACAGATGCTAAGAGGCTTACCTGCAGTAGTGGATTACACGTGATGTTTTAACTAAACTATTTACATTGATTAATAGATTGTGAATATTAGTATACATTTTCACTACATAGGGATTAGTGTTCATGTTGTCTGTCTGGCTATCCAATAACACAGGGTTGTTGTGTGTTAGCTCTGGAGAGAGAAACAGGCTGTTACAAACAGGCTGCTATATCCTTGCCTAGTGTGTACTGTACCTTGTTGAAAGCAACAGCACTCAGACAGCAGCATTGTTTTCTAATGAACACTCTCCTCCTTGTCTCACAGGTTAGAATGTCCTTTCGACACAGCAGTGGAATTGGCGGCCTTCTCATTGCAAGGTAAGAACAACGATGGCCCAATGTCTTTGTGTGGTTGTCATAACTCTTCTTGAATGAGAACCACTGAGTTGCAGTTTTCTGAGGGGGTGGAATCTTTGCTGTCAGCAGGAAGAGACCATAGCGCCACAGTAGCCTTTCAGAGCATGTTAACATGGTGGAGTATTCATGGTAATAAAATATAGTTTGGGCTTATCGCTACCCTCTCTTCAAGAATGTGTGTGCTACTGCCGCACTGTCCAAAGGAGTTGGCACAAATGCTGGGGCTGCAGTCCTTGCTCAGTGTTCCATCTGTAAATGGGCCCTCCAGGGTTGTTCTTAATGGAAGTGAGCCCCCCCTCTCCCTCCCTCTCTTCCAGCTCCTCTGTGGGGTAAATGCAAGCTCATTAGAGCCCAGCTCTTTGCAAAGGCCCCCCTAATCCAGCCCTCTCCCTCGTCCCGCTCTCTCACTCCCTCTCTCTCGGTCTCTCTACCTCCCCTCTGAGTTCGCATGAAAATCATCCACAGCTCCAACACAGACCCTTTGACATACAGCAAAACCACTTTTTTTTTCTCCAAACTCACTCTTTTTAGCCAGAACTCCGAATGGCCCTTCCCAAACAAAACTCACGGTTTGTCTTATGAATTTTAGGTAGAATAGATATCAGGATTTCAGACTGTATTCTGTTCTGCTAAATGGCGTAGCAAGTCAAATAATGGACACTCAAGCAGTTGGTCAAAGCCTCAGGTTTCAATGTAACACCAACTGAATGTCCGGTCGGTAGCTAGACTCCACTCTTTTTGGCAGCTAGGCTGGATGTCTGTCCATATTTCCCACACTGAATTTGATTTGTTGACCAATGACCAGGAGGAGGTAAGGCATTCCCTTCTCTGCCCTGTTAGAAACATCCATCCCTGTCATGGCCCCGCCCCCCCTGAACCTTAGCCCCACGCTGAGCTCTGTGATGCATCACTACTCTGCCTTGGTCTGCAGCAGCACAGAGCTGGAGCACATCACTGATAACAAAGAGCCTCTCCTCACCTCCATTACCCAGATAACGTACTGCTGCCCTATTTATCCCCCTGCCTGCAGAGTCAGACACGGTTATCTCCATGATGCTATGTAAGGAAAGAGTGAGGCGTCATTGGAGGTCTGTTGCTCCACTTAAATGTGATTTGGATGTCTTTTAATGTTGAAGGGGGCAACTTTAAAGGAATTATTCAAAATTACAAATGTCATTAATAGCTAACAGGTCATATATAAATCCTAAATCAGTGACCAAAATGATGGGGATAGAAGAATATATACAGCTTCTCATTAGCATTACTCTCATTGCAAAACAAGCCCAGACCCCAGATAGCATGCCTTAATCAACCTTCTAGAGTGATTCAGAGAACTCATGTCTACGGTTGTGTTCCAGCTGAGCTGGGAGACTAACCCTGCGGAGCATGCTCTGGACCTAGTGTCTGAGTTAGGGTTAAAGTACTCAGTATGTAACCTGTGTTCCAGCTGAACTGGGAGACTAACCCTGCGGAGCATGCTCTGGACCTAGTGTCTGAGTTAGGGTTAAAGTACTCAGTATGTAACCTGTGTTCCAGCTGAGCTGGGAGACTAACCCTGCCGAGCATGCTCTGGACCTAGTGTCTGAGTTAGGGTTAAAGTACTCAGTATGTAACCTGTGTTCCAGCTGAGCTGGGAGACTGTGACCCTGCCGAGCATGCTCTGGACCTAGTGTCTGAGTTAGGGTTAAAGTACTCAGTATGTAACCTGTGTTCCAGCTGAGCTGGGAGACTGTGACCCTGCCGAGCATGCACTGGACCTAGTGTCTGAGTTCCGCTTCATGCCAGAGCAGACTGAGGCCATGGAGCTGGCCATCTTCAACACCTGGAAGGAGTGCAGGTAAGACATTGATATCACAGCAAATGTCTCAGTAACAATTTATGATGTCACCATTAATAGGCTATTTATAAGGCATGTGTTAATGGTAAGGTATTGTAAAGTGTTACCAATGTCTAGAGGTTGTATAGCCCATCTTATACAGCAGAGATGTTCACAAGTCTTTGAGGTAAAATCCAAGTCAAGTCTTTTATAATAATAATAATAATAATAATAATAATAATAATAATAATATGCCATTTAGCAGACGCTTTTATCCAAAGCGACTTACAGTCATGTGTGCATAAATTTTTACGTATGGGTGGTCCCGGAGATCGAACCCACTACCCTGGCGTTACAAGCGCCATGCTCTACCAATTGAGCTACAGAGGACCTTTTGGCAATGGCTTTCTGCCTGATGTGGGTTAGGTCTATAAACCTTGTAAATTATTTGAAGAGACTCCCTTGTTCATTAGTCCATACTTGTATGAAAGTAAGCACATCAGGCACTATTTAAATCAAAATACATTTCCTTTTAAAATGTAGACAGTTTACATTAATAAAAGTAATTGTACCGAATATGAAAAAAAGAAAACATAACATTTAAAAGTGCATGGTAGTTTGTGGCAGACATGGTCTATATTTCACTTCATTCTGTCACACAAACAGAAAATCTGTAGGTGAGGGATGTATGAATGTAAACCAAAATGACAGACAACTGTTGAATAACTGCACTACTAAAGTGTCCTATTTTTCAAACGATCCCTAAAATATACTTACTGACCTGGACACTTAACAGAAATACAATTTCCTGTAACAAGTTGCAAATTACGTCCTGTGCCCTAAGACAAAGAACATTTCTGTTGCAGACAGGTTACATTTCAGATGAAGTTAGTGAGCCTGACATGATGAGGCCTCCATGACTAAACACTCTCTCCACTGGGGCACTGGTGGCAGGCACAGCCAACACGGTCATTGCTACCTGCTTGAGCCTTAAAGTCTTTTGCATGGATTCTCCCAAAATCCAAACAATCAACTTCATTTTCATCAGAAGATACTTGAATGTAGCGAATAATCTCTGCTCTGACAGATGACTTTATGTCTCCTTTCTTCTTGCTGATCTTGTTGCGGTAGCCAGAGAACAGTCTGGAGGTTTTGGCAGGTGGTTGTTCTTCTTCTTCTCCACTACTGCTCTCCGTAACGGTGACTTTCTGTGCCTCAGCCAAAACAAGGTCTGAAATAAACTCATAAAATGATGTATATGATCAAGAATATAACAATTTTCGTGGTCAAAAGTTTTGAGAATGACACAAGTATTGGTCTTCACAAAGTTTGCTGCTTCAGTGTTTTTAGATATTTTTGTCAGATGTTACTACGGTATATTGAAGTATAATTACAAGCATTCCATAAGTGTCAAAGGCTTTTATTGACAATAACATTACATTTATGCAAAGAGTCAATATTTGCAGTGTTGACCCTTCTTTTTCAAGACCTCTGCAATCCGCCCTGGCATGCTGTCAATTAACTTCTGGGCCACATCCTGACTGATGGCAGCCCATTCTTGCATAATCAATGCTTGGAGTTTGTCAGAATTTGTGGGTTTTTGTTTGTCCACCCGCCTCTTGAGGATCGACCACAAGTTCTCAATGGGATTAAGGTCTGGGGAGTGTCCTGGCCATGGACCCAAAATGTCGATGTTTTGTTCCCCGAGCCACTTAGTTATCACTTTTGCCTTATGGCAAGGTGCTCCATCATGCTGGAAAAGGCATTGTTCGTCACCAAACTGTTCTTGGATGGTTGGGAGAAGTTGCTCTCTGAGTATGTATTGGTACCATTCTTTATTCATGGCTGTGTTCTTAGGCAAAATTGTGAGTGAGCCCACTCCCTTGGCTGAGAAGCATCCCCACACATGAATGGTCTCAGGATGCTTTACTGTTGGCATGACACAGGACTGATGGTAGCGCTCACCTTGTCTTCTCCGGACAACCTTTTTTCTGGATGCCACAAACAATCGGAAAGGGGATTCATCAGAGAAAATGACCCCAGTCCTCAGCAGTCCAATCCCTGTACCTTTTGCAGAATATCAGTCTGTCCCTGATGTTTTCCCTGTAGAGAAGTGGCTTCCTCGCTGCCCTTCTTGACACCAGGCCATCCTCCAAAAGTCTTCGCCTCACTGTGCGTGCAGATGCACTCACACCTGCCTGCTGCCATTCCTGAGCAAGCTCTGCACTGGTGGTGCCCCGATTCCGCAGCTGAATCAACTTTAGGAGACGGTCCTGGCGCTTGCTGGACTTTCTTGGGCGCCCTGAAGCCTTCTTCACAACAATTGAACCTCTCTCCTTGAAGTTCTTGATGATCCGATAAATGGTTGATTTAGGTGCAATCTTACTAGCAGCAATATCCTTGCCTGTGAAACCCTTTTTGTTCAAAGCAATGATGACGGCACGTGTTTCCTTGCCGGTAACCATGGTTAACAGAGGATGAGCAATGATTTCAAGCACCACCCTCCTTTTAAAGCTTCCAGTCTGTTATTCTAACTCAATCAGCATGACAGAGTGATCTCCAGCCTTGTCCTCGTCAACAATCTCACCTGTGTTAACAAGAGAATCACTGACATGATGTCAGCTGGTCCTTTTGTGGCAGGGCTGAAATGCAGTGGTAATGTTTTTTGGGGATTAAGTTAATTTTCATGGCAAAGAGGGACTTTGCAATTCATCTGATCACTCTTCATAACATTCTGGAGTATATGCAAATTGCCATCATAACTGAGGCAGCAGACTTTGTGAAAATGAATGTGTCATTCTCAACTTTTGACCACGACTGTACATTATACATGGGAAACAAAAACATTATTATTTGAATGCAAGTGACATAGAAAACGTTGCATGTTGCAATGCATTGTACCTACCAATCAGACTCTCCTTCAATTCAGCTTTATCTTCATGTGGTATGAGGACATCATGATCAAGCCAGAACAGGCAGAAAGATGGGTCCAGCAGCCATTATGTATACATTGTCACCAAATGGAAGTTTTGTTGCCTGTTCATCCGAGTGCTCCATTCTGACATGCACAAACACCCCATGGAGTCGGCGTTTGAGTGACTGCTGCAGTGCTTTTACTAGACTGACTAGGTGACGACTTGTGCTCAGTATACTTTGCAGATGATAGTTGAGTGACAGTACACAAGGAAGGGCAGCACTGAGAGTCACCACTTTCTCCCCCTGAGTAAGGTCGGTGGCCTGGACAAAAGGGTCCAAAATGTCCACTAGCTCCAATAGCTGGCTCCATTCCCTTGGTGATAAGCAGAGCTCCTTGTGTCCTTGGGCCTCAAGTAGAGTACTGAGGCTTTGTTGATTCAGATTGGTGACTGCTTTAACAAGCCGGAGGATGGAATTCCATCTGGTAGACACAGCAGCAGGGATACTACGATTGGCTCCGAACTCAGCTTCAAATGCTTCTTTCAGACCACAGGTAGTGTGTAGTAAGCTGCAAAGTTTAGTTACCTTAGCCATCACACTGTTTATGATTTTTGTTTCCTTTATTCCATCTCTAATCACCAGTTGTAATGAATGGGCAAAGCAGTGTAAGTGCTGTTGCCTGCAGTTGGTTTGGATAGCTTCAACATCGGCATTGTACTCTTCACCAAATTCTTCCTGTAGGCTGGGGTTATCCACATCATCATGATCATTGCTTGCTTTGGGGAAACAAACTGTGAAAGCCTTTTTTAATATTTGCAGCGTTATCACATATGATATAATCTCATTTATGTTTTAAGCCAAAATTATCACTGATTCTTTCCCCAGTGTGTGACCCTGTGAATCTATCACAGCTCAACAGAACTGACTCCAGTCTGGGAGTTTTCTTCTCTTCCATGGCCATGTAATGGGCCGTTACTCCCATGAAGCCCCACATGGTCCTGTCAGTCCATATATCTACAGTGACAGACACTGATTCTATCTTCTCTAGCGCACTTTTGATTGTAGCCTCTTTGTTCAGTCATGCAGGCACCTGGTCAACGTGGGCCTACTTACTGGTCTATATTTGTCATCTACCACTGACATGAAATGCCTAAAGTGAGGGTTGTCCACTAAGGACATAGGCAGGTTGCAGGAAATGATCAGGTCTTGCAGTATAGCCTCTGTTATGGCCTTCTGCCTGGGATGGCCCTGGCTGTACACATGGACACCTGTGGTGGTCAAGAATGAGTCAATGCTGCTCTGTCCTTCTGTCCCTGCGCTGGCCACCTTTCAGTGAACCTACAGATGAACAACATGATGGATAGTTGTTGCTGACTTGAGATGGAAGTACAAGGACACAAACAAATATATATGGTCTATTGGATTTTTCAGCAGAAATGTCCAAGAAGTTGCATGCTTTGAACACTTGTTTTATACTAAATTACTTCCTAGGACCAGGCTACAACAGAAAGTATATTAAATCTCAGAGTGATTTGCATATCGCCGAGATGTAACTAAATCATCTCTGCTAAACAAGTAGGCCTAGCTATCTGACAACTCGCTTCTTAACCTTTCAAGAAATATTCATAAGTAATACATTTCCAGTTAGCTAAAAGATGACACATAAGAAAGCTAGCTATATCAAGCTGGCATCTGCTAAACAGGCTATTATTAGTCTAACCACATTGTAACGTTGTTAGCTAGCTAACCTAACTGACCTTTCGCGGTGAGTTTTCAAATGTCGGATGAAGTTAGATGTAGTTGCGCCAGCATCTTTAATGTTAACTCCACAAGTTTTGCAAACAGCATTTCGTTTTTTGCCACTGGCATTATACTGCAGGTTCTTGTAACCAAATGTAATAATGAAAGCCTCACCACCTGATGACATTGTTGCTGATTATTGTTTAGCTGGAGTACTACAGTGACGTACAAATGACGCAGATGTTCTAGAACGCTTTTCAGCCCTCTGTATTAAACTACTTTCTCTGCGTTATAATGCCACCTGTTCCATGTTATCTGACAGAATGCACAACAGAAACTTATCCCAGTACTGACTTGCATTGTTCACGAGTCTCTCATCTAGAGTCCAAGTCAAGTCTCAGTTTTTGTTAGGTTACAGCCTTATTCTAAAATTGATTTTTTTTTAAATTGTACTAATCAATCTACACACAGTACCCCATAATGACAAAGCAAAAACAGGTTTTTAGAATCTTTTGCTAATTTATAAAAAAAATTACGGAAATATCACATTTACATAAGTATTCAGACCCTTTACTCAGTACTTTGTTGAAGCACCTTTGGCAGCAATTACAGCATTGAGTCTTCTTGGTTATGACGCTACAAGCTTGGCACACCTGTATTTGGGGAGCTTCTCCCATTCTTCTCTGCAGATCCTCTCAAGCTCTGTCAGGTTGGATGGGGAGTGTTGCTGCACAGCTATTTTCAGGTCTCTCCAGAGATGTTCGATCGGGTTCAAGTCTGGGCTCTGGCTGGGCCACTCAAGGACATTCAGAGACTCCTGCGTTGTCTTGGCTGTGTGCTTAGGGTTGTTGTCCTACTTTGCTCCGTTCATCTTTCCCTCGATCCTGACTAGTCTCCCAGTCCCTGCCGCTGAAAAACATCCCCACAGCATGACGCTGCCTCCACTGTGCTTCACCGTAGGGATGGTGCCAGGTTACTTCCAGACGTGACACTTGGCATTCAGGCCAAAGAGTTCAGTCATGTTTCTCATGGTCTGAGAGTCCTTTAGGTGCCTTTTGGCAAACTCCAAGCGGGCTGTCATGTGCCTTTTACTGAGGAGTGGCTTCCGTCTGGCCACTCTACCATAAAGGCCTGATTGGTGGAGTGCTGCAGAGATGGTTGTTCTTCTGGAAAGTTCATCTCTACAGAGGAAGCTCTGTCAGAGTGACCATCGGGTTCTTGGTCACCTCCCTGAGCAAGGTCCTTCTCCCCCGATTGCTCAGTTTGGCCGGGCGGCCAGCTCTAGGAAGAGTCTTGGTGGTTCCAAATTTCTTCCATTTAAGAATGATGGAGGCCACTGTGTTCTTGGGGACCTTCAACGCTGCAGAAATGTTTTGGTACCCTTCCCCAGATCTGTGCCTCGACACAATCCTGTCTCGGCGCTCTACGGACAATTCCTTCGCCGTCATAGCTTGGTTTTTGCTGTGACATGCACTGTCAACTGTGGGACCTTATATAGACAATGTAGAAACATCTCAAGGATGATCAATGGAAACAGGATGCACCGGAGCTCAATTTCGAGTCTCACAGCAAAGGGTCTGAATACTTATGTAAATAAGGTATTTCAGTTTTTGGATTTTAATACATTTGCTAACATTTCAAAAAATCTGTTTTCGCTTTGTCATTATGGGGTATTATGTGTAGATTGCTGAGGAAATGGTTTTATTTAATCCATTTTAGAATAAGGCTGTAACGTAACAAAATGTGGAAAAAGTCAAGGGGTCTGAATACTTTCCGAAGGCACTGGTTACAGCCAGGAGTTTGTCCTGTATTTGGGTGCCTATAGGGTTAGGCTACTTAAGCTACTCACTTAATGACCTTTCCTTGGGGAGCATAGGTCATCCACCGGCTATAGGGCACCTATATTATTTGATCACCCTTGATGTACTGTGGCTGGGGTATTCTCAGATAGGGTTAGGTGCAGTTATTAGTTTTTATTTATACATGTGTCAGTGTGGGCCGGTCTTGACCGGTGGTTACCCTGAGGTTACCTTGATGTAACAGATGCTAAATCTTGACAGTGCTTGCTCTTTAACCTGGAACACATGCATGAGCTACCTGTGATGTATGACTTCGTCATGGTTGAGATTTTAATGTCACCTATATGATTTATAATCAACAGTCGTGGTTAATCTCAAGAGTCAACATTCTTTGTATGTGACCTTATCTCACACACACCTCATCCCCTGTTTAACCCAGTATTCTGCCTCTTCTCCTTCTGCTCTGTCCCAGGGGCCAGATGCCATCGCAGGCAGAGATTAACTACCTGAACAAGGCCAAGTGGCTGGAGATGTATGGGGTGGACATGCACATGGTGAAGGTGAGGACAACAGAATGGGAGTCTCTCCAGCTCTCTCTCGCACTCTCTGTCTCTTTTCTGTCTCTCTCTCTCTATGCCTCTTGCTCTCGTGTTATACAGGGCTGTACTGGTATGAAAACAAAACGCTAGTGGAGATTAAGGATGGTGAGTAACATAAACGGTGACACTGCGCTGAATGGGTGTCTACTGTCCCTCCAGGCTCGAGATGGTAATGACTACCAGCTAGGACTGACCCCCACCGGAGTGCTGGTGTTTGAGGGAGAGACCAAGATAGGCCTGTTCTTCTGGTAAGACCATTGGCCATACTTGATCTCTACCTGTGTCTCTACTAGTTCAAGAACTAGTGGGTGTTGATCACTATCTCTTGTTTAACTGTCCCTATAATTGTGTTTTTCCATGTGTGTGTCTCAGGCCCAAGATCACCCGTCTAGACTTTAAGAAGAGCACACTGACCCTGGTGGTGGTTGAGGATGACGGAGAAGAGGCTCAGGAGACAGAAGAGGTAATGAACCAACCCTCCTCTGCCACAAACACACACAGTGGGGGTAGCCATGGTCCCTACTCTTACCTCCGACTCTTTACTACTGGGCCCTCTTCCCATACACTTATCCACCCACTCAGACTCAGTCTCTCTGCTCTGAGGGCCCTAGTGTAGCTGGGGATTGTTTGTTCCGCCTGGGTCTGAATCTGACCTATCCATGCATCCATCCATATCCTGTTCTGTTTATCATGCTGCATCACTCTTTCTCTTCCATCATGCTGTTCTGTTGTGCTACCTTAGTTAATTATAGTGGCTGGTGTTGAAATGCGGTCCATTTTCTCCCACTGCTTTTCAATACAACCCAACGCCCCTGTACTTTTCTGTACAAGCTCCCGTCATTGCGGAGATATCCCTGCAGTTTTCCAGTCTCATCATGAATGGTCCTAATGTCACTTGTTACTTAGTCATAGATATCATTTTCAGTAAAATAGACTCTGTCATTCAGTTTTCAGTCAACGGATAGTTGATTACTCATGCTCTTTATATTGTGGTAGCGCTATTTGAAATGTGTAGCCTATACTCTCTGACCCTGTTTCTGTTCTGTTCTGACCAGATCATGTCAGTAAAGGCAGTTACTTTGTTCCAGTCCAATAAAACGGCTTTGTATTGAAATGAAAATGAAAACCCCTTATTATAGTACACCACCGGAGGCTAGAGCAGAGCTGTACAAAGCTGCTTTTATAACAATGTGATGTGGTGGGGTGGGCCAGTCCTACATGGAATGTACTTAGTTTCACCTGTAGCAGGGATACAGTCAGGGAGGTAGGTGGGCATGCAAGGAGGTAGGTCGGCATGCGGGGAGACAGGCGGGCGGGCATGCAGGGAGACAGGCGGGCGGGCATGCAGGGAGACAGGCGGGCGGGCAGGCAGGGAGACAGGCGGGCGGGCAGGCAGGGAGACAGGCGGGCGGGCAGGCAGGGAGACAGGCGGGCGGGCAGGCAGGGAGACAGGCGGGCGGGCAGGCAGGGAGACAGGCGGGCGGGCAGGCAGGGAGACAGGCGGGCGGGCATGCAGGGAGACAGGCGGGCGGGCAGGCAGGGAGACAGGCGGGCGGGCAGGCAGGGAGACAGGCCGGCGGGCAGGCAGGGAGACAGGCGGGCGGGCATGCAGGGAGACAGGCGGGCGGGCATGCAGGGAGACAGGCGGGCGGGCAGGCAGGGAGACAGGCGGGCGGGCAGGCAGGGAGACAGGCGGGCGGGCAGGCAGGGAGACAGGCGGACTGGCAGGCAGGGAGGGAGGCAGACTGGCAGGCAGGGAGGGAGGCAGACTGGCAGGCAGGGAGGGAGGCAGACTGGCAGGCAGGGAGGGAGGCAGACTGGCAGGCAGGGAGGGAGGCAGACTGGCAGGCAGGGAGGGAGGCAGACTGGCAGGGAGGGAGGGAGGCTGGCAGGGAGGGAGGGAGGCTGGCAGGGAGGGAGGGAGGGAGGCTGGCAGGGAGGGAGGGAGGCTGGCAGGCGGACTGGCATGCAGGGAGACAGGCGGACTGGCATGCAGGGAGACAGGCGGACTGGCATGCAGGGAGGGAGGCAGACTGGCAGGGAGGGAGGCAGGCTGGCAGGGAGGGAGGCAGACTGGCAGGGAGGGAGGCAGACTGGCAGGGAGGGAGGGAGGCTGGCAGGCAGGGAGGGAGGGAGGGAGGGAGGCTGGCAGGGAGGGAGGGAGGCTGGCAGGCAGGGAGGGAGGGAGGCTGGCAGGCAGGGGGAGGGAGGCTGGCAGGCAGGGAGGCTGGCAGGCAGGGAGGGAGGCAGACTGGCAGGCAGGGAGGGAGGGAGGCAGGCAGGAAGGGAGGCAGGCAGGCAGGGAGGGAGGGAGGCAGACTGGCAGGCAGGGAGGGAGGCAGACTGGCAGGCAGGGAGGGAGGCAGACTGGCAGGCAGGGAGGGAGGCAGACTGGCAGGGAGGGAGGGAGGCTGGCAGGGAGGGAGGGAGGCTGGCAGGGAGGGAGGCTGGCAGGCAGGGAGGGAGGGAGGCTGGCAGGGAGGGAGGGAGGCTGGCAGGCAGGGAGGGAGGCTGGCAGGCAGGGAGGGAGGCTGGCAGGGAGGGAGGCTGGCAGGCAGGGAGGGAGGCTGGCAGGCAGGCAGGGAGGGAGGGAGGGAGGGAGGCAGACTGGCAGGGAGGGAGGCAGACTGGCAGGGAGGGAGGCAGACTGGCAGGCAGGCAGGGAGGGAGGGAGGGAGGCAGACTGGCAGGCAGGGAGGGAGGCAGACTGGCAGGCAGGGAGGGAGGGAGGCAGACTGGCTGGCAGACTGGCAGGGAGGGAGGGAGGCAGACTGGCAGGCAGGGAGGGAGGGAGGGAGGCAGACTGGCAGGGAGGGAGGGAGGGAGGCAGACTGGGAGGGAGGGAGGCAGACTGGCAGGCAGGAAGGGAGGCAGTCAGGCAGGGAGGGAGGGAGGGAGGCAGACTGGCAGGCAGGAAGGGAGGCAGGCAGGCAGGGAGGGAGGGAGGCAGACAGACTGGCAGGAGGCAGACTGGCAGGGAGGGAGGCAGACTGGCAGGAAAGGAGGCAGGCAGGCAGGCAGGGAGGGAGGCAGACAGACATATGGGTAAGGAGGGAGACAGAGGGAGGTAGGCAGGCAATAGCTGAAGCAGCCCATGTAGTGTAGACTTTTGCAATCAGCTGGCTGTCTGCCTCTACCCAGGAATCAGGATGTGCTCATTAGCAGCTAAGGAGAGCTGTGTGAGGAGGGCATTTAGAAAAGAAACATTGTCTGCAGGACTGCTAATGTGTGCTCTGAACTAGGACGTTTGTGTAGCTGTGAGGGTATGTGTGTGCGTGTATGGGGATTAGTATAGCCTAGGTCAGTTCTGAAGCAGAGGAATATCCTTGAATTTCCACACACCTCTAGGACGATATGTTTTGTCTATCTCCGAGGCTGCCTGGCTGGGCTGGCTCATCTCCAGGGATAGTTAATTAAAGCGTAAGCTCTTTCCCTCAGGCATCTGTGGCATCCACAGCCCTTACAGCAGCTCCTAGCACTCCATTAAACCAGGCTGTAGAGCTGTTAACATGGAAACACCCCCCGCCTGGCTGGGCCGGCACTAGACAGGCTAACAAGGCTTTGGCACTGGTTGTCTTTCTGTCTGTCACCTACACACTGCTGAACACCTGGGAGTGAGAGTTCTCTCCATGGTCAAAGATACTTCACCTTGTCAAGATGTTTTCAGACATCTAAAGTCATTTGTTGTGTGGATGCAGTTATACGCTATACCTCAAACCCAAATGATTTGGGAAAGAACTGAATGAGGTTTATTTGAAGCAGTAGTCAAAGGAATCCTACAATACACATTACATGGATGTGACTCGTACTATGCTATAGTGTTGCAACATGTACAGTATGTAGATGGAATCCCCTCAGATAGAGAGGAAAGGCTAGACAGACAGTGTTGGAATGAGACAGTAGACTAGTTCAAATCATGACTAGTAGTTGATGGGGACTGCTGCTCAGCCATTCTGACAGGTGACCACTTGGAATGTGTTGCACCATCGGAATGTGGCCAGTGTCTTTACTTTGGGACATTTCACTAATCTCTGATGTGTGTGCATGTCTATGGAGGATGTGTGGGGGTCTGTGTGTGTGGGGGTCTGTGTGTGTGTGTGGGGGTCTGTGTGTGTGGGGGTCTGTGTGTGGGGGTCTGTGTGTGTGTGTGTGTGTGTGTGTGTGTGTGTGTGTGTGTGTGTGTGTGTGCTAAGCCTATGCACATCCTGTGTGTGTCCGACACTGGACTGCACTTTCTCTCTCTCAAAGGTATTCTGGTTCTCATCTCCCGAGGTCTTTGTTTTCACGTCTTAATCCTCTGTACCCTGTTCCTGTGTCTGAATTAATGAAGCAGTGTTAGTAGAGCACTGAATAGGGCTGGCTAGCAGCAGGACAGAGCACTGAATAGGGCTGGCTAGCAGCAGGACAGAGCACTGAATAGGGCTGGCTAGCAGCAGGACAGAGCACTGAATAGGGCTGGCTAGCAGCAGGACAGAGCACTGAATAGGGCTGGCTAGCAGAAGGACAGAGCACTGAATAGGGCTGGCTAGCAGAAGGACAGAGCACTGAATAGGGCTGGCTAGCAGCAGGACAGAGCACTGAATAGGGCTGGCTAGCAGCAGGACAGAGCACTGAATAGGGCTGGCTAGCAGCAGGACAGAGCACTGAATAGGGCTGGCTAGCAGAAGGACAGAGCACTGAATAGGGCTGGCTAGCAGCAGGACAGAGCACTGAATAGGGCTGGCTAGCAGCAGGACAGAGCACTGAATAGGGCTGGCTAGCAGAAGGACAGAGCACTGAATAGGGCTGGCTAGCAGAAGGACAGAGCACTGAATAGGGCTGGCTAGCAGCAGGACAGAGCACTGAATAGGGCTGGCTAGCAGAAGGACAGAGCACTGAATAGGGCTGGCTAGCAGAAGGACAGAGCACTGCTGAGAAAGTTGCTACGCTGGCATAACTGATTAGGACACGAGAAGGGATTTAATTTGCCTCGTCGAGGCCTGACGGAAAATTGCATTCATGAGCAAGTTATTGGAAACTGCAGGGCAAGCAGCTTCTTCTCTGCCTGGCCATGCACTGACTCAAATGAAGGTTGGAATCACAGGGAATAGGGTTGTTTTATATTGTCAAGTTCATCCAAGGAGACATACTGTACTAACCCGTTCTTATTGCAAAATACATTTGTGTTCAATGAGCTTGTCTGAATCCATAACCGACCAGTTAAAACATGTCTACAACCAGACATATTTTTCCTGGCCAGCATATGCTGTCCTATGGCCAGTTTTTATTCTGGAAAAACATTAGGCCCTAGTTAGTTATAACATGCATGTATTATCCCACTGTCTAGTCCTACCACTGCTTCATGTCAATGCGTTTCCTCTGTCTCCCGGTCTCCTCTTGCTGTGACACTGATAGAAAAGTTATGCTAATGCTATGTTCCTGTCTGTCTCTCTCTCTCTTTCTCTCTCTCCGTCTCAGGGTAAAGAGCAGGAGCACACGTTTGTGTTCCGTATGGACCACCCCAAGGCCTGTAAGCACCTGTGGAAGTGTGCTGTGGAACACCACGCCTTCTTCCGGCTCCGCGGCCCCGTCCAGAAGGGCTCAGCACGCTCCGGGTTCATACGCATGGGATCACGCTTCCGCTACAGGTAGCTATTGAACAGCATATGTACACTACACTCTGCTTAGCATACTACTAACAGTATTCACTCCACACTACACAAGTCTCCACACAATTCAATCCCCAGTTCATTTTTATAATGCATGTTTCATCAGCTTATTAAAATTCCAACAATTTGCACATAAGACAAATCCACAGATTATAATTGTAATAGGACTCAACCCACCATATGCGCTCGTTAAGCTGACTGTGCCTAGTGAAACTGGCTAAACTTCCAACATTCAACTTGGCCCGTTGTGTAATAATAAGTTGTCCTGCTGCAGTGTAAACTTCGGACTGCTGAAACAGCAGCTGCAGGCTCTCTCTGGGGCCTTGTTGTTTCAAGGTGGGGTATTTCTAGTTGGATGGTTACAGAGTTCAGCAGGGGTCAGTCCCATATCCCAACACCTTGTCGAGGGGTTGAGCACTGAATGCCACCCTGGGGGTATGAGGGAGGGCTGGGGGTGACGGATGGGAGGGGACAAGTAACGGCACACTGCACTGGTACACCCTCTGTTTATCTTTTCTCTGGAGTACCCAAGCGGTGGTTACAACAACACTGCTTCTCTGTCTGCTCCACTCTACCACTTGGCTATAGTCCATATTGCCAGGTGTGTTTCCATCCTGACCATGTGGCCTGACCAGTCAAAACTCTGGGCTCAACCTAAACCATTCTCAGCGATTTTTAAGGAATCTGATCACTTGCTGCCTGTGCCTTTGTGTTTTCATGTAGTCTCTTTTATTTGTTTCTCTATCTGAAGTCTCTTCCACAAACTGAACCTGACTCCAGGTCAGACACTCTTACCCTCTTTTTCTCATTACAACCATTACAATTACATGTGGTCCATTTCCAAGGCTCGCTAGCTCTTTTCATTTTAACAACAGCTTTTCAGGGTGTCTGTCTCTGTTTGAATACAAGCTTTCTCTTCAGCTGGATCTAGCTAAGGATTTTCAATATGTTTAAGTAATTAACTAAAACAGTTTCCCTTTGTGGAATCTGAGCCCCAACAGATTCCACAAGTTCCAGTCATTATCTGAATCAGTCCTGGCAGTCTGAACCTCCCTATCTCTGCCTGTTTTCAGTCTTCACTGGGCACTCACTGCCTGACTGTCCCCTGCCTGGTGGTGGGTTGGTTGGTTTCACTCTCATTCCCCCTCCTCCTTCCTGTGTGTTGTTCTGGGTTGTATTCACTAGGAACGAAACCGAATAAAAAGGGCAGAAATGGGGAGGGGACTACCTGAACTTGTCCAATAATAAATGCTTGTTTACATTTCCCGTTGTAAACCATTTTGCTACGGTGTGTACTAACGAATATGACCCTGTTATCCCCAGTGGGAAGACTGAGTACCAGACCACCAAGGGCAACAAAGCCAGGAGGTCTGCATCGTTTGAGAGGAGGCCCAGCAGACGCTACTCCAGGAGGACCATGATGAACCGGGGTGGGTGGATACACAATTTATACAGTACACACACAGTGTAATATATCGCTTATGGGTCTTTCTATAAACTAGGGTACCAGTGAGGATTTCCTACACTGGACAACTTGTTACAGCTGTTGATAAGGCATTTATAATAATCAACCAATTTCTTAATGTCATTACATTAATATATAAGGGGATTCAATACAATTCAATACAATTCACGAGTTGATTTAAAGCCTATGTTTAACCCTTTATCATAGTTGGTGTCTGGATGGATTTGTCCAAAATTGTGTGACATAAAACATGTACTTTTCTGTCCTTGCATTTATGGCAGTGTAAGTTGTCGTTATACCATATATTTATGGAGGACTAAAAGTGCCACAATTAAATAAATAAATACACCATTAAATAATTACTTAAATGTGTCATTAATTAATTCAAATTAGAATTAAATACATAAATGTGTAATTAAATGTATCATTAATTAATTCAAATACCGATTCATTTTATGTAAAATACATATATAATTATTTCACTATTTACATTTACATTTCATGATCCTGCATTGCAGTGATTCATGAATTACTTAAAACTGTCAAACTGACCCATCAAAGTCAGTGGGCGGGGCTAACGCGAATCTAGTCTGATCCATTGCTTTGGTCTGAAGTAGAGTAGGCCAACCTGGATAGAGACAATGGAGGATCTCCGTGAACTTTCCAGGGAGTTGGTTAGAGACATTTTAAACTTAGCAGAGGATGTAGAAGCAGGACCTGCTGACATTATCCGGAATTGATTTGTCTTGGCTTGATGCAGAGGGTAACCAATCAGGCGTTAGGTTCCGCCTACCAACTTTTGATGGGTCAGTTTGACAGTTTTAAGTAATTCAGGAAGCACTCCAACGCAGGACCATGAAATGTAAATGTAAATAGTGAAATTATTATATATGTATTTTACATAAAATGAATCGGTATTTGAATTAATTAATGACACATTTAATAACACATTTATGTATTTAATTCTAATTTGAATTAATTAATGACACATTTAAGTAATTATTTAATGGTGTATTTATTTATTTAATTGTGGCACTTTTAGTCCTCCATATATATTAAGCATTCATCAGTTAAATTAGACATTGACCTTGTTAGAATCCTGGATCTAGTTGTCGGACAGTTTTTTTGTATAGAGATCTCAGAATTACAGCGTAAGTACGTGTCTCCTTATGTTACGGTGTGGAAACAGTTTTCATGGGCACACAAATCCAAAATGATATATGCGATTGCAAAATCGAATGCTTCTAACTGAAAGAGTCGCCTTACCTTAATACTTAACCTAGATCCTGGCATTAACTTGGTTCTTCAATAATTATGCATGATACTTGTTGGATGCGCATTTGGGTTCCAGCAATTTTTCCGAATGACTGTCAAGTGACAAACAGATTTTGTGATAGCACTGGTTTAAGTGAGGAATGTCCAAAATATTTTTGTGTCTCATTCGTTACGAAGACAGTTGTGCCTGGATCCAATATCCCTAGCCAAATAATGTTGATCATCTGTTGTCTGCAATGAGTTCTGGATATAATGACAACAAATTACATTACCTAGTGGGCTTATTCACAATATGATCTAGTAATGAAATAACATGACAAATACATGTTTTCCATGTTACACCTGCAATTTAAAAAAAAAGGGTCTTGAAGTAGCTTACTTGAATTTGGAGCTCAGGACTGCTTGGAAAGTCCTTGTAATTATTGTAGCCAATTTATAAGTTCTCCTGCTCCCTTATAATTATCAGTGAATTTATTTATGATCAGTTTTTGTGAGAGATGTGGCCACTTTCGTTTTTTTCCCGCCACTTCAATTGAAGGGTGTTCAGATAAAACCACGTGCGGTTATTATGAGGACGATAATATTTAATGTTGGCTTCAACTTGGCTTTCCATACAAATATTGTTTTTTGTCACTTTCTCATGATAAAAACAGTGACGGTGAGATGAATGCTACCGTTACTAATGGCTTTATTATGTGTGCCTGCGTCGGCCACATTGGCTACAGAAACATCACAGTGCATCCAATCTATTTATTCAGGCAATGTCCACATTATTTTCAGATATTTTAGAATGTAATAATGAATATCAATGCATTGGCAAGGCCAAAAAACCTAATTATTCTTAATGTTATTGGCCTACTTTTTTCTCACTTTTTGCTTAAGGGGGAGGTTCTATATGAGGCCCTATATGTATAATTATATAAATTATACAATTGTATAACATTGAGGTCCTTGAAAATTACAATTAAGTGCTTGAAAATGTCTCTGAAAGTCCTTGAATTTGACTTGCCAATGTCTGCATGAACCCTGCTTAAAGGATGCATGTTCCTAGGCCTATGTTGTATAGGTAGAGGGCAATTTGCATATATGCAATTTGCATATTCACAAAATGGTTTGTATTTTTGTTTCAAAGCATTATTACATTTTTATCCCAGTGTCACACATTGGCCTCATTATTTATAGAAAGACCCTTATACATCATACCTGACTCACTTTGATGTTCTTTCTTGTATTATTTCCCAGGAGCCAACAAGCCCCAAGAGTAAGTAAACATTTTTTCAGAACTGAATGTTTGGAATGGGCACTGATTAGTGATCCATGAGTAATCTCTTCCTCTAGCTGTTTATTATGAATATCTCTCCTCTGTCGTTGTGTGTAAGACTTGACTCATCTCAGTGTGATAAACATGACACACACACACACACACAGTGAGAGACGTGCGCGCACACAAACTATATCAGAGTTTGTCACACACAGTCTGTACCCCTCTGGTGTGTAACCTCCTCCAGGCTTGCCTTCCGTTGGGGGTCTTTATCTCTCCTGTGTGCTGGGGAGGAGAGTACTGGTTATCATCACAACCACACAGAGTTCTCACAGTCCTCACTGTGCTGTCTGCCACAATAAGTTATTGCTCTCTGTACACTGTCTGTGATCAGTGTGCGTTATGTTTTCTTCCAAATAGTTATTTGTGTGTGTGCTTCTGTGCTCTTTCAGGTAGTGACCTTTTTACATAGCAACAGCAATAAAGCTTTGGGAATGAAATGTATACAGGGCCTTCGGAAAGTATTCAGACCCCTTGACTTTTTCCACATTTTGTTACGTTACAGCCTTATTCTAAAATGGATTAAATTAATGTTTTTCCTCATCAATCTACACACAATACCCCATAATGACAAAGCGAAAAAACAGGTTTTCAGAAATGTTTGCAAATTTATAAAAAAATATAAAACTGAAATACCTTATTTACATAAGTATTCAGACCCTTTGCTATGGGACTTGAAATTGAGATCAGGTGCATCCTGTTTCCATTGATCATCCTTGAGATGTTTCTACAACTTGATTGGAATCCACCTGTGGTAAATTCAATTGATTGGACATGATTTGGAAAAGCACACACCTGTCTATATAAGGTCCCACAGTTGACAGTGCATGTCAGAGCAAAAACCAAGCCATGAGGTCAAAGGAATTGTCTGTAGAGCTCCGAGACAGGATTGTGTCGAGGCACAGATCTGGGGAAGGGTACAAACAAATTCTGCAGCATTGAAGGTCTCCAAGAACACAGTGGCCTCCATCATTCTTAAATGTAAGAAGTTTGGATCCACCAAAACTCTTCCTAGAGCTGGCCTCCTGGCCAAACTGAGCAATCGAGGGAGAAGGGTGACCAAGAACCTGATGGTCACTCTGATAGAGTTCCTCTGTGGAAATGGGAGAACCTTCCAGAAGGACAACCATCTCTGCAGCACTCCACCAATCAGGCCTTTATGGTAGAGTGGCCAGACGGAAGCCACTCCTCAGTAAAATGCACATGACAGCCTGCTTGGAGTTTGCCAAAAGGCACCTAAAGACTCCGATCATGAGAAACAAAATTCTCTGGTCTGATGAAACCAAGATTGAACTCTTTGGCCTGAATGCCAAGCGTCACATCTGGAGGAAACCTGGCACCATCCCTACGGTGAAGCATGGTGACGGTAGCATCATGCTGTGGGGATGTTTTTCAGCAGCAGGGACTGGGAGACTAGTCAGGATCGAGGGAAAGATGAACGGAGCAAAGTACAGAGAGATCCTTGATGAAAACCTGCTCCAGACCTCAGACTGGGGCGAAGGTTCAGCTTCCAACAGGACAACGATCTTAAGCACATAGCCAAGACAACTCAGGAGTGGTTTCGGGACAAGTCTCTGAATGTCCTTGAGTGGCCCAGCCAGAGCCCAGACTTGAACCCGATCGAACATCTCTGGAGAGACCTGAAAATAGCTGTGCAGCGACACTCCCCATCCAACCTGACAGAGCTTGAGAGGATCTGCAGAGAAGAATGGGAGAAGCTCCCCAAATATAGGTGTACTAAGCTTGTAGTGTCATACCCAAGAAGACTTGAGGTTGTAATCGCTGCCAAAGGTGCTTCAACAAAGTACTAAGTAAAGGGTCTGAATACTTATGAAAATGAGATTTCAGTTTTTAAAAATAAATATGCAAAAATTTCTATAAACCTTTTTTTGCTTTGTCATTATGGGGTATTGTGTGTAGTTTGGGAGAGAAAAAACAAAACAATTTAATCAATTTTAGAATAAGGCTGTAACGTAACAAAATCTCGAAAAAGTCAAGGGGTCTGAACTTTCCGAATGCGCTGTAAGCTGGAAGTAGAAGCCTAAGTGTTTACTCCAATTAGGGAGTGGTGGTAGGGTTAGGGGAAAATAATCAAGGAGAATATATTTAAAATAATATATATTTACGCAAATAACAAATATATGGGGTATTGGAAATGACGCAGACAATTACATTGATAGAAGCCACAATCTATCTGCAATGTTAGTTGATCTACCCCTAAAAAAAACTTGGGAATGAGTAATGGCGAATGTCATGGAGGGAAGGGGTAGGCCTAATTATAGAATACAATAAGCCTGACATCCTCTTCTCACCATTCGTCATGTTCATGTTGTCATGCATCAGGGTTATATCATGTGACAATTACGTAATAGTTAGTTAATTAGCAATGATGTCATGACTGGGATTGATAATGCTCACTTCACGTGGATTGTCATGGCAACGAGTGATTAATCAAAGGCATAGCACTCTGTGACATTGCATGCCAAAAGCATGGGTCCTCCATAGCAGCCTTATAGTGAAAGGAAAGTGTGAAATGTGATTTGCTTCAGGGTTATATCAACATAAGCTCTTAAGGCTGAAAGGTCAAAGGGTCAAACTGTAAAAAAAAACTATGTCCATTGACTGTTGATTTTAATGCTCTCTCTCCTCTCCCACCTCTCCTCTCTTTACCAGTCAAAACAATGGAGTGAACCCCAACAAAGACGCTAAGGTATGTTGCGCTCCTTGAACTGGACAGACACTAGTGGCAAAGAGCTGGTTTCCCAGACACATTAAGCCTGGTATTGGACTAGGTAGCACTTTCTATGGAGAATCTCTATTGAACATATTTTTTATTCTAGAACGAGGCATAATCTGTGTCTGGGAAACCGGCCTTTGGACTCCCACCCATGGTCCAGTGTCCTAACCCCTGCCCCTCTGTGTCTCCCCCAGCCCCTCCACATCAGAAGCCCCTGGTCTCTTCCCGTGGTCAGCCCTGCTCCCTCAGCCTCCACCAGTAGCCCCATGGAAATCGAAACCCTCCCCAGGAGTCCTGGCGGTGGCCAATCAGAGAAGAGGAGGTGAGCCGCTCGCTGTTCTAATGCCATAAGAGCGTTAAGCTGCCTAATCTGTCCATCCTGCTGTAACTTGGTACTGGGTGGTTGACACAGAGCCTGCATCCCAAATCACACCCTATTCCTATATAGTGCACTACTTTTCATCAGGGCCCATTTTTTATTGTCACATACAATGCCTTCGGAAAGTATTTAGACCCCTTGACTTTTTACACATTTTGTTACGTTACAGCCTTATTCTAAAATTGATTATATTGTATTTTTCCCTCATCAATCTACACACAATACCCCATAATGACAAAGCAAAAACAGGTTTTTAGACATTTTTGCTTATTTATTAAAAATATTAAACTGAAATATCACATTTACATAAGTATTCAGACCCTTTACTCAGTACTTTGTTGAAGCACCTTTGGCAGCAATTACAGCATTGAGTCTTCTTGGTTATGACGCTACAAGCTTGCTATACCTGTATTTGGGGAGTTTCTCCCATTCTTCTCTGCAGATCCTCTCAAGCTCTATCAGGTTGGATGGGGAGTGTCGCTGCACAGCTATTTTCAGGTCTCTCCAGAGATGTTCAATCGGGTTCAAGTCCGGGCTCTGGCTGGGCCACTCAAGGACATTGAGACTTGTCCCAAAGCCACTCATGCGTTGTCTTGGCTGTGTGCTTAGGGTCGTTGTCCTGTTGGAAGGTGAACCTTCACCCCAGTATGCTGCCCTGTGCGCTCTGTAGCAGGTTTTCATCAAGTATCTCTCTGTACTTTGCTCCGTTCATCTTTCCCTCGATCCTGACTAGTCTCCCAGTCCCTGCCACTGAAAAACAGCCCCACAGCATGATGCTGGCACCACCATGCTTCACCGTAGGGATGGTGCCAGGTTTCCTCCAGACGTGACGCTTGGCATTCAGGCAATAGAGTTCAATCTTGGTTTCTCATGGTCTGAGAGTCTTTAGGTGCCTTTTGGCAAACTCCAAGCGGGCTGTCATGTGCCTTTTACTGAGGAGTGGCTTCCATCTGGCCACTCTACCATAAAGGCCTGATTGGTGGAGTGCTGCAGAGATGGTTGTCCTTCTGGAAGGTTCTCCCATCTCCACAGAGGAACTCTGGAGCACTGTCAGAGTGACCATTGGGTTCTTGGTAACCTCCCTGACCAAGGCCCTTCTCCCCTGATTGCTCAGTTTGGCCGTGCGGCCAGCTCTAGGAAGAGTGGTTCCAAACTTCTTCCATTTAAGAATGATGGAGGCCACTGTGTTCTTGGGGACCTTCAATGCTGCAGACATTTTTTCCCCAGATCTGTGCCTCGACACTATCCTGTCTCGGAGCTCTACGGACAATTCCTTCGACCTCATGGCTTGGTTTTTGCTCTGACATGCACTGTCAACTTTGGGACCTTTATATAGACAGGTGTGTACCTTTTTCAAATCATGTCCAATTTGAATTTACCACAGGTGGACTCCAATCAAGTTGTAGAGACATCCACATAGCAAAGGGTCTGAATACTTATGTAAATAAGGTATTTCAGTTTTTATTTGTAATACATTTGCAAACATTTCTAAAAACCTGTTTTCGCTTTGTCATTATGAGGTATTGTGTGTAGATTGCTGAAATATTTTATTTATTTAATCAATTTTAGAATAAGGCTGTAATGTAACAAAGTGGGAAAAATCAAGGGGTCTGAATACTTTCCGAAGGCACTGTACACCGGAAAGTTGCAGTGAAATTTTGTTATACAGGGTCAGCCATAGTAGTATGGTGCATCTGGAGAAAATTAGGGTTAAGTGCCTTGCTCAAGGTCACATCAATAGGTTTTTCACCTTGCCTGCTCAGGTATTCGAACCAGCGACCTTTCGGTTACTGGCCCAATGCTCTAACCACTAGGCTACCTGCACTCCCAAAAATAGTCAAAAGTAGAGGGAATAGGGTGCCATTTGGTATGCACATGGAGGCTCTGCCTAGTGCCTGCTCTGCTCTGGGACAGCTAGTGACCAGACGGGATACCTGGGCCGTGTTCATTAGGCAACAATTGGAAGAAATTGGACTGCAACAGGAGTGGGACTACCTGGACTTGTTCAATAAGAAACACAAATTTTTGTTTTCCCTTGAAAAATGTTTTGGAACGTTTCCCATTGCATGCCCTAATGAACATGACCCTTGCTGCACTATGCACATCCTGGAGCTCTCAGGAAGTAGGGTGGTGGTGGTTTTGTCTGTGTGTGTTTGTCTGTGAGGATGGGGTACAGTGAGTGACTAGAATGAGTGAAGGGGGTCCATGTTTGGCAGTGTGCTCTGACACTGAGCAGATGGCTAGTGGTGGTAGTCCTGCTACTGCTGCATTGCTGGTAGCCATGGCCCCCGCTGGCTTGGCAACAACAAACTCTTGCTCTTCTAAGAAATACCTCATCCCTTTCCTCAATCCCCTCTCTTCTCCTCTTCTAAACTTTATCCCCAGAGGATTACTGCGCAACGAAAGGGGGTCTGCTTTAACTTCCTGAAATATGTCTGTTTCCTGTATTTGGTTGACTTTGAAGCTGTTCTCTTTTATGTTAAATCCCCATTTTAAAGCTCTACCTTTTTGTTCTAGTATGATGATGTACTGAAACCAAACAGGCCTTTTCTAAAGGCAAGGTATGTACCCTCCAAGTTATCTGTAGATTTGCTTTAACCAATCAATTTCTCTGGGCCTTCTGGGTCCTGTGATTCAGGACTGGTGACTGTCTCTCCTGCGGTAAACAAATAATCTTCCAGCCATGGTAATGCTTGCTCTCTGTGCATTGATCCTCCTTCAATACCAACCCAATCAGTGTAGATGTCATCACAGCTATGCCAATACTCTAGTGACCTTTGGTCTCTTTCCATGACCACCACTTGTTGTGATCTACTAATGATACTGTACACTTCTCCTCCTCCCCCTTTGTAAGTGAAATTTAATTTTGCCTCAATACCTGACATTGCTGCGGGGACTTCCTTCCATTCAGCCACGAGCATTAGTGAGGTTGGACGCTGATGTTGGGCGATTAGGCCTGGCTTGCAGTCTGTGTTTCAATTCATCCCAAAGGTGTTCAATGGGGTTGAGGTCAGGGCTGTGTGCAGGCCAGTCAAGTTCTTCCACACTGATCTCAACAAACCGTTTCTGTATGGACCTCGCTTTGTGCACGGGGGCATTGTCATGCTGAAACAGGAAAGGGCCTTCCCTAAACTGTTGCCACAAAGTTGGAAGCACAGAATCGTCTAGAATGTAATTGTATGCTGTAGCGTTAAGATTTCCCTTCACTGGAACTAAGGGGCCTAGCCTGAACCATGAAAAACAGCCCCAGACCATTATTCCTCCTCCACCAAACTTTACAGTTGGAACTATGCATTCGGGCAGATAGGGTTTTCCTGGCATCCGCCAAACCCAGATTCATCCGTCGGACTGCCAGATGGTGAAGCGTGATTAATCATTCCAGAGAACGCGTTTCCACTGCTCCACAGTCCAATGGCGGCAAGCTTTACACCACTCCAGCCGACGCTTGGCATTGTGCATGGTGATCTTAGGCTTGTGTGTGGCTGCTCGGCCATGGAAACCTATTTCATGAAGCTCCCGACGAACAGTTCTTGTGCTGACGTTTATTCCGGGGGCAGTTTGGAACTCTGTAGTGAGTGTTGCAACCGAGGACAGACTATTTTTATGCGTTTCAGCACTCGGTGGTCCCGTTCTGTGAGCTTGTGTGGCCTACCACTTCACGGTTGAGCCATTGTTGCTCCTAGACATTTCCACTTCACAATAATAGCACTTACTGTTGACCGGGGAATCTCTAGCAGGGCAGAAATTTGACGAACTGACTTGTTGGAAAGGTGCTATCCTATGACGGTGCCATGTTGTAAGTCACTGAGCTCTTCAGTAAGGCCATTCTCCTGCCAATGTTTGTCTATGGAGATTGCATGGCTGTGTGCTCGATTTGATACACCTGTCAGCAACGGGTGTGGCTGAAATAGCCGAATCACCTAATTTAAAGGGGTTTCCACATACTTTTGTGTATATAGACTTCATTACGTTGTTAATGCAGTACTTTAGCCTAGTTGTTGCCGGTGTATTTTGCTCTGCCACAGAAATAAGTCTAAGATTTGAATATAGCAACGACTGAGGAAAGATAAAAATGTCAGCCCCGGCCTATAAAAACTTAATTCACACTTGGTGCATATTTCATGACTCCGACCAAACAAGCCTGAAGCGCTCGGTGTAAACAGGCGATTAGAATTTAATGGAAGTTTACTGAAGGCCAGGAGATGTCTTCAGAATCACTTCATAGGCGCTGAGGCGATCAGATCAGGTGGTGGCAACTGAAATCCTCCTGTGATCTAATTCACCGTCAGTGGTAACTAGCAGGTCTAACATCAGTTCTGTATACATGCATGTATCTTATCTATGCTACTGAGGACGGCAGGGTTTAGTCTCACACACTTTCTCCGCAATAACCTGGGGACCATTGAACAATGTTTGATCTAATAATGAATCCCTTTGTTGTAAGGCTAGAGCAATACACTGTGTGTACAAAACATTAACAACACCTGCTTTTTCCATGAGACTGACCAGGTGAATCCAGGTGAAAGCTATGATCCCTTATTGATGTCACTTGTTAAATCCACTTCAATCAGTGTAGATGAAGGGGAGGAGGAGATGTGTTAAATAAGGAATTTTAAGCCTTGAGACAATTGAGACATGGATTGTGGATGTGTGCCATTCAGAGGGTGAATTGGCAAGACAAAAGATTTACGTGCCTTTGAACGGGTTATGGTAGTAGGTGCCAGGCGCAGCGGTTTGTGCCAAGAACTGCAACGCTGCTGGGTTTTTCACACTCAACAGTTTCCCGTGTGTAACAAGAATGGTCCACCACCCAAAGGACATCCAGCCAACTTGACACAACTGTGGGAAGCATTGGAGTCAACATGGGCCAGCATCCCTGTGGAACGCTTGCGACACCTTGTAGAGTCCATGGCCCGACGAATTGAGGCTGTTCTGAGGGCAAAAGGGGGTGCTTCTCAATATTAGGAAGGTGTTCTTAATGTTTTGTACACTCAGTGTATGTACATGTAGCATGTTATACCTCTGAGTAAAGCAAGGTTTTCAAGGGAATTTTACTGTAAGGAGATTCAGAAACACTTTTAATGGAGACTATGTAGTAGAATTGAAGGATTTAGATCAGTCAGTGAAATTATTTACTGGTAGGCTATAGCTTCTACTTACTGTTTCCTAATAGCAGCTGTGGCCATAGCACAGTGGTAGGTGGGGAATTCACATTGATAAATGAGGCAGGGATTTGGCTGGAGCTCTGCATCTGATCATGTGGAGCTGACACACACACATACCAGGACCAGAGCACAGCCTTTAAGGACTAGTATCATGACTAATTTGTTTACTGATAGGGGTTTCAGAGGTCAGGCTCACTGAATAGTTAATTTGTTACTGTGTGTTTTTCAGGGGTTTTTGGTTTTGTTCCTTCCTTTAATTTGATAATCTCTTGCAATGATTCATGAATTTGTTTGTTCAGTTACTGGCAATTAAGTAGACCTGCTAGATACATTCCTTAGGTTCTGTGCTGACTGCTTAGCGGTCCTGGCTTTACTTTGGAAGATATTCAAGATAACGTCATTGGTTGTGGTTTCAGTTGTTGAGCATTCACATAAGTGAGTAATAAGATGTAGGTAAGGCCTGTGTTCATTTTCAAGCCCTAAGAAATGGAATCTTACAGAAGCATAGGAGTTGCAATGAATTGGTCATTAGGTTACACCCCCCTCCCCACCCCAACCGGTGGTTGGTTCTGCATACTAACCTCAATCAACCCTTTTCTCCCTTCATCTTCTCTCACCCTCAATTCACCTGCATTAACCTCGACCGAACACACTCCCACTCACTCATCTGCCTGCTTTTCCACTAACCTAACCAACGCATGACAACCGCTTCAGCATGCAACACAAAAAGCACATTTATAGCTAGCTAGTTACCGTAGCTCCACATTTGCTTAAGCCTGGTTTAGTTTATTTGCTGTCAAACTGTCCAACATGTCTCTGTTTGATGTGTAATGTCATCTTCATCTGAGTCCCCATCTGTTTTCCTGTTACCACCTCTTTGACCTCTGTTTCCCACTCAATAATACACACCTCATCATCCACCTTCTATAGAAGTACTGGAAACATATCATATTAAGAATTCAAACCCCTAACTAACATATACATGATTAGTAAAGCAGCACTGGCATGCATTTATTTAGCTTTTTAATCCCGTCTCTTCTCTAAAGAGAGGTTAGCCTAATGTATGGGTATTAAGAATGTACTATTTCTCCTTTTGAGTTGACTGAAGTGCTTGTTAAGCGGCATGCATAAGTATGAGAAACGCTCCCACATTGGTAGAGATGTTTCCTGTCTGCCTATAATCTGTGATTTGATATGCAGTGCTTCCATTCCACTGACATAGTTATGTTAGTAAAACACACTGAAGAATGTCAAGATTATTCATGTGTCATAGAGATCATAATGGAGTGATATGTCAATATAATGTATGTAGTGAAGGAGCTGATGTAGGGTCTTTCCATCACTCAATAGGTTCATTTCAGCCTTTTCAACAGCAATGGTGACAGTGTAATTGGAAACAATCTCAAACTCTTTCTCAATGCTATCGTAAAACTATCATGTAAGGGAAGGCTAGCTTCAGGACATCCAGTTCACCTCTCTCTTGTACTTCATCACATAGTTTGCAGAAAGAATAGTCACACACAACAGATAGTCACTGAACACCTAATACAGGCAGGTTAAGTCCTATTCTGTACATTCTGCTATATTTCCTCCCTCTCCTTATCTGCTCTGCCACTCCCTCTCTTCCACACACTCCTCTTTTTGACTTCTACATTCCTCCCATCTTGTGTTAACTGTGCCATACCTCCTCCTCCTCTCTTTTCCTTCACCTTTCTGTCCAGGCCACTCCCCCCTCTCACCACCCAATGCTGACCCTCTCCTTCTCCTCCTGGAGGTGGGTTGGCGGACACCACTGGACCTTATCACAACCCTTCCCCTGTCTCACTAGCCTAATCTTCAACAAGAGACCGACCAGACAGAGACAGAGCTCTGTGGCTCTGAGCTCAGGTGACGTCACACTACCTAGACTTGTTCACTCCCCCGTATACCTCCTCCTCAGTCAACCACTGAAACTGCCATGCCACCCCCCACACCCCTCCCCAGTGAAACTTTCCAGGGCTGGCAAGATGGTACCGAGGGAAAGAAAGATTGACAATAACCAGCCTGTTGACAGGAGCCAAGAGGAGAGCGAGAGAGAGCCTGAACTCACTGGACCACTGTTCTGTTCCATTATAGACAGACATCTATCTCTCTGAAGAATGACTTTATATTATCCAGGGTTATTAAATGTTCCTTTTTGGCCTTCACTGCCCCAAGCAGTTGGTTTTATCTATTATATTTCATATGACTGTCTGCTGTCTGTGTCTAGTCTTAATCATCCAAAGATTTGATTCAACCCACGTTTTATGAGTGTTGATTTTTATCTATGTTGGTATGTTTTATGGATCTGCACGTTTCTAATGTCTAAATCTTGCCTTTTATATGTTGAATTAATCCACAAATTATGAATACAGATAGAAGATGGAATTAAAAACTTATAACAGTGTACTGTTAGTTCCTAGCTGGTTAATTTGAATGTTCTCTATTATTTGTAAATGTTGACACTACTGGTACTTGCACAGCTCTACCAATGAAGATGATTTTTTATTTTAAATTAGCTTCCTGTTTACATTAAGTCATGTGACCAAATATTGTCTCTGTATCGTACTTTGAGACCTTTTGATAATGAACAGCAATAAAAAAGAACTCCACTTGTGAGTAGGCAGTTGTTTATGGTTTCAGTGTAGAGGGTCTGCACTCAGTTATTATTATGCTTATTTATTATTTTTCTAGAGGCAGCAAGTGCTGTTTGTGGCTGAAATATGGCCATGCTGTCACACTGGTCCCTGTGGGCTAATTATTAGCTGCAGGCAGCATGTTCTTTACCATGAGGGAAGGTGTCTCCTCTGTGAAAACTGAAACCAGTTGTATCAAAGCTTCTTACAGCCTGTAATCTCACTGCAGTCACTTATGGAATGTGTCTCACTAGCTAGTACACCTCCCCCACTGTCTACTCCCTCTACCCCTCTCTCCCTCCCTCCCTCTCCAACTCCATTCTCTTGCCTGTCTCCCTTTCCCTCCCAAACTGTCTGTGTGTGTGTGAGAGAGAGATTTTTCTAAGACCATCGTTCTCCCGACGTGGAGTTTGTATGGATGAGGCCCATGTCATCTAACATGATGCCTGGTGTGTCTGGTCTACAGGTCTTAAGGCAGTATGTGTGGTAATATTCTTCTCAGCTTTCACCAGGTCACACTTCCAGGCCCTCTGATGGAGGGAACAAGCTATTTCGTCATTCCCATACAGTGTATTCTTACTTGCGCTAACTTGAGGGCTGATAAAGCAACTTGAGTTACAATCGTAGTTATGGATATGAGGGCATTTCTTTCATCCATGTTTACCTGAGTTGGAGCCAGGTTGACTCCTGCATGGTGCTGAGCCTCATGCACTGTCAGTATGGCAAACTCTTCAGTCTTTGTCTTCCAGAGTGTTCAGGTAAGTCATACTCATGTTAAGGCCCTGGGTTTTTCCTGACCCTACATGTTGGTGTATCAGTGTGTGCCTCTGTCTGTCCTCATGTCCTGCCCTCCTCTCCCCCCTGCAGCATGCCGCTGCCCCTCGTAGCTGATCTGCTGGAGACATGCATCGATGATGTCATCCAGACACCTGTTCCCATGGTGACAACAGGTCTGCCTGAGGAGGCGGGGCCAAGCATGGCAGCCTCCGCCTCCAGCCTCACAGCAGACGACACCGTCTCTCTTGCCGGTGAGCTTACACACACACACACAGACAACAGTCATGCAAATACTAGGCTTACTGTAGATAACCGTAGTAGTAACAACCTCCATAAAAAGTACTCCCCTTTGCAAATTAAGTTATTTGGTAAGGTTGTATAATGTTAAGAAGAACAAAGGCATATTTTGTAATGGGAGGCTGAGTACACCAAAAACGGTCAAATTTTTTCTCCAATGTTATTGAAATGGAACTATGAAATGTATTCAATAGTTAGATTTTCTCTGTGTGCTCCACCAGGATTGGTGTTGGTGTATTTGCTGCGAGTAAAGACTTGTCTGTGTTTCTCCCACAGAGGCGGCAGCGCGGCTGAAGCAGCTGGAACTAGACAGTGCCCCGCTCCCTGTCCCTTCCAGAGCTAACGTCAACCTCAACATGAACAACCAGGTCAGTGCACTGAGCTGGGTGAGGGAGAGAGAAAGACAAAATGAAAGGGCGGATAGATTCTACATGCCCTCTGTGCTCAAATACGCAGAGACATGCATACTGGGTACACTCTCAGACACATGCACTCACACTACCAGGAACACAGACACACCACACTCTAAAGGGGAAAAAGCCTGGTTAGTGTCACTCACGCGAGCAGCGCTGCATTATAACATATGGGAACGGGAGCAGAGAGCTGCATGGACAGTCTCTGGTGGGAGTGGGACAGTTTGTCAAAAGCAAATGTGGGATGATATTTTATTTTGTATGTAAGGGCAGGGGGTTTGCCACTAGTTTTAGTTTCTCAGGGACCCTAATGGGTTCCATATGCTGAGGCAAACAGTAGGTAACTATGACAGGCTAATGTATGGAAACAATGGCAGACAGGGAGCACCCCAGCAGGGTGTGAGTGGGGCTGGGTATGGGCTGGGGTGGCGAGCCATTGTATCTGACTGCTCATAAAAGTTATTGGTAATTTGACAATGGTTACTAAAGTGTGACACTTCCTCATGTGTGCATCTGTGTATATTAGAAGGGTATGGCTAGTTTTAGGTACTAGTTTTCGACTATGCGTCGCAAATAAACATTTTCTGAAATAGTTGCCGCCCGAATGTGGGAGGCCAGACAAGATGTGAAGCTCCAACCTCCCGCCTCCTCTCAGCCTATCAGACCTCTCTTCTGTAATTTTACTATGTTTATTTCTCTTGAGAGTGGTGGAGGGCAAAGGAGACCACCTAACTACAATCTTTCCAGGAAGTGAATGACAAATAATGTAGCCTAACTCATCCATGTCCATGTCCGTCTGTGTGTGTGTGTGTGTGTGTGTGTGCGCGTGTTTGTGTCCGTCTGTCTCGTTGTCCGTCCGTGTGTCTGTCTGCACGTTTGTGTGTGTGTGTTCCCCCCCACAAGGAGGACGTGGTGAAGCTCACAGAGAAGTGTCTGAACAGTGTGGGTAGCAGCAGCAGCCCTGTGCTCGCTCCATTGCGCCCCCCAGATGACCTGAAGAGCAACATCCTTAAAGCTCAGGCAGAGGCTGCCCTCAAGGTACTTCACTAGCACTCTGTCAGTGGACACTCAGAAATGATCTTGGTTCAACATAGAAATTGCATAGGGATGCTTTGAATTCTTAGATGTAGATGAGGATGTGTTGTATGAGTACTGTAAACCCTTGGATTACTTGGAATTTTGATACAGCTGCAATTTTATGTTTGAAAGACATGCAATCAGGCATATTGATTCTTCTAGACCTCTACTCAATGTACTGATGTTCTGTGCTGTATGCTTTAGGGATCACTGGAGGAGCACGTTGTGATCGGGGACAAGAACACCAACCTACAGGAAGCAGCAGCCAGGTGAGTGAGGTCACAGAAAGACACTATGGTTGTGTTCCTAGTCTCTACCCTTCACACAGAAATGTGCAGTCTTTCGCTCCCCCTCGTGCATTAAGAGCATTGGACGACCAGGCTTTATTGTACAGTATTTGATGACAAAGGAAACCCCTATCTAGGAATGATGGGCGGCTGGTAGCCTAGCAGTTAAGGGCGTTGGGTCAGTAACCAAAAGGTCACTGGTTCGAATCCCCAATCCGACTAGGGGAAAAAACATCTGTGCCCTTGAGCAAGGTCCTTAACCCTTGTCGCTCTGGATAAGAGAGTCTGCTAAATGGCTAAAATGTAAATAGATGTCACCAAGCCTCCGCTGTCTCATCTCCCTGAGCCACCCCAACACTCCACAGCCAGCCTCAGCCAATCATAACCTCCCTGCCGTTCAAGGCCATTAACGGCTAGAATATTAATGAGGACTCTTAACATAATTATGTTATGACATCACTCCCTGAATCAACAGCTCATTCCCAGGGGCTGACCACTTGTCTGTGGGGCTGGACTCTTGCGGTTGATAGACAGTAGTGGTTCTTGCATAGAGGTAAAGATTTGTTTTGAAAGAGCTCAAAGCAAACAATGTGCACAACAACAAGAATTGATGCAACTTGTGTAATATAGTACAGTGTGACTCACCAAACTGAAACTGTGACTCATTGAAAATCTCAATTAACCTCTACAAACAGTGAATGTCTAGGCTGAGTTTTGGTGTGGTGTAGATCTCTCTAAATGTCCGCTGCTCGTCTGTCCCAGGCTGAAGGTGCGTAGTGGGCGTATGGGCAGCAACTCGTCTCTGACTGGACGTCCTGAGAGACAGGAGTCATGGGACCTGCTCAAACCCACACTGCTGACCAATGCTGGGGCAAGGTGAGACTGGAAAATAAAGACCTCACACTCACTACAGTGCTATGAAAAAGTATTTGCCCCCTTTCTAATTTTCTCTACTTTTACATATTTGTGATACTGAATGTTATCAGATCTTCAACCAAAACCTAATATTAGATAAAGGGAACATAAGTGAACAAATAACACAACAATTACATTTTGATTTCATTTATTTCATAAACAAAGTTATGCAACACCCAATTCCCCTGTGTGAAAAAGTAATTGCCCCCTTACACTCAATAACTGGTTGTGCCACCTTTAGCGGCAATGACTCCAACCAAATTGTTGATCAGTCTCTCACGTCGCTGTGGAGGAATTTTGGCCCACTCTTCCATGCAGAACTGCTTTAACTCAGTGACGTGTGGGTTTTCAAGCATGAACTGCTCGTTTCAAGTCCTGCCACATCATCTCAATTGAGATTAGGTCTGGACTTTGACTAGGCCATTCCAAAACTTCCAATTTGTTGCTTTTTAGCAATTTTCATGTAGACTTGATTGTGTGTTTTGGTTCATTGTCTTGCTGCATGACCCAGCTGCGCTTCAGCTTCAGCTCACAGACGGATGGTCTGACATTCTCCTGTAGAATTCTCTGATACAGAGCAGAATTCATGGTTCCTTCTATTAAGGCAAGTCGTCCAGGTCCTGAGGCAGCAAAGCATCCCCAAACCATCACACCACCACCACCATGCTTGAAGTGCTTACTGTGGAATGCAGAGTTTGGTTTTTGCCAGGCATTACTGGAACCATGAACTTATGAAAAGGATCAGGCCTGCCTTTTGAACGTTTTTTCTATTTTTTTTTTTTTTTGTGTTCTTGCTTAATTCTTCTTGAAGTGCCTTTGACGGTGCCTATGGGATGCTAATCTCCCTGTGTGTGCATGCGCGCTCGTGTGTGTGTGTGTAAAATGGTGTATGCGTGTGAGACGGAGGGAGGGAGTGGGCCACACCCAGATTAGACGGGGCCACCTGTCCCGTGTTTTCCCGGCCATAGGGTACCACGAGGCAGCCTCATGCACTCAGGGTTACAGCTCCATCTGAGAGAATCATTTGAGGATATATACTGTATGTTACTACTTAGTTTCTAGTAGTTTTTAAGAGTACTCGAGGACTGGAGTTGGGAAACACGGTGGTAAGCTATTAGGCTATATGTCGCAGTACTCAAGACAAAAGCCCTTGTTTCTACACAGCTCTCTGCTGCTATCTGGTGGAGCATATGAGTCATGCGTGTGCCCATGTCACATGACTCAATTCTGCCTGGATACATATATTTTAGATCTATACTTTCCCTTTTACATCTACATTTTAGTCATTTAGCAGACGCTCTTATCCAGAGCGACTTACAGTTAGATACTTTTCAAGACGATTCGATATGTATCTAGATACATGGGATCCGATACGTTTCAGTATGAAACCATCGTGTTCGTGAGAGTCATCTTTCCATGAAGGGGTCATAATATTTTGTAGGCCAAACCGTTCGATTTTCAGGATGTCTCATGATGGTCTGACAAACACCGCTCTAGCTCTGTTACCTTTCACCGCAGATGCGGAAGTGCGACATCGACGGATGAGGTGGATTGAGATGCATCCAATGCAGTTTAAACTGACAGATTTGAATGGGGATCTTTTTATAATGTTTATTAGATTTGCGCAGGGGCGCGGACAAATCGACTCTAGGGGGTTAAGTGTTTGAGCTAGTAATGTATCAATATTTATAATTTACAAATTGGCTATGACATAGCTGGGGCTGCAAAACTAGCAGTACGTTTCCAAAGTTACTGGAATTATCATTTTGGTAATTAATTTATGGCAATCTATGGTAACTTGAATAACTTTAAAATATAGTATAAATGTTGTATACCTGTCCATGAGTTTCTAGTAGATAGACCATATGGTTAAAGAGAAAATAGCCTACTGGTAATTAATGAATAAAGCATTTAATCAACAATGGCATTATTTTCAATTAACTCTGCAACTCTTCCAACTATT